GTTTGCGAACCGGAGAAGTGACAGAGGTCAGCAAAAGGACGAGACGGTGGAACTCATCATGATATTTCTGGTGAGGAAGCCGGCTCGACCGAACTTCCTCTCTCTCCATTCCTTCCACGACGTTCAAGTTTTTCATCACCCCGACCCACTCCATAGTATCCTCTAGTAAGGAATTTTGATCCGTCCACAGCCACTGACCATGGGACCTTGCTCTTTCTCCTCAGTTTTCGAACCACGGTCCCGAAACTGTTTGCTGAGAACGTCGCCGATGATGGAGTGGTCACGGGATGCGGTCACGGGTCACCACGTGTGCTTGCTTACCTTACCCCTTTCTTATCTCAGAATCTCCGTTCACCCATCTCATAGTTGAAGTCCTAATTCTTGAAGTGTGGCGGTGAGGAAGGTGGTGGGAGTAAGGAGTAGGGACGGAGGGAAGGAGGAAGGAGAGAGTAATACCACAGAGGGGGAAACGACATGATGGAAGGGAGGAGCTACTTTGGTGGTGCTGCGGACGATGTGTCTAGTTTCAAGGGTGAGTGCTGGAAAACAACAAGACGGAGAAGTGACAAAAGCCGGGAAAAGAAAAAGGAGGTAAATATCATCATCGCTGAGTCGGTGAGAGGGAGCCAGTACGACCGACTTCCTCCTCCTCATCAGATGCAAAGCTAGTCGGTGTTGATCACTCCGGTCCTCCTCTCCATGGCCAGAGATATCTTCTTCATTTGATCTGCCCACAGCCACCGGCCATACTCCGACTTCTTGTATGTTTTGATCCAATGTATCGAAACTTCCTGCTACGAAAAATTTCCGCAAGCGAGAGCGGGAGATTTATAGGAAGAAAAGTTGGAGTATCACGGGGTGCACGTGCTGCTCACATGGGGCCTCGATACGAATACAACAGAAGCGGATAGGGATACTAACTGACCAGTGAATCAGTGCTGCTATCCGCTTACATTGTGTCCGTATCAAGGCTGCTCACATGATATCTTCGCCGTCACATCACTTTCAGTCACCCATCCGCTAGTCGAAACCTGGGTCTCTGAGCGTGAATGATGAGAAGGAACTGGATGCTGATGTAACGGCTGTCAGGGAGGTGAAGAAGATGGTGAATGGGAGTAGTAAGGAAAGGAGATGAATAGCATCGTCGAGCCAACCTTGGGACGAGAGCACCACTTCTTCCCTCTCCATGAGACATTCTTCCACCCATGGTTTGATCCCCCCTCCCACGGCCATCGAACCACTTCCCCTACGCTGTTGAATCCCCATGCCAAACACCTCTGATCAGAGAAGTTCTGTCGAGCTCGAGGCATGAGATTTATACCACGCGGAGAAGATATGTTGGTAATCACGAGACACACGTGCTTGGTGGCCTCTCTGCCTGACCGCTGACATGTCTATCTCTTCCCCCTTTTCCTAGTCTCCCGCTCCCACTCCGTCGCCATTGAGATGAAAGGCGGAGCATCGTGCTGGCTGTCAGTGAGGCGAGGAAGACGGTGAATGCGAACAGCAGAAATAGGAGATGAATAGCATCTAAGCTAGCCTCGGGATGAGAGCACGCCTTCCTCCATGCTTCAGTCGATTGGGTAGGTGTGATTTGATCACCCGGAACTCTCTTCCTCTCCCATTATATGGGCTTGCCCTCTTTTCTGATCCACCCCCTCCACCAGCCATCAACTTTTGGGTAGTCCAGTGTTGAGCCCCCATGCCAAACTCCTCTGATCAAGAAAGCCCTGTTGAGCTCGAAGCGTGAGATTTTATACCTCGCGAAAATGATATGTCAGCAATCACGAGACTCACATGCTATTCATACCCCAAGCTTTCAGTCTCATGAAAAAAATATCACGTTCTAGATTCTACACTCGATGCTCTGCATCTGAATTTAGCCCACCAGCCCCTCCACTTCTTTTCTTATCAACCCTAATTTCAAATGAGTGCCTCAGATCTTACAAAAAACAGAGATCAAGGAAAGAAAGAATACAACAACTTTAGAACATCAAACCCACCTCTCATCTCACCATCCATTCCGCCTCAATCCCCAGATGACGCCCTATTGCCCCAACATCTCTTACGAGATCCCTACGAAGCAGCAAAAGTGCTATTCATAGCCCCCCACTTAATATTCGAGTAAACAACCTGCGAATCCCCCTCTGACGCCTCAATCTCACTCGGCACGCCCGAACTCGTCGCACACGTACCCCGCGCCACCCCCGGCGCACTCGCATCCTTATCCGTCGGGTAGCTCGAATCCAGCCACAGCATATTCACCGCATGGTCGTCCCACATGCTCAGCGCCAGCACCATCCCGCGGCTCAGCGCACCCCCCATCGCCGCCAACCCACCAAGCTTCTTAAAGCTATTCGTATCCCCAAACGCCGTCTTCTGCTGGTTGCAGAAGCCGTCCGTGATGCTGTTGACGGCGTCGACGCCCGTGGCGCGCACGACGGAGTTCGGGATCACCGTCCCGCCCTGCACGTAGAAGCGCTTGATCTCGGCCAGAGGGCTGCCGATGAACTGCGTGACGACCGTGAACTTGGACGCCGTGTCGACGGTGCCCCCCGGCCCGTAGAACATCTCGTGGCCCAGGCGGTAGCTGTTGAAGTCGCAGCCGTCCTTGTCGCAGAGGCCGTCGTAGCGCGCGTCTGCCCGTCGACGGAGCACACGTGCGGCGTGTAGGCGGCCGAGATGGAGTTGGCTTCCCAGATGTCCATTTCGTTGCAGCAGGAGCCGTAGGTGCCGGTGCCGGCGTTGGCGTCGTTGGAGGAGGGCGTCCAGCCTTCGACGTTGGCCTGTTGCCAAAGTTAGCATCTGATAACTTTCAAGATAGGGGCGGTGGAGTAAATGACTCACTTCGCCGTTGATGAACTTGATGTCGTGCGGGCACTGGGTATCGCAGTATCTGGTGCCGTACTTGGCACCCGCCTTGTTGGCAGGGTATTTGGGCTATGCCGCTATCTTCATCTATCTCAATGAGGTAGAGGGCGCCGTTCAATCCGCAAGGCAGCTTGGAGACATCGACGTCGAATGTGAACTCCTGGTTTACTAATTTGAACACCTGGTACTTGGTGTCGGAGGCTATTAGATACATGCGGGACACGATGTTCTTGGAGTAAGAGCCATCAGTGACGAACTTCAACGTAAGAGCATTTCCGCTGGCAGTGACACCGTATGTGGCGGCATAGTCGGCTCCGTCGAGAGCACAGTTCGCAGCGCACGTTTTACCGTCCGGGCAGAGGGTAGTGTTCCACTCATTGCCAGTGTAGCAGTTGGTGTAGCCGGAAGTGGTGTGGAGCCATCTCCAGTTGGCATCCATAGTCACCTTGGTCGCGACAGTCGAGCAGGATCCAGCGGCTGTGCAGCTCTGGGCTGGCAAGGCCGGGTGGGTTTCCGTGGTGAGCGTGCCAGCCTGCTGGCCTGAGACCACGGCGGCAAGGACGGAAGAGACGAAGGCAGTCTTGGAAAATATAATGAGCGACGGTGAGATTGAAGCTGTGGAATAATATTTGGAGGGTGCGAGTACCTATCGTATATATACTCTATCAAGCTACTGACAACGCGTGACATCGACGAGATGAAGGTGGTAGAGATTCCAATGGTTGTCTCTCGGTGGATCTCATGTGGATATTGGACAACATCCATCGGTTTGAGCTCCCGTGATGGCCTTGTGGAACCGGAACACTAGTATTTCCTGGATTCGAAACGGATCAATTAGGTACACCCAGATATGAGTCGTGAGATCCTGCATTTGATACGATTTTGATGCGGAGAAGGGGCTTTTTCGAAGCGACGGGTGGGGAGTCCGTCTAAGCTTCCAAGCGTCAAAGCCTTCTAGAAAGCGAAAAGAATAGGTACAAATTGGATGCGGATGCAGAGACACCTTGGCGGTTTCTAGAAACATGGATCAAGTCAGGGGATTATGGGTGAGAAGCGCTAGCAATGGTCTCATGAAACAAATGGAGATGTAATATGGCACATAGGCCGACTACGAGTGGTGGACTTTGCTGGGCCCATGGGAACAGCTAGGATGGAGGTTTCGCCTGGGTTGAGCGGCAGACTTAACAGAGGCATGATACTAAAAGTGACGACGATGTATGAAAGAGACAGACGAAATAGTAAACCAGAGATGAGGTGGTGAGATCAAGGCCGCCTCGACTTTTCAATCTCTCACAGAGTTACCCGGATAGCGATTGAAAATCAAGCGTGGTTATTGATATGGCTCCGCGCCAAACAGCTTACTCTCGGTTTGATGCTTTTGTTCGCCCATTCTACGAGAAAAGCTTCCCATTGATGTGTGGATAGAAGACACGGTGGCCTCGCCAACTTCATTCTAATGCAGGCACACAACTTCCCCGTGGGGTACTCTACGGCAACGGATGATCTTCGTGGCTTTGCAGCTCACGAGGTTAGCAAACTAGCCCCTATTGTCGTTCATCCCGTACCAAAGCAGGGATACTGTATAGATGACGGTGAGGCATATCTCGGCGGCGCCACTTCATTGAAGTTTTAATACATGGTGATATTGACTGAGGACGATCATACTACGAAGCTGGTCTAATGGATGCAGTCTAATCTCAGCGGAGACTATTCTGCCGGGCAAGATAGGAAGGACGACGCAGTCTCGTGATATTGAAGCGGTCCAGTCGCCGAGATATTCTAGTGTATGGAGACCTGATAGTGAGGTGGGGTGATATGTAGCAAAATGGGGGTTGATACATAGCAAAAAGGGGGGGATGAGTAGGCTCGTCCATTAGAAAAGGCGCAAAGGGAGTATTTTGATCGCTTCTTAGCTTCCCCCTTATTCTTAGTGAATGGCAGCTATATAGCTGCTGCAAACAATCGGCAGAGGCTACACGAGGAGACATCCCAATCTTCAAACGCTCCTAGGTTATTGAGCAATAATCCGCGAAAGTCGCGAACCTCCCTCCCCATAATAGCGGTGAAGTCCAATGCGTTGCAGCGAGCGCACAACATATCGTTTCGAATTGCAGAGGATCGGGGTCCGACGCTCTCAACGCTATCCGCGTGAAGGGCTTCAGACATCTTGTCCCATGGGGTGGAGGAGTGTAAAAGCGTGCAGCCTGGTCGGATAATTCCAATCGATTTGAGTTGCGCGAACTCAACGCGAACGAAAAGTCTTTGTGCCTGAAGAAAGCTGGATATCTAACTTCCAGATACTCATATAATCGGGATAGCTGTTTGACTCGCTTGCAGTGATGAGAGTTGGAAAATGCAAGCTGATGAGGAGGGGGGCTGGCGATGCTGAAGAGGACCGGTGAAGCTTCAAGCACCTGGATATGCATGACTCCGCGCTGCGCCACCACCAACCTATATCATCATCTCTTCCTTTGATTGTCTGATGGGCTGAACTTATCTCAGCTTTCAATGAAGCTACGCCCCACGGATAAACTAGCGACTTCATTCTTATTCTATGATTTCCAATCTTTAAGGGAGGGGAGAAGAAATCGAGTTAATTCGTTATGCCATCATCATTTGGAAGATCGCGAAAGCAGCAACTTTTGAGGCCCATGTGGGAGTGAGGTCGAAGTGGGATGGATTGCAAGATGATGCATCTAGAAAGGCCTGAATCGAAAGTAGGGAAGGTCGTGACGAGATCTCTGCTGAGTAAGCAGGCTAAGACATCACGTGATATATATATATATCATATATTCTGCAAGACCAAAGAGATTCATTAAGTCTTCGTTACTACATTGTGCAGCACAATCGAACAAAGGCATAGTCTCAGAAATGATGAAGCCCGTGATCACAGCTCATCCCCTATAAGCGTTCCTTCCTGCAAAAGCCTTCACTTCTCCCACTTATACCCCAATAAAGACGAAAGTTGACATCGCTCATCACTACCAAAATCAACCAAGATGCCTCAACTCTCCTCACCCTCCTCCTACCCCTAGCCGCCCCCACCCTCTCGCACCCCTTCAACCAACCCCAAACCTTCGAAACCTTCGACAGCTACGCCATCACAAACTACACCTCCCACATCAGCATCGCCTGCTACGAGAAGCACCCCGATTACGCGCCTTGGATCCCACTTGGTACGAAAAACTAACCAATGACAAAGGTAAAATCCCTATGATCGAGGGCCACACTTTGCAGGCAGACAGCCATAGCAGCTCCGCGTTCAAGGGCTCCGGGGTTAGGGTTAGTATTGAGAATGGGCCGTGGGCGCCGCATGATGGGAAGTTGCCGCCACCGAGTGGGTATGGGGCAGATAATAAGGGGTAGCTGATGTGCTATATAGGGAATGGGATGGAGATCTTTCAAGAGAAGGACGAGGACAAGGAGAAGAGTTATGGGCGGTATTACTGCATACGCTTCTAGAACATGAAGGCGGCTTGCAGGGTGGACCGGACGATTCTTGCGATGTGAGCGAGTGTTTATAGACTTGCATGTTTGCGTGTTTTACGTTGCCAGGTGTAGCTCTCGTCGGAAGTATATAATGCGTCACTTATTTGCTGGTCCCCCTAATCTTAGGCGTGCTTTTTCATCCAACAGTTCTTCGTATAACGAGGGAGCTACGCAGATTATATATCAAGTTAATGTCTTCACGTTCCTATAGCCTTTCTTTCCGCTCGAGACTGTCACATGAGATGCTCGTACGCGCTGCCAAGGCTGCTGTGCCTTGCTGCCTACATAAAGCCTTCTCTCCCCACGTCCAGCCTGATCTCTCACAACACCTAAATCAGTGAATCCACCCACACATCGCTCGATTATGGCTACAAATACAAGCTGCAAAGATGACTTGCCGACAGGGCTTCTCAAAATACCAAACGAACTTCTCCTCGACATAGTTTCCCTCCTCTGCACTCCGGATCTCAGGCGCCTCGGTAGGGTCAACTGCAAACTCTACTTCTTCATCAGAGACTACCTGGTTCGGTATCGGTATAATGCCGGGCTTGTTGCCCTGCCAAATTAAATCCTACTCGAGATCGTGCAGCACCTGGGAGGTCAGAAAGATCGTAGTTGTCTCGCGCGAGCAAGCCAGAGGTTTTATCCACTCATTATGGACTACATAGTTCGCCATAACGTGCGACACGGCGGAAGCAGTCTGCTGAACTATGCAGCCAGGGGAAACCTCAAAAGAATGGCGCGCATTATCCTACATCTAGGCGGAGATGTGAATACCCAACGTGGACTCCGACCAGGTTTCATGGACAAGCGTCCAACCCCACTCGCGACCGCAGCTTCCCATGGGCATAAAAGGATGGTCAGGATGCTTCTGGAAACCGGGGTTAGTCATTTCGTTGACGGAATGAGGATTCCGCTTGCGGTAGCCATATCCAACCGGCATGAGGATGTGGCCTTGATACTTTCTCAAGAGTTCGATTCTGGCGACTTGTTCCTCACAAAGGCAAGAGGCACGGTGTTGCAGATGGCTTGCAGGATGAAACTCGTAAACTTGGTCCGATACTATCTCGAACACGGGCCGCGATGCAGAGGGAGTGTAAATGTCCGTAGTGTACATGACCGCAGCACCGCCTTGTTCCAACTTCTCCAGAAGGATGCCAGCAAGAGTGATATTATCAAGAGGGAGCTGCATGCCGATGTTTACGAGATTGTGTTGATGCTCCTGCGGCACGGCGCGAATCCCGATCTTCGCTTTGATATCACGTTTTCACCACCCCTCACTGCTCGGGACATTGCCTGTAGGCATCCAGATCCACGGGTGAGGAATCTGCTTGTAAAAGCAACGCCTGCAGCGGAATCCAAAGAGTCTCCGCGGCTGATCGGACGGCCTTGGATCTCGTCCAAGGATAAGGCTCTCACATTCTACAAGCCCCAATCGGAAGCATCGCCATTTGAAGATAACCGCTATGCCAAGTTGTGGGGTTTTCTTGAAAGGTCGAATTTTGAAACACTGGCTTTTATGGATGAGGATGGAACTGAAGATTGCACGTTGGACGCTTCAGATATTGCAGACTTGGTGGATGGAGGCATGCACGGGCTGAAAAAGAAAGCGAAACCTATGGAGCCTCCTCCTTTATCGTTATTCCCGCAACTTGGTAATGCAAAAGCAAGTGAGCAGCACGCCTTCAAGGCTTTTTGGGCCAAAATACTGGTCCAGGCTTACTCAGGCGTGACCTCGCTTCAAACGCCTAGCATTAGTGGCAAGAGTGCTATTGCAAAAGAGGTGAAGCAGTTGAAGAAGCCGGTGGAAACAGAGTCCTTTCCAAGGCTAGGGCGACCAGGCTCAATTTCAAATGAAACTAGCGAGGATTTATGGGCCCGTTTCCTAAAGGATAGGGGTTCTCAAAGTTTGAGCGAAAGTCAGCAAACATCTCCACACGAAGAAGGGAACGGTATGAATCGTTCTATTCACAAGCCGTCGAAGAAGAAGAAATGGGGGCCACTACTACTTTGAGGTTACCATCACGTCACTTGGACCTAGCAGCCATACGAAACAACACAAAATCTAGACCTAGCAGATTGTGCAACACCCATTCTGTACGAAAAGTCGATTGTACCTTCTGAAGATTTATTGGACGATCTTCGCATCTTTTGCTAAACGGAGAAAAATCAGAAAAAAGAAGCCGCCCTGCTTGAAGTACGTACTCTTTGAGTACTGTCTTAAAAGATCCCCAATTTACTCGACTCGAATCTGTTCCGCATCATCACCTGAGACATCAGAGTCCTCAGACACATCCGAGTCTTAAGAGACATCAGGGTCATCAGAGACGTTAAGAGTCTCCATAGCCTTCAGAGTTCCTAGCCTCCTCAACTCCCTCCTCAGTACCATGGCCCCTAGCAAACGCCTCCGCATCCGTCCGCTCCACTCCGTCTCCAAGCTCGTCCGCCAACCCTTCTAACGCTTTCCTGTCTGCAAACGTGAACCCCCACTGCTTCAACACCTTATCAAAGTTCATTTTCAAGGACTGCCAGAAGTCCGTAAAAATCTTGGCAGCCTCTGCCTCTGTGATCCCCCATTTAATCTCCACACCCTTCGGAACCGCAGCAACCAGCGATCGCACCGTTCGTCTCAGCAACGGCGCCTCCTTCACCTCCCCCTTGAAGAAGTTCTGCAAACGCTCATTCGTGCGTTCAGAGTACATAATCAGCACGCGCACCTGTTTGAGAGCGGGCATGTAATGTAGCGCTCGGAACCAGCCCGAAGGCTCGTAGTCATCGGGATGATCGGAATATTCCATCTCCTGGCAGGACTCACGTTCTTCTAGCGGATTAGACCCCCACATCGTCGTGGTGTCCATGCAGTCGAATGTCAAGATTAGCTTGCGGATGTGTGTAATATCCCACCCGTGGTTGACGGTTTGCTTACGAACTCAGTGCGCTGTCCCGCGTAGGCTGGCGGGAACGACGAGGAGGTTGGGAAGTAGGTCTCCGGGACATCGAAGTAGCGCAAGATTAGAGGTCTGAAGACTAGTGGAGGGGGAAGGGTGAAGCTGGCCCGGAAGTAGTATGTCCTGTACAAGGCTTCTTGCGTTTCTTCTTTGACTTGCTTGCAAGTTCCTAAGAGGGCGAGATTCTTTAGAAGGCCGTGATAGGAAGGCGGGCGACGTTTGTTGAAGATGACCAGACCGCGTGTGTACTTGTGGTCGCTCAGTGGTTCAAGCGCGTAGTCGTAGATAATATCGCGGAGTTCGCGAGGGAGGTCGAGGAAGCGAAAGGGGGCGGTAAGCTCTGGCTTCGGCGCAAGCTCTAACTCAGACTTGGTATCTGTGGATGTCTTATTTTTCTTGTTGCTGAAGTAGACATCGAGGGTTTGTTGGAACTTCCGCTTCCTATTAAGCGCATTAGTCAAACGTACACTGCTATCGAGAGGAATTACTTACTTGTTGTTGGACAGACCCGGCTCGGCTGAAGTAGATTGCGAAGACATGATGTCGGGACTGTGTGCTCAATTGTGGTGGGTGGGTGTTGCTCTAGACAGGGAGTAGTCTGATAACCAAGATTAAAGAGGTTGTGGAAGACGTTAGTGACTTTAAACGATGGGCGAGCGCCAAGGGGTAGTGAATGCTGGTAATCATGAAGGAAAGCTAACGCCACCTGTTTGCAGGCCCAAGAGGTTGGACTACATTCACCATTTTGGGGCTATGTCAACGCGATGCCAGGGTACTTAAGGTTTCGGCAGTCGTACAAGGACGAACCGCTTTCTTCTCACTATCCACCCTTTTGAAAGCACCACCCAACCCCGGATAGCTTCATATACGCCACAAACCTTACTCCTACATAGCTACATGCAAATGCGGTCTGGCTTTACGAAGGCCGATGTGTTCAACCCCAAGTACGTTCCATTCTCCCAATCGCAAAGTATGCCATTGATAAGCCATACTAATCCAGTCAACAGGAAGCGTAAGCGCGTAGATAATGACGACGCCAGTTCTAGCAAGAGTAAGAAGACAACCAAAGCCACCAAGTCTCAGCCTGCACTCGAAACGGAACCCCTGCCTCCCTGGGAACCTACCGGCCTGTTTCCCTTCCTCGACCTGCCTCGCGAACTCCAAGCACGTGAGTGAGGAAGCCAAGGACGGCCTCTACCGCACGCACACCTTCCTCGCCACCTTCAGTTTGGCCCGCCACTTCGACATCCCATTCCACTTCGACGGCGGATGGAATCCACCCTTCCCTCCTCTCTACGAGGGCACGTTATGGGGCAAGTACCAGGTTCTTGAGCATGACTGGGATATTGAGCAGATCCAGCGGCTTGTCATGATGTTCGATCTTACGAGGGCGAAAGCATATATTTATGACCATACATATCGGCACTTCTTCAATCCGCTAGAGCATTGCGTGCCAATCTACGGGGTAAAGGAGCCGCCCTTGACGATGAAACGTGCTAGCTACCGCGCTCTGCACTACATGCCGAAGCTCAAGGAGCTGCACGTGTTGTTCTATTACTATGAAGAAGTAACTTACAGCCCGCTGCGGGAGTTCTTCAAAGGTATGTCCACCGAGGCGCCGAGGGAGCTCGTGGCCATGATGAAGTCCTTGATCACTGCTGCTCCGAAGTCAACGACGATTAGGTGGGGCGCTACTGAGAAGGAGCTGGACGATATCGTGCCTCATACAAGCAATGTTGCAAAACGGGATTATGTGGGAGAGGAGGTGTCGAAGGCTCTGGCGGATGGGTTCGAGGCGTTGGAGAGGACGGACCCTGATGTCTTTCCTAAAGGCTGTGGGTTTGGACATAATGAGTCGGAGTTTGTAGGCGAGAGCGAGGACGAGAAGTATTCATCAAGGGTCGCGGAGCCTGTGACGACTCGTGTTCTGAGGTCTAGGAAGAGCACACAAGGTTGAGACGATTCTGGCACGAAGAGACTGCTGAGAGGAACCTCATGGTATGAGGACTAGGATCAAGTCTCCATACTTCCTTTTTTTCTAGCGGCATAATGGTCTCTTTTAGGTGCCAGAGAGAAGATTGCCTTTAGAGATTGGGTTTCTGCGGCATTGTCCCAGGTTTTGTCATACTGTCAACTCCAGGCTCCTGCAGCTTTCGTCAGTTTCATTCAAAGATCCTTGTGTTTGTGGGGCCTCCGCCTCTCTATCTAGAATCAATGTTCTCGAGTTTGTAGGCTGAGTGTACAATTTTGCCAAATTAAGGCTCAACATCCCCCTTCACAGACAAAGTCCTGTAACTCAGGATCTCGATCAATTGGTGGATCGATGGAAGTATGAAAATGTGCTTGGGTGGTGCATTGAATAGATGTATTTCAGGAATACTGACGTTTACACCTATGGGACAGGTGGCACATACTTTGCTCCTCCATTTGCTTCCAACCCGCTCCTTGCACATTCACCTTGCCGGAAATGTATTCCCCTCCCTCCTCCGATCCCCCTCACTCATCCCTTTTCTTCTTTGTTCCTCCGGCTTTCTTCGTCGTTTTACCTTTACCCTTTGCCTTCCCACTAGTATCCTGCTTCTTCAACAGCTGGTCTACATGTGAGCTCCCCGTTCCGGCCCCGGAGGACCACTCTCTCCAGCCGCAAGAACAGCTTCTTCCATAGATCCTTCACATACAGCTCACTAGCTGTCATAACCGTTCTCACCGCTCTCCGCTGCGCCACCGGCCATTTGCGATCCTTTTCCACAAATTGCCTAAACACGTGCGCATCTTCAAACGACCATACGTTGGAGTCATACGGCAGTAGCACAGTCTCCTTATACAGCTGGCGGCAGTCAAGTGGGAGGCGACTTATCTCTGGATAGCTGAGTGTGTTTATCTGTGGAGATCGCGGGTCAAGGAGGAAGGTGTAGTAGGAGCCGCCGTATTGGTTAGAATGATGAACGCGTTGAAAGTAGGAAGATTGGCGAACGCCCCAGTAGTCGCCGAGGGGTAGTGTCTCTCCCCGTACGACATAGCTAATGTGTCCAACAGCTTTCGATGGCGTATTTGTAGATGCGATTACGGATGTTGCTAGGGAGGCGCAGCAAGGGAGATTTACTTTGGTTGTCAAGGCCGCTGTTTGAGAATGCCGGATCAGTGCGACATTTGGAGAGATGAATTCATGGAGAAAACCGACATTCGCTCTTCTTTAGAGTATGATGCAGGAACGACATTGAGCAGACTATTGGGAGATTTCGTGGAGCCTCTACTAGGATATTAGTATTAAGTAAAATGGGAATGTCTGCAGAAAAGCCCACATTGGCGCTTCTCGGGAGTCCGCTGCTAGGATGTCTTCAGACAATTCACTCCGGGGTTCCCCTTCCTCACCCTTTTCAAACTCTTCTAGCGGAATAAAAGTCTTCTTTTTGCAACCCATATTGAACAAGTGAGGTGAAAGGAAGTTGTCATGAATAGTGAAGAGTTCTGAACGCGACGCGCGGTCGATTTATGAAGCTGCGGGTCTTGGCATGCACGTGCACAAGATGAGCATAAAGTTTCATAGAAATTGGAAGCTTACATGCATGGTATCTATGTAAGACAGAACACCACGCTCAAACGCCGTACTATAAATGCACCTACAATAGCAGCTCCAATAGTCGCTATGCTATGCCGTAAAAACACGCAATCCAGGGTCCAAACTCGAAAAACCTTAATCAGAGTCGTACTTCAGACTAGCCATATCGCCAAGCAGGATATCATCTGGCGCTGGGCCACGATTATTACGGACTGTGTTTTCGAGCGTCAGCAAATAGAATCCGTCAGCCTGGTAGGTCAGGTTGGGGTAAGAAATGGTTACTCACCCCATTCACTCTCAACTCTAAAGAAAATCCAAATCCACCGTCTGAGCACCTCAAGTGCTTCCATAAGGAATATCCCGCCTTCTAGGTCGTTGAAATGGTCCAGGTGCGGGCTGAGCTTAAAACTCCAGGTACACCTTAGCATAAAATCTATCACAATAGCTCCGTAGTAAAGTTCCGGAGCATGGAAGTAGCGGTGACGGCGGAGGCCATAGGGATGCTCGGGGGAGTTGCGGGCTTGGAGGGTGCTGAAGAGGGTGAGATCCCAATCGCGGGCGACGTCCCAGTAGAAGGAGTAAAAGGAATTCAAGAAAACAAAGAACAGCCTATACGCAATGGTCAGCAGCCGTACCTCAAGCTCATGGAAGTTTCTACACTCACCACAACCGAAACAACCCAGCCTCACTCATCCCAATATTAGCCGGATCATAACCCCTCTGCAACGCACTCAATATAATCACCGGAAACGCCGTCGAGTATTTCAACGCGTTCGCCAAATGCACCCCTCCCCATCCCGTACTCGCCACGCCACCACTCCTCTTATTCCCATTCCGGACCCTGAAATATTCAATCAAGCATTGCCGCAGCCGTATCAAACTAGGTATGCTGATAATAAAAGGTACTATGAATTTCCCGCCACACGCGCGATCTGGCCGCCCTGTCGAAGAGTGTTCTGATGAGAAGAACATGCACAGGGCGACGAAGAGATCCCCGAGAACTTTTGCGTAGCTCGTCAGAGCATCAGCGAGCAGTATATCGCCGAACTTCCCATCTTGCGCCTCCGCGAGTCCTCCGATGCTAATGCGCTTGAATGTTGCGAGAGTGCGAAAGCGGCCGGAGCGCGAGAGGAATGGTATAGGAAGCGCAAACGCCAAGACCAAGACCAGCAGGTATAATTGTGGAAGGACTTCCCATCGTTGGACTGCCGCGGCGGAGCCATGGGTTAGGGCCCAGAAGAAGAGGAGGGAGATAGCGAGGGGGATGGTGAGGAAAGTTGCGACGCGGTAGCAGGAGAGATGATGAGGGGGGTGCGTCGGAGAGGCCCGCGAGGGATATCGAATCAATGCGGGTACATCCTGTCTATATATTAGCATGTATGATTGCTCGTGCGATTGAGGAAACGTGCAATCTTAATAAGTGAGAGGTAGTGTAGATTCAGTCCCCATGCCCATACACCTGGAGATAGTCAGCCATCATCCATTTCTCCAATACGTGTAGAATAGCATACCCAATACTATAATCAATGCGACCCTATACGGCAAAGGTAATATGCGACTAAAGGCGTCCAACTCTGGCTCAACCGCTGGATCACCGTCCATCCTGTCGAAGGCTGCTGTTGATTCCCCTATACGAAATCACTCCACCACTCCAGTGCAACGTGTCCGGCATCCAGCGTTGAAAGAGCGACTTGGGTGAGTTGGTTCAAGATAGAGGCGTGGTGTTGAGAAAAGTTATGGACACGCAGACGCCTGCCCCTTCCGTCTTATTCTATGCTGCGTAGCCCTCAGCACGCCAAGGAGTTCCCAGCCCGAAGCGGCCGAGATTCAGCCTCAGCCCTACAGCCACGTGAGATCTCGCTAAGCCAAATATAGAATTCAAGAGGTCGATGACGCCCATATTCACTTTTCAAAGAGAATGACATAGGAAACCCCTGAGAAAAGGCTACCAAGGGTCTAGAGTTTACCGTTAGTGATCTCATCATAGCTACATAGTATCTGAACGCCCAGCTAACGACCATTTCCCCAAACTCTTCCTAAGCAAGAAACTTTATTGAGCTCTTCAATCCCAAAATCTCTCATCAGAACCCCTTCTATCATACTTTTCATATCTAGACTATGTCTTTCACACCCCGCATCATCCGGAATGTTGCCATTGGAACAGGCTGCGTCGGAGCGTTCTTTTACCTTGCACCAGCCAACATTTTCCGCACAACTGCCGTCAAGAGGATAGAGGACAGATGGTCATCAGGAGGAGGAGCGAGGACACATACACCAGCCACGGGGACAAAGCGCGGTATGGGCCATATCTCTCGGGGTCTCCGTTCTGCTCCCAAAACTTTACGGACCTCCCTTTACCAAACCGCTATCATCACAACATTTGCTAACGCCGATATCTATCAGGCGACCCGAACGATGAAACACCACGGCACCAAGATCCCAAGGGTACCGCCCTGGATGTTACAATCCTTACGAGCCCCAACTGACATTTCTCAGGTGTTGATACGGAGTATTTCAAGGAGAATTTCTTGAGTCAGAGGAAGAAGGTACGACTCCATTTCGCCCCAAATTTATCCTCCTTTCCAATGACCAAGCAACGAGGCTGATGAAGTTTTGCAACATAGGGCGATGGCGTTTGGCCCGAGAAATTCTACGAATCCCACTACAACAACCCGAAGGGAAAATGAGCATGACCGTCTATCTCCTTCCTCGACTCAGATTTTCGATATCTTTTTCCGCAAAAAGCTTCGTTGCGATGCGTTGATCGGCATTATTAGACTTAATATATGAATGAATCAAATTCACATATCAACGCTCATACGGGGGTTCACCATTACGAAACTGTATGATATATTTACGGAGCAACTTCGATCGCGCTGGGAGCCGATTTCAGAATCAGAGCGTCCGTGATGTGACTCGCTTCCACATTCCTCAGCTAGCGAGAGATGTAGAGTAATCTGTGACTTGTCAAATTCAGCTTGATCGAAGAGCATGATACCAGCAACCTTTATTACAATCAGTAAGTCTCGGCACCGTATCACAACCGTGACCTCCCTCCCATTCTGTACCAATGCCTAGCCCCGTGTTTAGCATTCACACGCCCGGCTATGCGCGAGCTCCAGGTGCAGACGGTGCATTTGCCCATCGCTGACTTCGCGAGTCGTATCAAGACGACCTCGAATCTCGAGGTGGGGGCTTGACGGGGATTATCATGGTGTCGCCGAATCCGAATCCTCCATCGTGCTATCAGCAGGTTTCCCCGGTATGTCAAACGACGCGCCCTGCAGACCGCTGCTATCACGACGGGCTGACTGACCATGGGCGAGCTGTGTGAGGTTGCGTATGAGTTGTGCGTTAGTGATTGTGTGCTGGTGATTTCGAGTAAGGGGGGGTCGGTGGTGGAGTTTTATGTGGCGATTGAGAAGAAGAGGGCGTGGGTGGGGAGGCGAGATGAGGATGATGTGAGGCGTCCAAGGATCGAAACCTTAGGTAATGATTTCAGATATTAATGATGAGACATCATGGCATTGACGACCGTAATGAAAGAAAGGACGCAAACTGGATGAGTGCTATGTTCCCCGCTTGCATACTCTCGTGACAGTTCCGGCCATCGTGACCTGTGGAAGATCAAGGACTTGTACTTACGCAAAGACGTTGTGTTTCATAGAACACCACAGGTCTGAATCTGGGAGATGAGTGTCGTTTACGGCTAGCCTGATACGGCCTGTGGAAGCATGCGCGTGATATTCCTTATGACATGCACGCCTTCAATCTAGATGTATCTTTTTAGCCTCAAATACTCCGCATATAACTTAGAAGTTGTCTACACTCAACCCGAGATTCATAGTTCGCGCCACGAAATGCCCGTGTTACCGTCAGATACACACGATTACCTTCCCAGTGCGAGAATCCTGTTATGGTTTGTTCAGTGAGAAAGAGCTTTGTGAAAGTTGCAGCAACCTAGGATCAACAACTCATACGGTTCACGTGCGTGCACACCACCCCCCTAGGTATCCCTTACTCTCCCTTTCTCATACTTACGGAGTTGTGGTGCTTCCCTGCTGTCAAGGGAACGACCAAGGGAGCGCAAGGGGTAGTTCATCTCGTTCCTCTATATAGTCCGCCTTTACGGCATCCACAATACGACAGAGTTCACATCAGTTTCAACCTGAGTGAATACTGAAGCACTGGCGATTGCTTTCGGGAACACAACAAGCCGAGAGAGACATTGTGACTCTCAAAGCTACGACGCTCTGGCCCTCAATGGGTTTAGGAATAAATTCAAGTATTCCATCCTCCATTGTTGCTCCTACTGTACGGAACTGAACTTGTATAACTCTTCCAAAGATTTTCCAGTCTTAGGAATTCGTGAGACCGCAGCCATGCAGCCCTACGCTTATACTCCAGCCTCAACCGGGAATCCCTCGACTGCAACTTTCCCAGGCGCAAGCACCACGTCTGCCTCCATTACCCACACTGTCGCTCATTACGAGGACTATAACATTGCTTATTTTCGAAACAACACTTCCATGCTCAGGATAATTCGGGTCGTCATCCATACCACCGGGTCATGGGGAATCGACTCACCCCACAGCGAAAACCATGTCACAATACTTCTACTCTTAGATAGCAATCGTGCGGTAAAAGTCGACATGAGAACCGATGCGGACGAGACACGGAGCAAACTCATCTGGAATCTAGTGAACTATCACCGGTCGTCATCGGGAGATCAAGCATAAGGATTACGAGCTCGGTACTGCCGTGGAGGTTAGGAGCCTCGATAATATGATAAGAGATGAGTGGCATCTTCACCGATACCTGTTCTCGGGTGGTGGCTCTGGATGCCACTATTGGAAGTATGAGCATGCTATTCGAATATCATTGCTTGTGGCACTCAGGTTGCAAATTGACGTGAACTCTGTCTTATTTCGGGGGCCCGAAGGCCAAACTATATACTACGTAGGAAGTGACTGTACGCGTAGGCAGAAGCACTAATTAGAGACAGCAGTAGGCACGGTAGGCACGGTAGGCCACCGTACCCCAACCCCTCTCTGTAGAAGTTGTAACTGGCTAGGCATGTAGGCAGCTACTATGCCAGCAACTCCAAGTGTGGCTGACTTGAATTAGCTACACCCTCTTGTTCAAAATGGCATCAAGGCCAGATGTGTTCAGCTTGCATCCGGGCGCACTGAATCACGCTTGGGACTTTTTTACGAAGTGGTACTCTCTTACTGGGGCGGAGAAACCTAACGACATTCGTGAGGGCAGATTTCAGAGCGAGGAAAATTGGAGGGAAGAGTGGTATGGCGACGAGGAGGAGGAGGAGGAGTAGGAGTGGGAGGAGTAGGAGGAGCGGAAGGAGTAGAAGCATTTCCTTCACAGAGTTGACATCCCCTGTGTTGCGTCTTGCTTTCCCTCTTTCCTATAGCAGTCCTTCTTTTCAGTTCTCTTTAGGGCCATCATTCCTAGCAGCGGCTTTTGCTTCCTTTTCAATTTGGGGTAGTGGCTATTACCGTTAGAAAGGTGACCTAGCTTACAGCAATCCACTCACTATTGGTATTTGACTCCAAGATAGTAAGCTTGTTCTAACAACCGAGTCTGAAATAATTCGCCCTCATCGAGATCATCCATAAGCTCAAGAATCTTGACACTCCAGTCACCCTCCTTTCTTCTGTTAAGTCCTAAGGTACATCTTTCAAACAGTCTAGGGTAAAACTCAGCGGAGGCCCAATCAACAAGGCACAGAGACCCATCCTCTAGCATCAAAATATTTTGAGGGGCGATATCGAGATGGCAGAAGATCAGCGGATAATGTTTCAGGTTGATGTGCTGTAGTTTTTCCAATTGTCTTCTATCATAGTAATCTTCGACATCGAATATGCTTGCGGGGGCGATGATTGAGTCATAGTCTAATCAAAGATGGCCCACCACAAGTCCTCCGTGAAAAGGTCCAGGCTTATCATGTTGCACTTGTTCGAAGTGTCGCAAAACATTTACCATTGCCTTCAAGTAGACGTTCGGGTCTTCGACCGAGAATAGCTCTTGACCGTTGATGTATTCCATGACAATATACCCTGTATCCTCAAGGGCAAAGAACCGATAGACGCGTGGAATCTTTATAATTGCGGTATCGATCATCTCGTATGCCTGCTGCTGGTTTTGGGCTTCGGATTCGGTGACACCATATCCGCACTTCACAACAGCATGTTCTGAAATCCTGATGACTGAGAGTCCTCCTTGAAATTCGCTGACTATGTTTCCGTCCGGAGTTTCTAAGAGTATATTGGAAGATTGGGAAACTTAAATGCGTTGTGTTTGATTGAGAGGTATGAGTCCAAGTTGAGGCATGAGGTTAGCAGTTACCGCTAAGACGAGCCTGGCAGGATCAGAAACATCACGTGATACTACACATCCCACAGATCACTAAAAGTCCTTGAGGCATCACTCACAGCAGGTAAGAGAGTATCAAAAGCCTAAGAGGATGTATCTTAAATCAGACGTGGGGGCGACTTGGATGCATGTCACGTGCTTTCAAATAACAGTGAATGCGTTTCGAAATACCTCTCGAACCAGCATTCAAGAGTTCGCTGATGGTCACAATGAGTATATTCGGTCACAATACACCAATATCATCCAAACTTACGAACTCGCAAACCCACCCGATCATCGTACAACGCACAAATGTTGGCGTTTCAAACATCCCCTCCACTCTGCATCCTCGCCGCCATCAGACAGAACACCCAACCCGATCGCCAATCCCAAAATACCTCCTTTTCCAGCGCTGAATATTCTCGAGCTGCAAAAATGCGGCACAGGTCTTCTAAATAAGAAAGTTTGGTGTTGGGCACTTGCAACCTATACCGTCGGATTGCCAGAGTGCCGGAAGCGCCCTGCGTGAAACACTCTCAAAACAGCTGCGCCTCTCTCGCCCTCACAGCGCTTGGTATTTTTGCTAATGAGCGCACCAAATTAAGCTTAACTGTAGTTTGAGACCTGCATCGCGGCGGTTGTCGCGACGTGTGGCGTAGGTTTGGGGCTTGGTATGGCGTTGGAGTGAGGGGGATATATAATGAGATGGGTGCGCACAAAGTTGAATGCATTAACGATCTGATCTGAATGTTTTGCGCATCTACCTTGATTTGTTTTCTAATTGTTCAAGCGATTTCATTTCTTCTTCCAGAAAGTAATACGTCTTGACCTACCTTTCGATTATCTGATTTTCGAACCTGTATATCTTCCAATATGTTGACTACATACCTCACTCGCCTCGCATGCGCCGCAGCACTCTTTGTTCGAACTCATGCTCAGAACAGCAGCATCCCAGCCGACCTATCCATCGGCTTCGAGACTAGCAGCGTCTCCTTCCAAGTCTCCTACGTCGGGGACCCCGAAAACGGCTTTAAAGACGGAACGACCTTCAAGAAAGCAGGTATGTTCCCCCTCCTCTTCCCCTCTATCGATACTCCTACTAACACCCACCCCTAGACGTAGCCAAAGAGCCCGAATTCGCCTTCGGCGACTCCTCGGGCATCGCCACCGCCACAAAATACCTCATCGTCCTGCTCGACATCTCCTGCGACTCCGCGCGGACCCTGCACTACGCGAAACCCGACTTCAAATACGACTTCGACATCACCTCCATCTCGTCCAACGCCACCGCGATTCAAGAATATAAGCCGCCTGGCGCGTTCGGCGAGACGGGCGATGGGCGGAAGTACGCGTTCTTGTTCTATAACCAGCCTGGGAACAATGATATTGCGACGATGAAGATACCGAAGGAGGGAGAGGCGTTCGAGGTCAAGTCATTCCAAGATGATAACGGGCTTGTGGATTCGGTGGCGGGGGTGGAGATGGTGGTGAATCTTGGAGGGAGTGTGAGTTGTGACGGGAAGGCTGCTGCGACGGGGGCGAGTACGGCTGCTGCTGCGAGCAGTGGGGCATCTAAGACGAGTTCAGTTGGGGACGCAAGCGCTGCGACTGCGTCTGCCAGTACGACGGGAAGTCCTAAGAGTTCAAAATCGGCGGCAGGGTTTACGACTACGCCCTTGGGTGGACTTGAAGGCCCTAGTTCGTCGGCGAAAGATCAGTCAACGGAGCTTGTTGCGGCGTCAACAGCACTTGTAGGCACTTCGCAGACGGGTGCATCAGCGTCTGGTCAGACGGCGAGTGGAACGGCTACTGGAGCGGCGGCCACTGCGACCGGCGCGGCATCAGTATTGTCGCTAGCTACGACGAAGTATGTGATTGTAGCTTCGCTGTTTATGTTTGCGGGCTTATTGGCATTTTGAAGCATGATAGGTTTCGTGGGTTTAGGGGCATTGTTCTGGCGCAGTAGATCTTTGTTTATGAAGGCGTTGGAGGCTAATGTTCTGATATTTAGCGTTTCGGTTAGGCTTTCCTGTAATGTATTCTAGACCTCTCCAGAGATGAGATCGAGACATCGTGAGATAGATTGATGGTGCTGCAAGCGTCAGCTTCAATCGCTGAAACCGCATCAGCTGAATCACCACTGTATCCTAACACTAACACTGTATATACAATACTCCACCTTTCCACCCTAGCGGCCCACTATATGTACTGATCAGCGTGTGGGGTTGTTCCGTCCGGGGGAAGCTGTCAGAATCCTGCAAATCGCCTCGGCACAAGCAGACACAGCGGCACTGTAACACGGCAACTCCTCATATGATAGTCATGACGAATCTTAATACTATCCACCATGCTACCTCCTCAATTCCAATAGCTCTTCATAACCCGAGCTTGTTTGCTGCGTTCGTTGCTAATCCTTCTTCACCGCTACATTTGACGTGATTGCTGCTTTTTTGGAACCAAAGTTACAGTTCGATTAGGCGAAGGGGGCAGCAGATATGGCGCTCGGTACGTAGACAATAGCATTGTCCATGTGCACGATCTGTGCTACCACTCAAACCTCCTTGCTTCACGTCCCAAACGGCTAACCCTCTCCTTTGTATAGCTACTATCGCCGCAACCACCGCCGCAACCACCGCAGCCGCCGCATATCTAGATGCCAAACTAGCTCTATCACAAGATGCAAAGCGCCTATATCTGATTTGGAAATCGAACCAAGAATTTGCTGCAGCTGGTACTGCGAACCCTTTCCATGCTCCTATCTTCGAATCTCAACTGTCTCAACTCTGACGCTTCTGGGACATATTAGCAAAAGCCAACCGCGTAAGCCTCTGGTATTTCTTCGAAGCCCAAGTAAACCGCCTCCCCTCCCACACGGAATGCATCTGGTCCCGCGACGGCTGCTACAACTGGGCCGAGACCTACGCGCAATGTTGCCGCTACGCCCAGTTCTTCCTCGCCAACGAGCTTAAACCCCTTGAGCTGGTCGCTTTCTACCTCACCAACCGCCCAGAGTTCATGTTTAACATGATTGGCTCATGGGCCGTGGGGTCGGCGCCGGCGCTGATAAATTACAATTTGAGTGGGGATTCGTTGGTGCATTGTTTGAAGATTAGTAACGCGAAGTTGCTTATTGTGGATGAAAACACGGGGTGTAGGGAGAGAATTGAGGAGGTTAGAGATAGGATTGAGGGGGAGTTGGGGATGCGGATAGTGATTTTGGATGAGGGAAAGAAGGGGGAGATTAGGCGGTTGGAGCCCAGGAGGCCGGAGGATGCGTTAAGGGAGGGGGTTAAGGGAGATTTTCCGATGATATTATTGTATACCAGGTACGAATTTCCCTTCTCTGCCGTTTCGTCTTTCTCTTTCGCGAGCTCCATAATCCATTTCTTTCAACATACGTCAAGTCACGTGCTCCAAATTTCTTAGAACCAAAGTCTGCTCCTCATTTGTGAACCCCCTTGGCCATATCTTCAATCAGACCACATCTTAACACTCCCAGCGGCACAACCGGCAAATCAAAAGCCTGCCCCTTCCCCATCGCCCGCGCCGACGCCCTCACGAGCGCCCGCATGGGCGCCATTGGCATCAAGTCAGGCCCCGGCGGCGACCGCTGGTACGACTGCATGCCCCTTTACCACGGCACTGGCTGCACAGTCTCCATCAGCTGTATGATAACCGGCACAACCGTCTGCATCGGCAGGAAATTCTCTACCTCGCGCTTTTGGGACGAGGTCCGAGATTCCGACTCCACTGCTTTCGTGTATGTCGGCGAGACGGCACGGTATTTGCTTGCGGCGCCCCCAAGCCCGAGAGATCGGGAGCATAGAGTGCATTTGATGTTCGGCAATGGGCTACGGCCGGATGTATGGTCGCGGTTCGTGGAGCGATTTGGGATCAAGAAGGTGGGCGAGTTCTTCAACAGCACAGAGGGCGTGTTTGGGTTGTTGAATGTGTGTCAGGGTATGATCCCCTCCCTTAATCTCACTACTCACATTCTCAATACTCACGCAAACTCCAGGGCCTTACCTCACCTCCGCCGTCGGCCACCACGGCGCCATCATCCGCTTCCTAACCCGCAACGCCTACATCCCCGTCGAAATCGACCACGAAACCAACGCCATCGTCCGCGATCCTATCACTGGGTTTGCGTCCCCGAAACCCTTCGACGAAGGTGGCGAAATCATCGTCAAGATCTCTACGGAGTCTGCATTCCCAGGCTACTGGCGGAATCCTGAAGCCACGGAGAAGAAGTTCGAGCGGAACCTGTTTAAGAAAGGGGACCTATACTACCGCACCGGCGACGCCCTTCGGAGAACTCCAGACGGGCGGTGGTACTTCATGGACCGCCTTGGCGACACCTTCAGGTGGAAGAGCGAGAACGTGTCTACGGCTGAAGTGTCCCACGCACTCGGCGACTTCCCTGGCGTCATGGAAGCGAATGTGTACGGAGTTGAAGTACCCGGCTACGACGGTCGCGCGGGCTGCGCTGCGCTGTTCATACCGCCGGAGCTTCGAGATAGCTTTGATTATACGGCACTTCTTGCTTATGCTTGTGCGAGGTTGCCGCGGTATGCTGTTCCTATTTTCCTGCGAATAAGCTCGAGCGTCGCGCCGACGCATAATAATAAGCAGAACAAAGTCCCGTTACGCAATGATGGGATTGATATACGGAAGATACGGGAAAGGGCTGAAGCGGAGGGGAAGTCGGAGAAGGAGGTGGATAAGATTTTGTTTTGGCCGCATGCGCTAGGGCATCCGAAGGTGGAGGGGTTGGAGGGGGAGGATAGGTATGTAGAGTGGACAGTTGAGGATTTGGATGGGTTGAGGGCAAGTGTTGCGAAGTTATGAGTAAGAAAAAGAAGTGACTGGGTCGAATATTGAAAATATGGATGATACATGATAAAAGTCGAGTCTATAGTCAGGTGACTTCTTCCCAAACCTCGACTCGCGATAATGTATGAGGTCCTACAGGTATACATCATTGACATTAGACCTCTAAATCCACACAAGCCACCAATCCGATACTTTGGTTCGCCGAACTCTAGACACCCTTCGCTCCAATTCAACCAATTATAGAACTCACTAGCACGAAAGTTCCCCCGAGTTTGCTCGAATTATCTCAGCTCCCTTTGCTTCGTTTGCTCTGCCCCAACAGTAAAATTCTCCAAGGCCAACGACTTCTCATTCTTCTGTATCACGAGCTCACCAATTCTTACAAAGTACTACCTGGTCGGCCTTTCTTCGCCGATTGCCGAATCACCCAAGATCTAGATATTATCTCATATATTTGATATTATTCACAAACATCCGATTGCCGCCGCGAGCGAGTATACATATAAAGTTTTCACCTCGAATCTTTCTCTCCCTTTTCCTTCGTACAATCTCTCCAAATCTACCCACGCTCAAGCCAGCAAAAAAGATACCATTCGAAATGGCAGAAGCCACAAGCTCATCCTCCCTTCCCAGCACTACTCCCCATGACGCGCTGGCCGCTCCTTCATCTTCATCCAACCCAGACACCCCCGGCATCCCCATAGCGATGATAGGTGCCTACGAGCAAGTCGGAGTCCAGCTCGCGAGGCTACTCGTGCCGGAATTTGATAGTCTGTTGGCACACTCCTTTCCCCTCTTTACTTACATTCCCCTATTCTTTTTACCCCACTTCTACTTTTTACAACGTCTCCTATACTCCCTTTTCTCCCGTCTCGTTCTCAGAAGCTAACACACCCCACAGCCGTCCACCACTCCCTAATCAAACACGCCCTCGCCGAACTCCCGCGGCTCCTAGCCGGCGACTTAGCCGTCCCCCAAGAAACCGGCATCGGTTCCAACGCTTCCCGTAAAGCACAGGATCGCAGAATCCCTGTGGCGATGATCTTGGGCCGTGAAGTGCCAATGGAGATGGAGGGCCAAATCTTAGAGAAAGTGAGGGAGCTGGAGGCAGAAAAGAAGGATGCGCAGAGTGTAAGGCGCTCGGTGAAGTTCATCAGAGTAGGCGCGCCGGACAAAAGCATCATTGGGAAAGGGGGCCCGCCGGATGTGGGCATGTTGGCTGAGTTGCTGAGGGGGAAGTTGAGGGAGGCGCTGGGGGGTGGGGAGGAGAGTTGAGGGGGTTCGTAGGAGAGTTGTTAGCTGCGCTAGGTCGGATTCGTCTGCGGATTGTCCTGAACGAGAGTAGGAACTTGTGATGAGACTTGCTGCAATACTTGGAGGTGAAGGATGTGGAGTGTCAAATGACTTAGTTGAGCCCGTTGCTGTATTTGTTGGAAGTATATAACGTGGCTTATTTTCCGGTCCCCCTAATCTTAGGCGGGGTGTGCTTTTTTCATCCAACGGTATCAAGGGAAAGGGGATCTAGTACGTCCTATTCCGAGTGCCCTACCACGTCTCGTTCCAGTTTCCAGAAGCCTCGCCGTGCCAGGATCCCGTATATTCCACGCTCTCCCCCCTCGCCCTCAATCCACATCTTCATCGACGTTCACATTCTCACAGCCATCAACCCCCTCATCATCCATCCCCCTCACAAAAGCCTCCGCCTCCACCCTCTCCACTCCCTTTGATTTCTTTCTGTTGATGCTAACGGCGGACTCTACAAGACATCGTGCGCGAGACTTTCTAGCATAATAACTAGATGAAATTTAACAAAGTCTACCTTGAAGGGAATAACAGTTAGGCTTAACAAGCGTATAAGGCTATTAGCAAAAATGGAAATCTACCCCTAGAATCACAGCCGGCTTTATATATAATATTCTAATCGCAATATCTCTAAAAGGCCAACTTCTTATTAGTTCTAAGGATAGCAAGAAATGGAACTTCCCTTGCAGGGTTAGCTTTATTAATATTAATAGTCTATTTAAGACTATAGTTCTAGGGGAAGGCAAGGACCCTAAAGACCTAGAAGAGAACACGCTATTTATCTAAGTAATAGGTCTTTTTAAGAGGGATAAGTTCTAGAAACACTATAGGGAAAAGTCGGGGTGCTAAAAGACAGAGTATAAGAGACTAGCATTTATAGATAATAAAGGGAAGGTATTAAAAGAACGCGATCTAGAGTATAAGTATTGCAGTCTTATAAACAGCCTAATAGAAAGGTAAGTGAGGTCCTCCGGGTTTAAAACGTTCTTCACGATTATGCCATTTCGACAGGTGTATGAGCCCGGATCGGACGGGGTGGCCTGCAGGCAAGAAGAGGGTTTTCGTATTAGTCTTTGCTTTCCACCCCCTCTGCCACCCCCCTCATCGCCTCCTCCCCGACAGCCTTCACATAACTCCCCTCCTCCTACACCGGTGCCTCCTCATCAAAGACCGCACACCCCTCCCCCATCCCAACTCACCTAACCTCCAACCCCCCTCGGCACCGCCTCCACAATCGACCTCAAACCAACCCCCAGCCCCAGCGCCACTGGCGCCATAACCCCCCGCTCAATCAACATTCCCCACCTCGTATGCACCTCATACATAACGCACACCCTAACCTCCCTCAGCGCGGGCACATAACGGAACCCCCCGAACTTCTGCGGAAACGCTCTCACGCGGCCCGCAGCACCGCCAGCATCAGCAAAGTCGTCGCGCTCAAACAGCGACTGAAAGAACGGCTCACTGGTGATATCGAAGACAAGGACAAGTTTCTGGATGCGCGCAATGTCCCACTCATGCCACACCTTCGTCTCCTCCCTTACCCGCCCCGCGAAGCGCGGCGGGAAGCGGGTCGCGCCCGACCCCCGTGGGTGGAAGTGCGCCGGAACGTCGAGGTAGCGGGTGGTCGGCTAGACCGTCGAGCTCGGCCTCAACCGCCTTAAAAGTGGAGATGCTGTTTGCAGGGCTTGTTCGGCGCAGTCGAAGGTGGCGAGGAAGGTGTGCGTGCGGTACAGCGCTTCTTTCGCTTCCTCGGACGCTTGCTTGCAGGTCTGCAGCAGCGCGGCGTTGACGAGAGGCTGGTTAGTGGGGTACTCCTGGCGATGCTGCGGGATGACGGCGTGGGGCCTATCTCAGACAGGTCTTGGGATCGGTGGGTGTGTCGGACGAGGTGATCGGGGCTAGGGCGTGGTCGTATACCATATCCCTCAATTCGCGCGGGAGGTCGAAGAAGCGGAAAGAGCTGGTGGGTTGCCATTCGGGCTTGGGTTCGGGCTGGGGGACAGGGACGCTGGCCTTCTTCTTCTTTATAGTGAAGAAGACGTTATATGGAGCGTGGCGCTTGCGTTTTCGATGGAAAGTAATCAGTGTCTATTATAATGCACAAGATGAAGTTGGTGAGAGTGAACTTACAAGAGAAGCCGGACCGACGACTTCCGTCAGGTCTGCGCGGTACGCATTGTCTTCTAGTAGATTGGGTGTAGTAGCTGTAGTGGATAGCACGAGCCTGATTGTGGTGGGTTGAGCGTTGAAAAAAGAGGTGATGGCGGGAAGAAGGTAGCTTGTCGAGCGTTGTCGAGGTATTTACAAAGGTAGGATCCGGCGACTAGAGACTGGGAGTCAGTGAATGCAGTACAGCAAAGTTAAAGGCAACAATATCATGTCAGCACGAAGATTTAGTGCATGAGCAGAGGATCCTAGTGAAAGAAACTTCAAAGTTCCGAAATTGAACATCTTCAATATTGGATGCGACTAGCTTTACCACATGGGTAATAGCTACACCGAAAGCCCACCGCATACAGTAGCTCTACTAGACCGACCCCTGCGGTCCGTCATGCATACCGAGCCAAACAACTAGCATCGCTGCTCTGTTCGCATATTATCGCCATAACGCCAATCTTTAACAACCCAAGGGACCCACCACCCAACCGGACATCCGTCCTTCCAGCAAGAAACGCTCGCCGGAGAAGAAAAGAAAAGACGGAGAATGAGAAAAGAAAAAGAGAAATTATATACAACACCAACGTCTATGCCTCAGTTTCTCGCAGCTTGCGCTTGCTTCAATCCGGGGCTCTGCACACCAGCAGTGCCTGGAGTCCCACTCGCACTCCTGGATGGCGGTCTCCCATTGCCAAGCTGCGGACTGCCGCTGCCGCCTTGTCCCATCTGTCCCTGTCCCTGCGTCTGCGGTCGTTGATTCATTATTTGGCGTGCCATCTGCGTATGATACTGCGCTGAATTTGGGCTTGGTGACCCTGCAACACCAACTCCGCCGTTCCCATTGACGCTAGACATGAAGCCATTCCCAGTCGGCATGGGCGAGCCCATCCCAGAGGCCGAACCTGTGGCCGCGCTCATGGCCGAGTTGCGCGCAGCTTGCACTGTCTTCTGCACCATATGCGTCGCTTGTTTCTGAACCTGCTCCTGTGTCCAATCAGGGTGCTGGGCACGAACTTGCTGCATGTATTGGCCGAGGACTGGGAGATGGCCGCTGGAGAGAGGCCGGGAGGGATTCTGATAGCCGACCGGATTGATTTGACCCATCCGTGGAGATCCGGCTGACGTTTGCATGCCGTTCATAGAGATGTTCGGGCTACCATTCATGCCTTGGCCGCTCATAGAAGCCATCATTGCTTGGTTGGGGATGCCGTTGCCACCATTCATACCTCCAGCCAAATTACTAGCCATGTTGATTTGTTGTTGCTGAAGCTGGAATTGGTGTTGATTAGTATTTGGGAACTGACTCCGCTGCATGGCGAGCCGGACGTTTTCCGGAGGAGGCATGCCCTGTCGATTCTGCATATTGGCCTGCATTGGGGCTTGAGGGATACTAGGGGCCCCCATAGGCATTCCGGACATATTGCCGTTTGGGAAGTTTCCCTGCATGACGGGTTGGCCGGGGTGTGATCCAGTTCGAATGTTCGCGTTGGGAGTTTGTGACTGCGCGGTTGTGGTCGATAAGGGGCTTGGAACGTGAGTTCCATTGGGAGTACTGTTTCGCGGAGGTTGGCCGACACCATTTGCTGGATTGGGTTGTCCTGGAGCTTGGGGTTGGCGTTGTGCAGCGGCAGCCTGCCTTTGCATTTGTTGGCGGTACAGCTCCTGTCTCTCGCGCGCCTTTTCGTTTCGCTCATGATGAAGTCGGCTAAACTCTTGCGGGGTATGGACGCTTGTCTTCGGCGCAGTAGGCTCGTGTGCTTTGCGGAGCTGAGCAGCTTTGGCAGCTAAAACATTATTAGTACGTGATCTTTTACGATGAAGAAACCATGATCATCAACACAGCGGCCGAGAAATAAAATTATTGACAGACATAAAACAGGCAAGAAAGACACATTCGCTCGAAGGCTAAAAGTCCAAAAACAAAGATAAAGAGGTAAGACAAATAAGAAGACCACGCCCAAGGGATATCTACTACCGTGTACCGCCCACTGAGATGCGTAGAACAAGAATGACGAGTAGTAGAATAGTGGTGGAGCTTACATTCTTGCTGCTTGTGCGCCGCCGACTCGCGTTTCCGAGCCAGCTTCCTCATTCCATCAATAATGGCAAGATAGCGATTATTCTTACGTCTTTCCACCCGGATGGGTTGAGTAGTCCGCCTCCGCACCTGTGACGACAGTGGTTGTCCGGCAGATTGGGCTTGTTGTTGCAGCTGCTGTTGCAAGGCCTGCTGTTGAGCTGAGACCGTTCGTTGCGCAGCCTCCAGTCGGGACTGGTAAGTTCGGAAGTACTGAGTTTTGGACATCTCAGCCGGTAGACCCTCCAGCTGCACCCACCTCTCGAAACATTCCCAAGGTGTTCGTCGCTCCGGGCCGGAAGTGAACATCGAGGGCATCGCCATGCAAGACGCAATTAACGACCAGTTGAAGGTATACTCCTTGACGAAATTCCGCAACTTCTGATCCTCCTCCCAAAGCCATTGAGACGATGCCCGAGATTCGAAGAAACTGGTCGACGGCATGGCAAACTCGGAAGGCGGTCGGAACGCGTGGCCGGCTTGGATTCGATCTCGCACATGCTTGTTCTCCGGATTAAAGAGAGCAACATCCGTCATTTCTGGGTCTAGATCATTCCTGTTAAAGCGGCGTCCGGGCGTTGAGGGCATCGAATGCTCAGTGGTTGTTTGTGATCTGCTAAGCGGACGACTGGGAGGCTCATCTTCTTGATCATAATCATATCGACTACGCTTTCGAGGAGGGCCGTTGACGAGCGACTTCATTTTGCTAGTGACTAGTCTTGACACAGGTAGGATAGACGGCTCGGATATCAGCGCTGCCGATGCATCGTTGAAATCAGTCTCCAGAGTTGGCTCATAAGCGGGCAGCTGTCGGAGAGTCTCCTCCCAATAAGGTGTTCGATCCATCTTTATCATGACATCGTTGAACCCAAAAGCGAAGAGGCCCGAAGGGGGGTTTGAGCCGAATTTTGCAAGGAGTTCGTCGTCATCGGGTAGCGACTCGTTTTCTGTCTCATTCGGTCCTGAAGCGATAAGATCAGGCGTAGGGGCATCCGCCATATCTTCATCGTTTCCTGGAGCATGTGGTGGTCGTCGGGCTTTGACCTGCTTAATTTTCCTCTCTTCTGGACTGCTATTGACGAAATCGGCACACCACTCGGCGATAGTGGCAGCAAGTGAAAGCTTCCACTTCCGCTCTTCCCTGAAATCTGTGGACATCCATTTCATCTCGGCAAGAACATGGTCGAGGTGGCTAGTGAGCCGAGGCGGCTCTCGACATCTCTGGAGTTGTCGCAACGACCAACGATTGGCATTCTGCAACTGGTAAACGCGCTTCAGTATCTTGTAGTCTTGACATTCCCGTAATGTGGCCAGAGTATTTGAGGTGGTAACAGTCTTCCTCGCGGACTGAAGCAGCTCTTGAAGAGGCGTAGATCGAGGCGGATGGTGTGCTTGGTACGAAAACAATCCCTGGAGGTAATCCTTGCTCTCGTCCTGGGAAGCTCCTCGAAGCGCAGCATAATCCTCGTTGAGTGATTGGACAGCGCTGGAAGGGCGTGCAACATCCGGTTTGGCAATAACTATGGTCGAAGCTCTCGACTTGCGTCTGCTTTCTGCAGGGCGTGGACGAGATGGCGTCACAGGACCAGATCTGGGAGTTAGTGTACCACCGGCATGTGGGGTCTCGCCCAGAATCTCTGAAACCGATTTTTGCCGCATAGCTCCAGATGAAACACGAGTAACCATGCGCGTGGGCGGCGATCGAATTGCCGACTGGGTATCTTTCGTTGCAAGGTCAGGCGCATCTTCCATTTCGACATCGGCGGGAGGCGTGGTTTGCTTGGTCGGAGTTCTTTGTGGTTCTACTGGAACGACATCCGGTTTGCTTTGACTTGATTCTAGATGATCAGCGACGGTCGTAGATGGAGTTGGCAATGAATGCTGTTGAGAAGTATCCGCTTGTTGAAGGCCTTCATTCGCCTGGGCATCATCGACCATTTCCTCGGCGTGTTGAGTGAGCGAGTCGGCAAGGGAATGCGCGCCGACAGTGCCTGATACACCATTATCCTTGGTAGAGTCTCTCATCTCTCGAATCGCTTGTTCGCGCTCCAGTTGGGTCTGCGCATCAGGAGTTTCCGGCGTCGCATCTCTTCCAGTATTGACCTGCAGTCCCTTGGAGTTCCGTTCTGTCGATCCACCTGCTATCTGCGAGACTCCATCGGGGAACGTCTCCTCTTCCGGGCTTGTGTCAGGGGAGCGTTGGTTAGGTCGAGGGGTCGCTGTCGACTGGCCCATGGTTGACGACGGCGAAGAAGCAAGATCTCCCGCATGAGGTAGTCCCAGCCTCTCGTCATCCTTCCGCTCCCTTTCAGCCGTCTTTTCCAAAGCACGCGTCGTGTCTTCCAAGCGTTTCTCTTGTTCTTTCTTCGGGGGTAGGTGCACGACTTGCGGCGGTTGAGGTGGTGCTTCAGAGTCGTGGTTGGGAAGGGCAGAGTCTGGTAGGTTGGCTGTGTCGTCTACTGTCTCTGGCATAGCTTTCTTAGGGTCCACAGATGGCTCTTCAGATACGGTCCTTGCCTGGTTATCATCGTTGTCGTGGGTAGGTTCATCAGGCTTCGGAGTAATGGATTTGGTCGCGTCCGAATCCTCGACACCATCAGGCGCAGCATGGTCCAATGGAGCCTGAGTGGACTTTGATACCTTCGCCGAGGATTTCAGGTTCCGTTTGGGCATCGCGTCATTGGCAGTCAAAGGTTCGGGGGTCGAAGCAGGCTGGTGTCGCGACGGCGAGGCAGAGACTCTCTTGGGGCGTTCACCGGCGGCGACCTGGAGGGAATTGGCAGCAGGCGCGGGCGAAGAGGGCGCATCCAGAGGCTTGGTAATTGATAGACTGGTAGACTTTGGTGACAGCTTTGCATTTTCGTAGGGTGAGAGTAAGGTAGAGTCGCGAAAGTGACGGCCTCTGCACGCGGCATTAGCATTGCGAACGGCGATAATTAATTCAATCAAATTAAATAACGGAATGCTTACTTGGAGATGTCATTCTCATCTAAGTAGTGCAGCTCATGCTCGTTGGGCTCGTGGTCGAAGAAGTCGAAGTCGAAGCCGAGCGCGGGCTGCGGGTGGTGTTGGGGGCTCAGGAAGGTGGTATAGGCGTAGAGCTCGCGCAGTTTACGCTTGCGGGAGAGCTCACAGGAACTACAACGCCGATAATAAGCACAACCACGCCGGGGCAAAACAAACGGAGCGATTTTCTGGTTTCGCATCGTGCAGTTCTATCGCAAAATGCGTTCTGCGACCGTAAAATCGGGCGTGACTTACGTGATCTCATTCTTTTTCGCCCTGGCTGTCGCATCACGAAGTTCGTCTAGGGACATATGAAGGCCGAACCTGCCTGAACGACATCCGTCATTCGCGAGTACGTCCAGGGCGATGATTTGGGGCGGAGCTGGAAGGGTTTGTTGATGGAAAGTGATGAAGTCGTGATGGCACCGAGCACAAGATAGACGGTGGTGTCGGGAGAGAAGGCCTGATTCCAGAGACTGCCCAGTCGTGCCAGTCTTATCGCGGGAGGCGGTCAGCCCAAGTGTGGCAGAATAAAAAAAATACCACCACCGCACCTCACCGCGAGACCACCGCATACACAGTGCAATATCACACTATTGTCAAACCAGCCATGGCGAAACGGAAACTGGACGGTGTAGATGGCGTCGCACTACCCGCGAGCACAAAGAGAGGGAAACAGGACGCCGGCAAACCTGCACGCCAAACATCAAACTCGGTGAAGCCTGTGCCTATTAAGAGCAATGGGGATGCTCCGAAGAAAGAGAACGGAACTGTCCAGAAGAAGAAGCCAGTTGTCGAGGATGCCGTCCTCGAGTCAGCGGTTGTTCAGTTAGGAGAGGATGTCGATTCAGCCACTATTCAAATAATCACGGGATCATACGAGAGGACTCTCCACGGCTTTACCGCAGTCATTTCAAGAACCATCCCGGAACCAAGAGATGCGCCAGAACTCAAAGATACCAGTAATGAAGCTACTGAGGATGATTCGACTTCTAAACTCAACGGAAAGAGCAAGGTTGCAGACGCCACGAATGGGACCAGCTCAGCCATCACCAAAAAAGACCCTCCCTCAAAAGACTCCAAAGCTACCCTCTCCTTCACAGACACCTTCCTGTTCACCGCCCACACTTCTTCCATCCGATGCCTTGCCGTCTCGCCGCTCAAATCCGCCTCCACCCCCGGCTCCAACACCTCCCAATCCGTCCTCCTGGCCACCGGCTCCGCCGACGAGCGCATCAACCTCTACAACCTCTCTACCGTCCCGCCAAACCCCTCTTCAATCCCGAAACTCCCCACACTAGCTGGGACATCAATCTCCGAGAACCCCCGCAACCGCGAACTTGGCGCCCTTCTGCACCACTTGTCTGCTGTCACGTGCCTCGCTTTCCCGACACGAGCCAAATTGCTGAGTGCGGCTGGCGACAACACGATTGCGATTACCCGGACTCGCGACTGGACGCCGTTATCGACTATCCGTGCGCCGGTGCCGAAGGCGGTGGGGCGGCCGAGTGGAGACACTGCTGCGCCGGGCGAAGTACCAGCTGGAGTAAACGACATCGCGGTGCATCCGAGTCTGAAGCTCATGCTGAGCGTGGGCAAGGGCGAAAAATGCATGCGGTTGTGGAATTTGGTTACGGGAAAGAAGGCAGGCGTGTTGAACTTCAGCCGGGACTTACTCGCTGCCGCTGGGGAGGGGCGGTGGGATACCGGCGAGGGTAGGAAGGTGGAGTGGGACCCTGCTGGGGAGGAGTACGTGGTTGGGTTTGAGAGGGGGGTGGTGGTGTTTGGGATGGTATGTTCTCTATCCCTCTCCCTCTTTATTCTCCTTCCTCTGCTTCATATAAATATAATTGGGTTTGACTAACGCCCTCAGGATTCCAAACCCTCCGCCCTAATCCTCCCCACCCCCAGGACAAAACTTCACCAACTTCACTATCTCCCCTCAACTGCTTCTACTACTCCCATCCTCGCCCTCTCAACAGAAGACGGCCGCATCCTCTTCTACCCCACCGCCGCCCCTACCACCTCTCCCTCTTCATCCCCCGCTCCTGATACCTCACTCCCCAACAAAGGCCCCGCACTCGACCTTCCTTCTCTCTCTCCAATCGCAACCCTCGGCGGCGCGCTCGCTGGTATCGCCGGACGGATCAGAGACTTCACTATCCTCGCACCGTTCATCAACGGACCGCTATTCGTCGTCACCGGAAGCAGCGACGGAGCCGTACGGATATGGGGCATCCAAGCCGGAGAGCTAGAGCATAGTACAGACGCGAAGCAGGTAGGCACGCTACTAGGCACATACGAGACAGGCGCCAGGATCACCTGTTTAACAAGCTTTGTCATGTCTGGAACCGCAGAGGAGAAGGGCGAGGAGGAGCAAGCTGTCGTCGGCGCCGATGCTTTAGAGAGCAGTGATAGCGGGGAGGAGAGTAAGAGCGATTAGAGCAGAGATTGGAATGAGCCTCTAGCATAGCAGGTTTAATACCGTACCGTGTCACCTCAGACAGCGTCCTGAATTATGAAAATGTAGTGAAGGTCGTCAACCCTGAACAGATGGAACTGTGCGAAGACACTTGGCTGGATTGGTCACGAGCGGCGAGAATATGGAATAGCGACAGAGATGAGTTGTTGTTGCTGTGACTACAAGGAGGTAGAACAGGGGCTCGGAGATTCCTAGGTAGATGGTTCAACGTCCTGTTTAACACGTTGACGTCTCCCGTGATCCAAGTCCCGCGCGCCAGTGCCATGCCTATGAAATATACCCCCGCGTCTGGGAAGACACGAGACTTTGGGGAAGAAACGACACTGAGCTGTTCCCCAGAGTTCAACCCGTTGTCACCTCACCTCGGAATCCAGGGAGAATACGACACTAAATTTTTGCTTCTTCCCATAAACTCAACCCGTTGCCAGACTACAATGTAAAGAGCCCGCGGTGCTTGCCCAAATTCGACGAGAATCGGGGGTTCTTAGCAGCGAGCTGAGGATGAGGACGAAGAAGGTGAGGCTGGTGAGCTGGGCCTGAAGTCGAAGGAGCGGTTGTAGATGAAAGGTAAGGATTCGTTAAAAGCGGAGATGAGGCCGTAGATGAAGCTGTTATCTAAGGCGGCGAAGGCGGTGAAGGGGTCGGTGGTGAGGAGGCGAAGAGAGCGAGAGAGGTGGTAGTTCAGGTGGGTGTGCGGGCAGGTGGTTGGTAGAGAGGTGGGCAAGACAGCGGGCGTGTTCTTGTAAGAGGAGGATGGTGTGGCGCGATTCGGAGAGGGTGAGCTAGTGATTTTAGTGATTGAGGATGTTGGTGTGATAATAGTAGGGGAAGGCGTATCGTAGTGAAGCTCCGAAAACTGCTACGAAGAACTAGAAGAGGAAGCGTTATTCCTCGGCTTCGACTATATAGCCAGTGATCGCGAGTGCTTGTGGCGGTCATGTGTGGCGGTCATGTTGTTAAGCTCAATCATTAAGGGCCATAGCTTTCCTCAGCCTAGATATTTCAAGTAAAATGCGAACCTCTCATCTACTAATTTGCCCAGCAGCTCAGTTGGTCGGCCACATCGTGTGTAAGCCCGCGGCCGGTTCCCAGGCATTATACCTCGCGAGGTAGTGTTTCACTACCGTCGACAACCTCACTTGGCTGGGTCTTGAGTTCGATTCTCGATTCGACCAACCCTTGTGTTAAAAAGTTGAGTTGACTTCGGGCGGCCTGGTTCGTAGAGAGGCTTGGAAGCCTGGTAAAGAGGATGTATGCAGTTGGTGCGTGAGGCTGAGAGTGGCCGGTTAAGATGACGGATTGAAGAATACCGCGGGCGGGCGGACATAGAGAAACCCCTCCGGGGTGGCTACACCCTCGAAAGAGGGTGGTGTTTTGCTCCTTAGATGTTCTTTTTTTGCTCTACACAACCTTACACCTTAGTATTGGCTGATGAGTGGGATGCCCAGATGCTGGCATTGCGGTTCATTCCAACATTTTACATCGTTTTAAAGTGAACAAAATGCTGGCATTTCCTAAAGCGAAAAGTACAGCGGGAAGAATAGAAACATAAAGAGCTTAGCTTTCTATACTTTACTGTCTATAGGTCGCTACGAGAATTTATGGTAGCGTGCTCTTAATGCTATGTTCAAAGTTCACGGGACGATCCAAGATCTCGAGGAGAAGTATGGGCATTCGAGCAGTCGAGCAGAGATATACTATGTATGCATTCGCCTTGACGGCAGTGTGAATCTGGGAGGAATGATTACATATATGCTGGTGGTTATCAGGCAGCTGTCTCGACCGGTCGACTTCACAGTATCGACATTCGTGCAGTGCTGAAAGAGTAGTGAGCATCCTGAGCATGATGAGGTTAGTTAGAAAGGTGGATCGCTTAGTCACCTCATTCACGGAAAGGCCGAGGTCCCAGGGTCAACCTCAACTCCATGATACAGCTCTAAATCTTATCCCATCCTGCATCAATCGTCTCTTTTGTCCCGGCCTTGCATTTCTCCTCTTCTAACGCTTCTGAAAGGCAACCATGCCCGCCTTCACCCACCCTTTCGCCGCCTCCCCAGACATAATCCGCTCCCACCAAAAAGACGCCTACTTCCAAGGCCTCCTCCTACAACACCTCTCTACGATCCTCCGCAATCTCTACGGTGCCCGTACCGCGCATGCATACACCACTGAAGCGCGGACCTTCGCCGAGCTCCTTTACCTGGGCCTCACCACAGGCCTCGGCAACCGCACGCTGGGCGAGGAATACACCGACATCGTGCAAGTAGAAGACGCGACACTCCGTCTCCCCAATCTCGCACGGCGATCAGGATATATTATATCAACCGTCTTAGTACCCTATGGCCTCGGACGCATCCTACCCGCCTTTCGCAGACGAATACGCGCGAAACTCGAAGCGAATCTCCGGCAGCGCGCGCGGAAAGGACAGAAAGAGCAAGGAAGCGCGGGATATAAACTGCAGTCCTATATCTTACACAATCTGGACACGATAACATCGCCGTCGCCCATATATGCTCTGTCGCTAGCAACGTTTTACTTCAGCGGCGCGTACTACCACCTCGGGAAGCGCATCTGGGGCCTACGATACATCTTCACGCGGAAAGTCGAGGAGAGCGAGCAGCGTGTCGGGTATGAGGTGCTCGGCGTGCTGCTCGTGCTGCAGATGGCTGTGCAGGCCTACTTGCACATGCAGAACACCGTCTCCGTGGCGAATACACCGTCGGTGATGGGATCGAGCGTGGTGCTCGACCATGGTGTCGAAGTCTCGTTGGCACCCGATGCATACAGCGCCAATAATGCGCTGTTGTTTGAGTCATCGGCGCCGAATACGCAGGATCCGCAGAGCCTACAGCGGATCACGCAGACGGAAGTGCTCGGCAGGCCGCGATACGATCTGAAGAATGAGTCGGAGATGGAGTGGATTAGCGGAACACAGCAGAGGAAGTGTACACTTTGTTTGGAGGAGATGAAGGATCCTAGCGTCACGATCTGTGGGCATATGTTTTGTTGGGGTTGTATTGGGGACTGGGCAAGGGAGAAGCCAGAGTGTCCGCTTTGTCGCCAGAGTTGTTTGGTGCAGCATGTTTTGCCCTTGAGAGGGTTTTAGTGGAAGCGGGTTGGTTTCTGCATGTAGGTACTGAATAAAGCGAGGTAATCAGAAAGACCCATCTCGAAGCCTATGGCAAGTCTGTGTACACTTCTTTGCCACCGTTGGAGGTGCCTCAACATACTTTCAAAAATCAAAGCCCATTACTCCGGGCCACGCAGTAAGCTAGGTAGGCCACCCCAGAGGGCGGCAGCCAGGTCTGCACAGAGCTGCGACGAGGTAAAGTATGCCATTCCCTTTCATAATAAGGCTTGCTTCTCTTTTTGGAAACCAAGTACCTAGAGACCTGTATACACTTTCCTAGTGCTGTAAGAGGTGCTTCAACATACCTTCAAGGATCTAAAAAATATTGGATTTCATCACAACTGGGATATCGAGCACATCCAGCGCTTGTTAATGGTCTTTGAGTTGAACTACAAGGAGACTGAAATACTTTTCGATCCTCTTGATGGGCATGCTGACTTGGGTTGCCATGGCCCCGACCCAGCTCGCTTCCGTGCACTGCATTACATGCCCAACCTCCGCGAGGTGCACGTGGTGATGGTATACAATGGCCGAGTAACGCCGGCGCTGCGAGAGTTTTTCGAAGGAAAATCCGAACACGCGCCTAAACAACCTACAACCAACGATACAGTCTCTGATTCTCGCGACGCCAAAACATGCAGAGATCAAGTGGGGCTGCACGACGAACGAGTATAAGGAAATGTTTCACCTTCCTTTCAGGTTCTAAACGAAGAAAGCGAGAAGAATACCATGGGGCGTCGCACTAGAAGAAGTATTGAAAGAGGTGGCGGATGGGTTCAATGAGTTGGAGAGGGTGGATGCTGAGGTCTTTGTGAAGGGTGACAGCACTGTGAGCGTTGTTGGGGCGCCAGCGGGGATCACGAGAGCGGGATGAATGTGGCTATATCGAGTACAACACCAGCAGCCAGGTCTGTGTACACTTACTTGCAGCCGTCTGGGGCACTTCAACGAATGAATCAACGTCGGAATAGGACACAAGGTCATCAAACGCGTGAATCTCATGTCCCTCTCTGAGCCTCCAGATTCCTACAGTCATAAGTTCGGGCACACGGGTATTCCACTGCTCTGGCATCACTCTTGCTCTCTCGATATCACTGTAAGGTGTGTCTTAGGTAACATGTTTCTAACAAGTCAAAAGGTACTCTGATTTCCCTTGCGTTGACCTACAATTTGATTTTAGATTTTTCAATGCCTGTCGGGGTACCTCAACGGATGAATCAGAATCGGAATAGGGTGAAAAGCTTATAAACGCGTGCTTCACGACGTTACTAACCGGTTGTCAAGGCGGCCGGAGCCGCGAGACACGGCGGTGCATGAGTGGGATATCGAGAGCATTCGGAAGCTGGGGTTACTGTTTGATCTGACGCAGGAGAGTGGGATGGAGCAGGGGCGGTATTTTGATCTGCCGATGGGTGGGGATTTGGATGGCGGGGAGGGGGAGGGAGATGAGATGCCGGTGGCGGCGGGGTATAGGGCGTTGCATTATATGCCGGCGCTGACGGAGGTGAAGGTTGTGTTTGCGTATGGCCGGGGCACGAGCAGGGCGGTATGGTCTTTTTTCGAGGGAAGGACGCATGAGGTGCCGGAGGGGCTGGGGAGGGTGATGAGGGCGCTGCTGGAGGCGACGCCGATAGGGGTGGTGGTGAAATGGGGGTGGACGCGGGGGGAGTATGAGGAGTTGTTTCCGCCGATGAAGGAGGATTGGATGTATGCGAGTCAGGCGGAGAGACTGAGTGCCGAGGTGAAGGTTGCGGGTGAGGAGGTATTGAGGGGCGTGGTGGAGGGGATTGAGCGTGAAGGGGTGGAGAGGATGGAGGCGGAGGTGTTTATGAGAGGGGAGGAGGAGGAGGATTGGGGTCGTGCGATGAAGTGTGCAAGCAGTGCGTACTAACTTTCTGTCCTTCCTCCAGCGGAGGGCTCGAGCAAGTGGCAGCTGCGATATTCCTTTTCTTTCTTTGCTAGTAATAGGAGCCGGTGCATGAACAATTGAAGTCGGGCCATAAACAATACGAGCATATATCCCCATCGCTCATCTCCAAGCAGTTATCTCGCCGCTCACAAAACCCTCGACCCCAGCCAAAGCGCCCATCTAATCCTCTTTTGTTCTTCGCGCTCTTTTCTCCTCTCAACAATCAACACCAAATTATCCCACTCCCTCCTCTTCCCCTCACGTGTCATCGCCGGCACCCTCCACACGCGACAAGCCACCTCGGAAGAACACAATGCTCTACACACGCAACAAGCCATCCCGTAAGGACGAAATGCTGTACGCATTTGCAGCCGCCATGACTCATTCCCAGAATACTCCATTTCGGCGAAATCCAAGTAGCGCAGGTCCAGCAGCGCGTCCTCCGCTGCTTTCGCAATGCGCGGATTATCAAAGCCAATATGCTTGCATGATGGGGTGTGGATGGTATCTGCCAGTCGTTGCAGGGCGGGCCGCGCGATTTTATGATCCAAGGCTCCAGCTGGTACCCGGACGAGGAAATATCGGGACCAGGCCGTGTGCTGCGATGTCCCACAGATGGCTTGGGCCGCGAGACAGATATGGCTCTTGGGGGCCTGGGCGAGTTGGGCGGGCGAGGAAGGCGCGGGTGAGGTGCGTGTCTTTGCAGTGGCTGCAGACATAATTGTAGTGGAGGAGGTGGATGCGGCGTTGATGCTCCGCTTTGCAGAGGTATTTATACTGCTCGTGATGTAAGACAGTCTTGACTTCATGCTTGTCGCTAAGGCTCCAGAGCCTTTTTTCAGGTAGTTTGAAAAGGATGGAGAAGCGCGTGCACGTCAAGCGGAGGACAAGGAGTGCCGGTGGGGATAGGTATTCTGAGACTAGGAAGAGCAGTTCCAGTGGGAGCTGGTAGAGCGGGCTGTGGGTCATGTTGTTTCTCGTTCAGGTGCGCAGAGCTTCCATTGGTGTAGGTGAAGGGCTCTTCGAGCTGGCCGGGTGATAGCGAGGTAGACGAATTTTGTAATCTTGGACATTTTTCTCGAAGGTGATTCGGATTCATCATAGATGAGGTTGTGACGTTTGAAATATTCTTCTCGATAAGCTATCATGGCCATGCTGAAGTTGGGTGATGGTTGGCTTTCGTAGTTGAGGGATGGATGATATTCGTGATTGCAGCTAGCGGAGAGAAGTTTGGAGAACGAAAGACTTGTAGGATTTTGAAAGTGCCTGTAGAAGAGTTGAGGGTGCTTGTGCTGGTACCACGGTTATGGTCGTCGACTGAATCATAGGTGTCGTTTTGAACCATGGTACGGCAGCCCAGGGAATACATATTAAGGAACTTCTACGACGGCAGGCCGTAGACGAACTATACATGCATAGATCTTTGACAAGGTAGTGCATACAATTGACTTCAGATTTTTAACAATTCTGAATCTATTAGACAGGGCTGAGTTTTGGAGCAGCTTTTAACGGCGCATTGATCTTCTGAAGTATCATCATCCAGATGGCAAAGACGAGGGCAGTAAGTCCGATAGATGTGCCGAGAAATATGCGCCAGCTTCGGTCGAGGTCAATAGCGAAGATTCCGCTGGACCAAATCGTCTATGTCAAGATCAGCACTCAATCTCCATGGCTAATAGTAGTCCACAAAGCCTACTGCGAGGAGCGTTGATGGCAAGAAGACCAGAGTGATGATCGTTATAGTCTTCATAGCTTGGTTGTCTCTCGCTGCGGACTCGGCAATGCTTGTACTAGTTTTGCTGTCTTGTCGAGCGATGAGGCTAAACGTCTAGAGAATTGTGAGTACGATGGATGGAAACACGGGGGAGAGTTAGAGTTCAGGTATTGACACCCTAGTCTATCACTGCTGGAATAACCCTCTTGGTTAAGAGATACCGCCATCATCAGTTGTCCCGTCAGGCAGCCGGCCATAGAACACAAGAGCCTTTGGGCAACGGCTCTGAATTAGCCGCCTCAATTTTCACCCCGGGTTCTAAATCTTGAAGCACCATTGCGGGGACCGAAAACAGGGATGCACCAGAAAAGAGTGCCAGATTTCGGCGAGGTGGTCCTATACGAGCAGAAATATAACTTACAACATTGATCTGGGACCCAACGCGGCTTAGCAGCTCCTGAAACTTATCTCTGGAGAATTGGCAAAGCTTCTCGTTGTATCGAATCTCTCCTTCGACTGTTTGTCGATGAGCGGGAGTCATTCCAGGCAATTTCAGCTCCTTGTTGGTTCTTTCAACTAGGTCTAGCATCATGCCGCAAAATTTGACGAATTCCGTAGCGAACTTCATCGTGGTCTCTGCCAAAGTCAGCTCCACGTTGATGGCGTGCAATTTCTGGAGCGTTTGGCCATAGTCCTTGTTCTCTTCACCCGCAAGGTCCACAGAGCTCTTGCCCTTAGTAGTCATCCAAGGCGTCATTCCAGTTTCTTCCTCCAGAAGACCTACCCCGTGCCAAAGGCTTCGAAGCCAGCGACCGAAACCACCGAGGCGATATTCTAGTAGGAATATCATCGGATAAAAAGGGTACCGCGCAATTAGATCTTTGTGCTGGATGCATTTGTCTCTCAGAGCTGACGCGTCCCTGTCTTGAGCCGCGAGGATTAGGCATATACATGCTTTATCGTGCAGTGTCATGCGGGACACGATCGTGACAGCACCGCTGTTTCTGGGTACTCGCACAATGAAGGCTAGCCTTTGTTGTTAGTGGTCCTGGTTATTCTTCTTGATGTACAATACAGACTTACAGATGGCAAAAGGCTGCGGACTCCCATCCTCGTAATGAACGTAGTGTGAGATATGCGGTATGCTGAACGCAAAGGTATGCGGAAGCTGGTGCGGAAATCCACAGGATTCGATCAGCGTACGTAATGTGTCTCGTGAGATTCGAAGGGGCTTCTCCTTGCTGGCGAAATCTGCAGCCCCGATGGCAGAGCTGCCAAGTTTAGACGATGCGTTATTATCAGGCTTTAGAGCACAAACAAGAGAATAAATGGAGGCGGGTTCTCAGTTTGAACATTCTGATTCGCAAGTTTATGTGTCGTGTTTTGAATCAACGACTGCAAAGAGAAGTACTGTACTTAGAACCTGAATGACGTGGAGATCTTGATTTTCTCGACATACAACATCGACTAACTTATTTCGAAGGGCATGATCATCCAATAAGTCAGAAGAGACTTGAGCATCCCGACTGTCGTAATATTGCACAGCCGTCTCGTCGTCACAATGAAGCTGCTCGATGTCTTGTTCAAATGTTCGACTGCTCATAGCGACCAATTGACTTCGAGCCGTTGGTTGTCTGTTTATCTCTAGTACGGTACTTGCGCACGGCAGTCTGATATATAACATAGAGAAGCAAGATGATAATGTGATGGATTGAAGCTGGGGAAGAAAATGAGGCTGAAGAGAGAGCTGAACAGGCAGAACTGGAGGGGCAGCGATCTAACCGCATGGAGCAATCGAAAACGAACTTTCTCAGCATGCAATTCATTCATAACATTTACCGTTATGCCACGTAGAGGGTATTTGTCTCTTTTTCTTCTTCGTTTTGTAGGAATTGTAGAATATGATACCGTCTGGGGGGGCGCAGTGAGGGGAATCTGTAAAACAACCTGGATTATGCACTGATAGCCCTGGTAGTGTAGCTGGCCCTGTATATGTGTATACGGATATGCCTCCAGTGCTCTCTGCCTTCGTCCTGCCAAGTCAATGATGGAGTTGAAGTGAAGGGAATCGTTGGACACGGCCTTGACGCGACGTCATCTGCGCAATCGTCACTCCCCCGCGCTAGAGGATGCCAGGCAGGCCAGGCAACCTCAACACCAAGTACCATCGTCGCGTTTCCCCTTCTTTACCCCCCTCTCGCTCTCTCAAGACACATCTTCCACCCGCAACCACCATGTCCGGATTCCACAACATCAAAGGCAAAATCAGCCGGCAATTCGGCGGCAAAGTGAGTTCTGCCCGCCCCTCAATCCCCCAATCAAGCATTCAGACTGACGCCGTGTTTCCTCCAGCTCCACCCTGACGAGGAGGCGTATTTAAGCTGTACGTACACGCTTTGCATGTTGGAACAATACCCCCGCTAAGCAATGGATAGATCACGATGTTCGCGGTATGCGCCCTTCCACTTCGCGACGCGACGAGCCGAAACTGATTGCGGACAACAGTGACAAGGGGAGACTTGGAAAGCATAAAGAATGACTGGTTGACTGATAATGTATGTCCAACGGTCCTGGAGAGTTGGTCTATGTATACTGCTTTGCCGCTGCTTGGGATGCTGTATGCTTTCAGGGCAGACAGAGACTATCTTTAGGAGCTTCTGCCTGGTCGGATACCCACCTGAAGCGGCTTCTTGCAGTCAATCCCAGCCCCAAAGCAGCGGCTCCCAGTGTACACTGACCAATACCCTCCAAATGCCCCCCAAACCACAACTAAGCTAACAACCCCCAGGCCATCGCATTCTGGGAAGAATACCTCGAGCACGAAAAGCTCACGGCCTACCCGAACGCGCACATAACCCTCCTACGCCCCAGCATGGCCTTCATGCTCATGCAAACCCCCAACCCGCTCACTCTCAAAGACGCCCTCCCCGACTTCACGCGCACCACCCACATCTTCCTACCGATCAACGACAACCGCAACGTCGAAGTCGCCGAAGGCGGCTCGCACTGGACCCTCCTCATCGTCTCCGTGCTCGACGGCGTGGCCTTCCACTACGATTCCCTCTGCCCGTCCAACGACGCCGAAGCGCGGACGGTAACGCAGAAAATGGCCATCCTGCTCGGCAAAGGGCTGCGCTTCGTGAACATGGGCGACACGCCGCAGCAGGACAATTCCTCGGACTGCGGCGTGTACGTGTGCCTGATAATGAAGCACCTGCTGCTGCACCGGCTGCTGACGGCGGACGCGAACGGGAAGGTGAATATGAGCATGGCGCGCCGCGAGCTGGACCCCGCGGCGGGGCGGAAGGCGATGCTGCGGATTATCGAGGAGAGGCGGAAGGAGGGCGAACGGCGGCGATCGTGGGTGGACTCTTTTGTTTATTTCCTGTTGGGCTTGTTGAGTGCTGCTTTTTTTTGGGAGGTGGGCGATGAGTGCTAACAATTAGACAGGAGAAGCGTGAGTCCGTTTCGGAGTAAGGGCGAAAGTAAAAGTAGGAGTCCGCCGAGGATCGGGGAAGAGAACGAGAATCTATAGCCGGGGGGTGGGGAGGGGGGATGGTAGAGCGTTTGGGGTTCTAGGTGCTGGTGCATGGCGTTTGGGGCGGTCTAGAACAGCGAGTTGGGTGCTGGGAGCGGGTTTCCTTCGCATCCGCATCTCTGCATGATAGATGGACTGGGCTGAGTGGCCTTTCACCAGGGTGAAAGATGGTTTTATGAGAGATGGTTCATGAGAAATGGGTTATGAGCGTTGGTTCATGAGAGATGGCTTATGCAATGAAAGAGCCCTACTTAACGCTGATGGGCATTGCCTCTTATTTCAATTCTTGAACTGTTGTTTTTCCACCAAGCGTTTGCAGCGAGCAGCATAGTAAATACTTTCGAATTCATTCACCCTAAACAAACCGAGAAAGAACAGGAAGTTATACAGATGCCGTGCACCGCCCTCGCCCAAAACATAGCCCGTCCGCCCATCAGTATGTGCAAGTAGCAAATACCAGCCGTAAGTAAAGTGAAGACGTAAACAGCACACCGTAACATCACAGGGGGATCAGCACTCCTCAAACTCCGCCCTAGCATTCACCAACTTCTTCGCAAACCCCTTCAACTCACCCACCTGCTTCTTCTTCTGCGCATCCGCTCTCGCCATCATCTCATTCTGATCGCCCTTGTGGCCCTCGACGAATTTGTTGATAACCTCACGCCCGTCCCGCTCGTACTCCTTCACGATATCCGCGAGGGCGGACTCGGAGTCGACGAGGTGGTGGATGAAGCGCTGCTCCGTGTTAGTAAAACGTAAACCACAGGCTACGGAGGCAGGGGCGGAAGAAAAGCGTGGTAGGAAGGAGAGTATTAAGGGATGAAGGTGAGGGGGAACAGAGACTGATATGAAGCTATGAGAACGATTATCGACGGACCTTCGACAACCTAAGCAACATATCACTAACAGCACGCTGATGTGGCTGCAGCGCCGCCTCCCACTCCATCTCTTCGGCCTCTTCCTCTATTGCCTGCGCTTGCTGCGCCATCTCAACGAAAGAGCTGGAGCTGTGCAGGCTGTGGATGCTGGCAATGCTCTGGCTCTGGGCCATTGCGGGCGGCGAGGAGGGGATAAGGGTGCGGGATTTGGTTGGGAGAGAAGTGCTGCCTTCGTGTTCGACGAGGGTTTGTTCGGGATCGGTTTCGGAGCTGTTGTCTTGCTCTTCATTCTCGTGATCGTTGTTGAGGTCATTCAAGGGTGTAGGGGTTGAAAGTTGTGGGATAGTTGGCTTTGGTGGGATCTTGAAGACTCGAGCAATCTGGACATCGGGTACCTCCCGCGGTTCTACCAGGGGCTGGTACGAGCTGACCTTGTTCTCAGTTCCAGGCACAAACACAGGTGTTGTAGGAGCCTGGACAATCGCCTGGAGCTTTTGCGCCGCCTTCGCTACTTGTGCTATAATTTGCACCTCCGGGGTATTCTTGAGCTGCGGTACTGCAAGTTCTCCCAGCGACTTTCCCACAGCGCGCTCAGTCAATGGCTTTCGTGTCACCGCCTTCTTTCGGGATGGAGGGACTGGTGTTGCGTCCGGAGAGCGTCCGGAGAGACGTCTTATAAAACTTTCATTCCCTCGTATCGGGTGGTCCAGAGGTCGTTGCTTGAATGGATCACTGGCTGCATTCGCCATCTCTACTCTTGCTCCCGCCGTCTTGAGTTCCTCTTCTTCAGCATGACCTGACAACGCCCGAGAAGCAGCGTTTGGTGAGGCCGGTACAGGCTTGCTGTTGCTAGAGAATACTTGCACTGGAATAGGGTCAGCCGCTCCTAATGAGCTGCCGTAATCCGATTCTGCCGCTTCGCTTCTATCGTCGCTGATTTCAATGAATTCAGGGTTCGAAAGGCCATTGTCGTTCTTCCCGACAGGAGACCCCGACTCTCGCTGTTTGCTATGTTTCGTCTTTTTGAAGTCATCGGCGGTCGGGTTTTTCCGTATGACATCTAACATGGACCTTCCTGATGACATTTTGGTGTCAGCTGCACATGGGCTTCCTGCCTCGTTTACATGAACTTGACTAGAGTGCGTCCGGCTGCGCACACTTTGCTGAACCTTGGCGACCTCGGGATGCTGCGGGGATTCTAATAGCTTCTTCCGCTTTGCCTTGGGCGTTTCCGCAGGAGCCATTTCTGCCGGACGCTTTTTGCCGTGAGCATGACCGATGACTTCTGATTGATTTGGTGATCTTTGTAAAACCGGAGGAGAAGACCCGAGCGGGTCCACACAAGTATCACCTTGAGAGCCATTATCTCCTGCTATCAATACTGCTTCCTTCTCTTTGACTGGCGTAGGCTCTGTCGCTGTGACGGCCTGCGACAGTCCAACAAGCCGGCCAACCACTCCGTTCTTACTTGACCCGGAAACAGGTATCGGAGCTTGATTGTTCGATTTTCGTTTCTTCCCTAGCCCTGATACAGTCGTCTTGGGGGGTTCTTGTAGCTTGCGCTTCTTTGGGTTCGGTGGGCCCTCTTGGGTCGACTCCTGCGTAGGCGCCTGGTTTACATATTCCGATTCTTCATTTCCATAGCCTGGCTCTTCATCCTCGTTGTAATTTCGCCCTTTTGCTACAGAGCGTCGTACAGGTCTTTTCAACTTGCCAGCCCTTTCTGGCTCGTCTGGCGGGATATCGTAAATAGAAAGATCAGCATCCGATGGCACCGTCTTATCCTTAGGACGTGGTCGTGAAATGGTGGCCGATTTGCTCTTAATAAATGTGAACTTGGGCTGTATGGTCCCTCCGACCGGATTCTGCGCTTTCTCGTCGTTCGTCTTTGAAGTGCTCAATTTCGCCCTCACCTTGTATGAGGAAGGCTCGGAGCTCTCCGGAGCGATACTCTTACTGGTATTGACCGCTTTAGCTGGTTGCGTTCTCGTCGTTTTTGGTGCGGGCTTCGGTTTCGGAACTCGTGGCGGAGCTTTCTTCTTGGGAACCACGCTTTTCATAGGTATTTTAGATGCTTTAGGCTTGCTTGGTTCCTTGACAGGTTTCTTGTGGCTGTAGGTGATGGGCTTCCTTAATCCAAGCTTAGGAGCTTTCAAAGGAGTGTCCGGGACATCAAATACGCTCTCTTCGTTAAGCTTCTCTTTGGCTAGTTTCTCGGTGGCTGCCAGAGCAGGCCTTTTGAGTTTTCCTGTCTGTACAGATGCTTCGGTCATACTTTTTGTGGCCTTCACTAGAGGTTCGGCCGGCTTAACCACAGCAGTAGGTACTGTTTTCTCTGGGATACCCTGGTTTGTACCAGCGGGCGTATTACGAGGTGATTCTGTCACTGAAGGCTCCTTTGGATTGCTCCCCTCATTGCCCTGTGAAACATTTCTGCCACTTGAAGACTCGGCGGCGTTGTGTTGATCTTTCAAGTTTTCCTGTTCTTGATTTGCGCTTGAGGACTCGGCGCCGGAGATGGCCGGAGGATGTTCCTGAGATACGTTTGCATCTGCAGCATGAAGCGGATATGATTCTGGAATGACGCTTAATTCCTCAGCTTCTGGGTTGATGCTCGGTCTCTCATCAGCAGGCTTCTCGGCAGCAGGTATCTCAGCATCAGAAGTTTCTCCCTGTAGAGGGCTTCGACTGATATCCAACGAGACTTGACTGGTCGACATCTTTCTCTTGGCCTTGTGGCGCTGTATCTCTTGAATGATGCTCTGCGCCTCCTGTGCATCGGCCATGTTCTCCAGCGTAATCGTTATTTGCCTGGCGTCTCGTTCCTCTGCATTGAAAAGATAGGTCCAAGGAAGCGGTTGGAGAGATATTACGAGCTGAGCGGTTTCAATCCCGGAAGTTTTCTCGTCGCTGCTACGAATGGTCGCCATCCTAGTGTCTGTATCTATGATATGAGCAATCGGAAGGTCGATACATTGCGGAATACGGCCAGCTGTTCCAAGAACAAAAGCGGTCATATATTCCTTGTCGAAGAACAAGACCATGGCGCCAGTTTCTTGAATAAAGTCGTGAGTGTCCTTGGCTGAAATCGAAAGGGCGTATATCATCCCAGCGTCGCCGTCATCCTCGAGGAACTTCAATCGGTGAAGTTCATCCATAAAGCCTTGGAAGTTTTGCATCCACACCTGAGTTTCGTCGGTGGGAAATGGAACAGAGTAAGGTGCACCGTTGGACCAGAAATCGGCATACTGCATGCCACCAAGGATCATCGTGCGAATGATTATTCCCGCGACCATCTTCAAGTCCTCCGGCGCATTGAGAATGACGTTGCTCAACAATCGGACGTCTTTCGTAAGTGAACGAAGGTGCTCTAGGACGTCATTGGAGGATTCGATTAGCTGGTACAGGACGAGTCCGACCTGTTACGCCGTATTCGTTAGCTCTGGAACCTCTGAACGCCAGCTTTTCGCTTTCCATATGGCTCAAGGTGACATCGTACCCATCTTCGGTTCCGATTGGGGAGTGCGCGGTGCGTGAATGCGTGAAGGTAGGCTTCGGCGACGGATGGGCCGAGAACACCTTTTCCGTAAGAGCCGGTCGCGACAGCGGCCTGCACCTTGTCAGTCCATTGAGCGCATCATCACCCAGGCGAAGACTTACCATCAGCTCAAACAACCGCCTGCATGAGGCATTGTCGCCGGAGTTGGCGAGTGCGGCCTCGAAGGCTCGCGCATCCATTCGAGGCAGACCAGGCTTGTCGCACTGAGGAAAGCGGGTGGTGCGAAGACAGAAGAGGGCGATGCGAGTGTGGTGAGTTATTGGGAAAAGCGAAGAGCATGAAACTGGAGATGTGGTGGTGGTTGCGAAAAGTAGTTTGGGGATGAGTCGGAAGGTTCCGAGGTGGTGTTTTGAAGAAACTTGAGAAAAGGAAGTCGCGTTTGCTTCACGACAGGTCACATTTCGCTTTCGCACTCCGCTCTGCGCTTTACGATGCAAGATACTCACAATTCACGCCATTACAGCACCAGCAGCACCATTCCACGCGCAGCCTCATTGAGACGACGACGAGCAAGTCACCGACTGCACTGAAGCATCTCCACCGGAATACGAAGTACTTGAGAAGCTGCCTGAAGATTCACCTATGAGATTACCTACGGTTAACTTACATTTCAATACTTTCTTTGAAGTGTTTCTGTCTATCACGGAAGCTCTCCGCATATTCCCGTTGCTCCCGACGACTTCCATTCCCTTTCTCCTCTTCTCATATGAATCGCGCAGTCTATCAAAACAATCCTGTGAAAATCTCCTCTGGATCTTGATCGGCACTCTATTCGAGATTTTGTTGGTGTTGACGATAGTCGCGATGTCTGAGATGATGACATTGTCAATGGCGAAGACGATAATGGGGCTACTGCAGATGATGTGGCTGCGAGCAGGCCGAACTTCGGTCCGACTCGATCCTCTTCTTACTCAACCCTTCGCTCCATATACACACCACAACTCGAAAAGAGCGCGAATGCCTATATTGTCCGTCATACCAGATAAGTATTCCCTGAGAAGCAGATTAGGCCTGCTGGCCACCATGTTCAGGTCCGACTACGCTCCCACTGGAACCCTTCTTCTGTTCTATGCAGGGTGCCATTTGGAAGGACGAGATTTGGTGGAAGATAAAACCGTGTTTCCTAATGTCACAAGACAACGGTTCACATTATGGTGTAAGGTATGATATGCCGGTTGAGGAGTGAACAGACTTTGCTCCTATAACATTCTCAAGGCTAGCTTCTTATAGTTACCTGCCTAGTTCAAAGAAATCTTTTTTTCTATTGGCCTAAACACGCTTTCAGGCCCCCAGGAAACCCTGCTTTTAGCAATATCACTCCATTTAGCCCTCGTCTACAGACTCGACTGTAGAATCGGATAGCTATTGCTCCGTGCCCGAACGTTGCTCACAGCCTGATCCTTCTGACTCTACCGAGAGTGCCGATTCTTCCTACATAGGACAATTGCAAAACCACTACGGAGACTATTGCAGCACAGAGAGTCCATGAAACGCTTCTAGCATCGTGTGTGATCAAAACTCGGATACGCTCTTGGGATGCTTGACTCCTCGAATCCCGCATGCCCAAGGCCCTGCCGACGCTCGCCTACCAGAACTAAACGGGAAAGGGTTGCGATGGATGCAAGCCTCCTCCTGGCCAGGCTGGCCCCAAGATCTCCCCACCGGTCTGAACTCCGCCGACAGGGGTAAATAGAATATGGAAAATGAGTGCGCCAGGATTTTGGGTGAGCGAGAACTGCTGACGGTCGCCTAGTGTTGATATGACACCCGGTTTACTGGGCGAGGGTGAATTACAAGAAGGATGAAAGGCGCCTCTGGCGAGATGCCACAAGTGGACAGATCGTAGCGACGAACTGGATGGAAGGAAGCGACCAGGGATAACGAATAGCGCCACATTTTCAAGCCTTTACCCGAGGCCGTTATATCCGAGCGCAATAGCGGCGCGAGCTGAGCCTTTATAGGCTTTAGTGCGAAAGCAGCTCCGATGCCAGCTGTTCTATACGGCCGTAGAATAGAACGTGACATGCTAAATCCATTAAAGACTTGCTTGTGTCGCAGCGAAGAATGTCCTCAGTTTTGGTCCTTTTTTTGGTCGATTCATTGATATAATTCAGCGGTTGTATTATTACCTTCATGGCCACGATGCCAGAGGAACATGGAGAGAAAACGCTAAAGGCTGGTTCTCCTCCAAAGCCTACCGACGCCGCGTCTACACTCAGCCCTATCAGGTTGAACATTATTGTTGTCGGGTACATTCAAGCATTTCAAGACTCACATGTTTCGTAACCGCTAACATCTACCGTAGGCTATGGCTATGCCTTTTTGTCTCCGCGTTAGACACCACTATTGTCACGACTGCTTTAATCAAAATCTCCAGCGATTTCGGCTCCTTGAACGAGTCAGCCTGGCTCATCGTTACATACCTTCTAACTTACAACTCTTTTCTCCTAATCACTTCCAAACTCAGCGATGTGTGGGGTATCAAAACGGTAATTCTTACTTGTGCATTCATCTTTTTGGTGTTTTCAATGGCTTGTGGAGGAGCCCAAACGATGAACCAGCTGTATGTCTCATTCTTACACCTATTAAGTATCTGAAGGGCCAATACTGACCAATCCTCAAGGATCGTCTTTCGCGCATTTCAAGGAATAGGAGGTTCGGGGATGTACTCCCTGACTTTCGTGGCCATCATGAAGCTCATCACCCCCGAGAAATTGGGCTTCTACTCTGGTATCATTAGTAGCGTGTTCGTCATTGCCAATTTGCTAGGGCCTATACTTGGTACGTTATTCCGAGCTTCATTAACGTGTAACCTGCTTCAAGCCACAGAAAGCTCACAAATTTTTAGGTGGTGTCATCGCCGACGATACGACGTGGCGATGGATATTCTTTCTCAAGTAAGTGCGATTTCAGAAATCCTTCAACCTACTATTGCAAACATACTGACCCTAAATCGTGAAGTGGGCCTATCATTGCTGTAGCCTTCAGTGCACTCTGCCTCGCCATGCCCGGCCTTGCCGATGGAAAATCCCACAAAGAGCGTTTCAAGAACTTCGACATTCTCGGCGGTATCCTCTCCATAGTATGGCCCATTCCCCTCCTATTCGCCCTCCAAGAAGGAGGCTCCCGCTGGGAATGGAACAGCAGCATTATCATTGGGACGCTAACGGGGGGATGCGTCGGCTTCATCGTTTTCATCTTCTACGAGACTTGGGTCACTTACCGGACTGCAAAAGACCCGGTTCTAAACATCACGTTCTTTAGGAAGCCGTCTATGGCATTGCTTCTTCTGTGAGATTGTGCCTCTCTTTTCTGCGACACCATGGCACGCGGCTGACTCGGTACTTCACGTTTTCCAGTGGCATGTTCTTCCTTGGCTTCGCATTCTACATCGCTATAATCGAACTCCCGCAGCGCTTCCAAGCCGTTAACGGTACTTCCGCCTCGCGCGCAGGAATCTTGCTCCTCGCCTTGACGCTGCTCTCCCCCGTCGGTGCCATGACAGCGGGGTTCCTAATGCAGAAATACATCGCGGCCGAGTACCTCATCATCATTGCAAATGTGTTCATCGTGGTAGGCATTGGACTCGTCAGCAGCCTCCCAGCAACGCATCCTTTCCCAGACGCGACGTTCGGGTACGAGATTATACTAGGTATTGGGCTGGGCTTATCAAGCCCGCCGTACTACTTCCTCCTAGGGACCTCGATTGATAGGGAGGATATCGGTATGTTGTCCCCTTGGATAAATCCATTCTGATCTTCTTCAAATTTCGTTTGGATGCTGACTAACTCCATCACAGCCATAGGTACAGGTGCCTTAAACATGTTGCGCACGCTGGGCGGCACCATCGGGGTAGCCATTTGCTCCGCCCTGCTCCACAACAACCTCCATACCGAACTCCCCACCTTCCTCTCCCCCGCCGAAACCAAGGCGCTGGACGAATCTATTGCGAGCCTAGTTATTCTGTCTCCGGACAAGAGGATTAGAGTTGGGAAGATATATGGGCAAAGCTATAACAAACAATTCCAGGTTATGATTGCGTTTGCAGGAGCGAATCTGCTGACGAGTTTGGCGCTGTTGTGGGTGAGGAAGCGGGAGGGGATATTTAATAAGATGCCAGAGATGGAGGGGGATCTGGCAAGGACGAAAGATGTGGAAGGGGGTGCAGAGAGGGTGGCGACTAGTGAGCCTAAGCTAAGAGAAGAGGAGGAGAAGAACGGAGAGAAATCAGAAGCAATACGGCCGAGCGCGACTGATGGCGACAAGCAGAACAGTCAGGGAAACACAGGGAGTACCAAAGAAGTCAAGATATAAACGAAGCGCATGTAACATATCAATATTTTCCACTCATTTGCACTATATATTCCTTCATCCATCTACAACTTAGTCCTCGCCTCCCCCATCAACCCCTCCAACACCCTCACAGCCCCCTCCCTAACCTCCTCCACAATATCCGCGGCCCCCTTAACTTCTTTCACCAACCCCACCGCCGCCCCTGCGTACGTCGTCATCCGCCCCTCCACCCCCCACCCAGCATCCCCCTTCTCCATCTCCGCCTCATACAACCTCTTATTCTCCTCCTCCCCCATCCCCTCCCCCGCATCCACAAAACTCCGATTCACAACCGCCCTTCCATTATACTCCTCCCCCCACCCCGTCGTCCCCCTTAGCGCATCATACACCTTCGTCCTCACCGTGCTCTGCCCGCCATCCCTCGCCCTCAGCACCTCCTTCCTGTACCCATCCGCGATATTCGCCTCCGGCGACGCCAGCAACCGCGTCCCCAGCACCACCCCACCGGCGCCGAGCGCGAGCGCCGCTGCCGCGCCGCGCGCTTCCGCTATCCCGCCCGCCGCCACCAGCATGGGCGCCTTCCCCCCCTCCTCTTCTGCCGCGAGCGCGGACAGCGCGTCTGCGACTTCCGGCACTAGACTCACGACCCCCGCGCCCCGGACTAGCCCGTGCCCGCCCGCGTCTGTGCCCTGCACGACTAGCACGTCGGGCGCACACGCCCGCGTGACGGCCAGCGCGGCCGCGACGCTGCCGATCTGGATCCAGATCTTCGTGGCTGGGGACGCGGCGCGCGTGGCGGCGGTCCATGAGGCGAGGGAGGCGAGGGAGGCGGGCGCGAAGAACCAGACGGCGGCGGGGTGGAAGCGGGCGATGAGGGGCAGGGCGAGGGGGAGGGAGGCGCCCCAGTTTATGAAGCCGATGCCGAGGGGGAGGGTGGTGGGGGGGGAGTGGGGGATGGGGTGGGAGAGGAGGAGGGATTGGGCGTGGAGCAGGATATGCTCGAGGGTGGAGGTGTCGGTGCCGGAGCCAATGAAGCCGATGCCGCCTGTGGGGGGTGTTAGATGGTGGTAGGGAGGGCGGGTGGGAGGATTGAGGGTTGAGGGGCGAGAGGGATGAGAGGTGAGAGGGATGAGAGGTGGGGATATGATTGAGGGTTGATGTGATCAGAGTGGAAATATATAGATAAGTAAAGAGGGTCTGTTGATCTTAAGGCTGCTCGTGATGCGTGAAGAGTTGAGAGAAGGAGAGACGAATGTCTTATATGACTAGACAGTACAATGAAAGGAAGCCTGAAACGAATCAAGAAACGTATCTTTCTGAACTCGATTACAATGACCTTATAAACAAAACTGTCGCTCACCAGCTCTCGAAACCTCAATAGCCAATGGTGCCAGCGAAATCAATCGCATCGGCGCACCAATGATCAGCGGCGTCTTGATCCATGGATACGTTTGCTTCAAAAGATTCTGAGCCATGACTGCTACTATTTCAATCTTTTGTGCTGCTTAGCGAGGGACGATAAAATAAACAGAACCTTGCCATTGGTTTGTGGATGAAGGTCGATGTTAATGTCTCGATGATGGTGAATCATCCGAGGTGCAGTGGAGCCTTACTCCGCGTTCTCAGCGCCTTTGTTCCGTTTCTCCTCGGACCCAACGACCATCCATCTTGCTACCCAATTGAGAACGCCATGAAATCGGATGCTATCGTAATGTTTGTCATATCTTATCGGCTGAAATTGCATAAGTTGAGTTCCTGAGAACAGACAGCTACCTGAAAGCTGCTGCCGATCAGGTATTCCATTCGACTTCTCACGCTTGCAATTTGATTGATTCGGGTTACTCCTGGTTGATAAACACTATTATAGCTATGGGTATAGTATATACGATGTTGGTGGTAAGGTAAAGGTAGATGTTGGTGTTGTAGGATCTTGCAAACCCCTTATATCGCCTTACGGGGAATGGCATACGCTTTTCTTCTGGCCCTCTCCAAGCAGCAGTCCCGCCGAGACCTATACAAGGAATTCGATTTCTGTGTTGTGTTGGATCTATTCATTTGCAGGAAAGTTCCTCGTTCTTTTGAGACGGTAGATAGTTCTGAGAATGCGTATAACTGGTTTGAACATCTTCTATCAAGATTTTAGTCAATCTTGAGAGCAGCTACTAGCATATGATCGGTTGATATAGACGTGATTGAAGGCTTGTGAATGGAGGGTATAATGTGCTTTTCCTTCAAATAACCAAGTCTCTGGCTCTCTCTTGATGTCTTCGCAAGCTATCTCTGCTTGACATGAGCAACCCTTAACCCCAGACCGGCAAACTTTTCGAGGACCTTTCGTAGGGGCCAAAACTGGCAACAACCTTCTTGCATATGAGCAACAAGGTCCTTGATTATACAAGACCATGCGTCCGCAAAACGCCCGGGTCCAAACGCCCCATTTGAACAAAATTGTGAACGCCAGTCCATATCCCAGCCCAGCTCAACTACCTCCCTTGCCAGCCTTCCGCTCATTCGCCCTTTGTTTTCTCTCGTTCCTGCGGACCTTCTCTTTTCGCTCTCTTCGGCCATCCGCCCGCGCATTATGCGCCACACCCGTCTCCATCTCCTTCTTCTCATCCACCTCAACAAGCCACTGGTCATCCCCATCCTTGTTCTTCCCCTTGTATCCCCACTTCGGCACCCACTCGCCCGTCGCCTCGTCGTACACCATCTTGCCCTCGCCGCGCTTCTTGTCCTTGATGCCCTTCTTCGCGGCGAACTTCTCCCACGTGGTTGGCGGTTTCGCGGCGGGGACGGGCTTCTCGCGAGGTATGGGAGTTGACGGGGCAGGGAGATTGAGCGTCACGCCATCGGATGTGGATTTGATGTCGCAGGTGGTAAGGAGCTGGTTGATGAGGACTTGGGCGGCGTCGCGGGCGATAGCAGTGACGGTAGCTTCGTCGGCGTCGGCGGGAACGGGGTTAGGGTCTATGGCGAGGAGGTTGCCAAGGTCAAAGGTGTAGGGGGTTGGTTTGTCTACTGTTACAACGTTTCTGTAGGTTGTTAGAAGTGCGCATAGATATACAGGTTAATGGGCGTGAGCGCACTTCTTGTTCTTTGGCTTCGAGCCCGCGGTCTCTACGGGTGTGGAAACGTCCATGGCGCCGTCGTCGATGCTCTCGGCCAGCTTGCTTGGGGAGTCTGACTTTGGCATTATGTGGTGGAGGCGTTGATTTAGCAGACAAAGTGCGGGTGAAATATCAAAGTTGGAGGGCACTTTTTGTCTTGGCATCCGAAGAAAATTGAGTGGACCCGCGAATCGGAGTAGGTAAGCCAACCGAGTACATTCACGGTTCACGACTCCATCCCGCATCTCCTCCCTGTCCATCCATTGCGAGAGCGTATAGCTCTCACCTCTTACGCCAAATCTCTTACGCCAAATATGCCATCGTCAGTATGTCTCCGTCGGCTCTCGCTGGCACCCTCGGACCTCACGGCGCACGCAATGGCATCGCGGAGCCTCCTCGCATACACCCAGACGGCCTCCTTCTCGCAATCCGCACCTCTATCGGCCAAGCCTGGACAAGGGAAACCCGCTGGCCCAGCGCGTGGAGAAAGGACACTCAATCTCGGGAAAAACAAGAAGGTTCAGCGGGACATGGGAAAGCGGCCTGCTCCCGGCGAGCGCAAAGCTCTTCGGAAGCGCGTGGTTCTCAGCAATACAAACGCTCTTGTCGTGGAAGGTCTCAATGACCTCACGGTCGGCAATATTGAAACTGGGGATATGCAAGGGCAGGTTGTTGGGCTCTCGGAACCCGTTATAGATTCGTTAAGAGCTGTGGAGGCTTTCAAGGCCACTCAGGGCTGGCATCTGTTTCGTCGGCCGGCTATGTTGATGCGGAGGGAGACGACGCAGGTCTCGGCATTAATGCGAGATGTTGAGACGCGAAAGAAGACAGTGCGGAGGATACTGGCTGGAGATAGGGCGAGCGGGAAAAGTACACTGCTTCTTCAGGGATTGGCAATGGCTTTCATGAAGAAGTGGGTGGTGATCAGTATTCCAGATGGTAGGTTTTGCGCGAAATGGACGCAATTGAGTATTGCTGATTTTTATAATAGCCAAGGACATTGTCAGCGCACACACAGAATATGCTCCTCTGCCTGGATCGAACCCTCTCCAATACACCCAAAATGCCTACACCGCAAACCTCCTTGCTCAGATCGCCAAAGCCAACTCTGAGGTGCTTTCAAAATTACTCCCTGGTACCGATTTAAAACTCCCAATCCCCACGAATCGTATAACCACCTTGGCGGACCTGGCGGTGCTTGGAAGCAAGAACCCGGAGTTATCATGGCCCATCTTCAACGCTCTATGGACAGAGCTCACTCAGCCCGGCCGTCCACCCATAATGCTCGCCGTTGATGGCCTAGCACACATGATGGCTCCCTCCGCCTACCTGTCTGCGGAGGCTAAACCCATTCACGCCCACGACTTGGTTGTCGTTCGCCACTTTGTCGACCATCTCTCCGGAAAGAGCGCCCTTCCAAATGGTGGCATGGTTCTTGCAGCTACGTCCGGCTCAAATCAACCAGGCTCGCCTGCCTTGAAGTTCTCTGTACAGCTAGCGGAAGCCCGCGCACAGGGCGCCACTGATCTGCCCATGTGGAACCCGTACCAATTGGTCGATCAGCGTGTTATGGAGGTCTTGAAAGATGTGGATACCCTGAAGCTGCATGGTCTAGATAAACGGGACGCTAGAACGATCATGGAATACTATGCTGCCAGTGGCATGCTGAGAAAACAAGTCGACGAGCCGCTGGTGAGTCAGTGGTGGACGTTAGCAGGCAATGGAAACATTGGAGAGCTCGAGAAGGGAAGCGTGAAGATGAGGGCGTGAGGAAGGGTGTATGATTTGGGTTGAATATCTGTAGCATAAGAGCGGATGTTGATATAACTTGTAAGATCATGGGCATACAGTACGACGCGGTGCCATGCTTTCTAGTCTGTATACGTAGAAGCCCGCATTTGGCATGTAAAACTATTGCTCTCCAGGAATCATTCGGCCAGTATTCTCCAACATTTCTGTTTCAGAATACCGTGTTGCCGGAAATTGCGTCTGGCAGCGATGAAGAGTGGAGCTCGAAGTATGACCTAGGAGCCTCGCGTTGAGCCTGACTTGTTTCACGGCTATAAGTTTGGACGGGGTTCTGATTTTGCCTCCGGTTCTCATCCCCAAATCTTGACGCCGTGAATCAGAGCCCTAGAAGCCCACCACAATCTACAGTCCAGGAGTCCTTTGAAGTCTGATCTGACCTGCCAAAGTCGATTTGTTCTTGACCCTCCTTTCACCCTGGGAACACGTTCACCACACTCACTGAATAGTTACGGCGGAATCAAATAACGTAGCCGGATAGCATGTGGCCCACCCCATCAAATTCTCCGGAAACGCGACGCGTGATACAACCACAACCTCAATGCCTCCACCACAACAACAAGAGGCCCTTCATCAAGAGGGCAGAATTCTTCTATCTATCAATGCCTATAAACAAGGCCAAATTACAAGTTTCCGAAAGGCCACTAGCACGTACGATGTGGCCAGAACAACAGCACGGCGACGCGTCAATGGTATCCAGCCAAAACGTGGCTCAGCAGCACCAAATCGCCGTCTTACACAAGCACAAGAAGAGGTCCTCAAGCAGTGGATTCTATCGATGGATCAACGCGGTATGCCGCTAAGAATCGCGACCGTACGGGAGATAGCTGGCGTCTTAGCCACGCAGCGTGGGGATACAAGACCTATTGGCGAGAAGTGGGCACGGCTTTATATTAACCGCAATGACGACCTACAATCGAAATTTAATCGCAAGTACAATTACCAGCGTGCTAAATGCAAAGATCCTGTGCTTATTCGGGGCTGGTTTAAACGCGTTTAAGACGTTAGGATACAATACGGCATTCTGGATGAAGATACCTGGAATTTCGATGAAACTGGCGTCCAGATGGGTGTTATTGCAACTTCGAAAGTTGTTACTGGAACAGATAGAGCTGGCCGGCCTAGGACTGTACAGCCAGGCAATCGCGAGTGGGTCACAATTATCGAGTGTATTAATGCGATGGGGGCAGCAATTCCACCACTGGTTATCTTCGAAGCGATCATGCACCAGGCTGCTTGGTACAAGGACAACATCATTCCACACGACTGGTCGATTAGCGTTAGTGAGAATGGCTGGACAACAAATGAGATTAGCCTAGTCTAGCTAAAGCTATTCCATAAGCGTACAAAGGATCGCACAGTTGGCACGTATCGGATGCTTGTGCTAGACAGCCATATTAACCCTGAATTCGATCAGTTTGCTATAGATCACAAGATCATCATCGTCTGCATGCCAGCACATTCATCGCATCTACTACAACCGCTAGATGTAGGCTGTTTCTCAGCGCTTAAGCAGGCATACGGGCGCAGCGTTGAACAGATGATGGCTAGCGGCGTCAACCATATCAATAAGCACGAATTCCTACCACTATACAAGCAGGCTAGGCAGCTAGCACTATCACAGAACAACATACGGGCAGGATTCGCAGCTACTGGGCTAGTTCCATACAGCCCTGATCGCGTGCTATTACAGCTGCATATTGAATATTAAACGCCATTACCCCAACGCCGTCCACAATCAAAAGCTTTATCTTGGGCTGCTGAGACACCTTATAATATTAAGGAGCTTCAAAAGCAAAGGGCCTTAATACAACGGTTAATTAGGCAGCGCACGCGCAGCCCACCAAGCCCAACAAATGATGCAATTCGACAACTTGCGAAAGGATGTGAAATCGCAATGTCAAGGACTATGCTGCTTGAACGCGAAGTTAAACAGCTACGCAAAGAGAATCAGCGCCAAAAAAAGAATAGGGCAAAGAAACGCAGGTATATAGGTAGAGGGGGTGTTCTATCAGGAGCAGAAGGGGCTGCTCTCGCACAAGCTGCCCAAGAAGGGGCAGCAGAGGGGGCAACAGCAGGGCCAGCTAAGCGACGGCAGCGAGCACCACCAAAGTGTAGCTTGTGCGAATCATTAGAGCACAACGCTCGTACGTGCCCTAGACGCCAGGCAACTAGCTAGCAGGTAGCTACACCAAATACAATTCGTTGTGGTTGAGCAATTCGCAATATTTGGCGTTGTGGTTTGGTGGGGTGGGCCACATGCTATCCTGGGCCACATGCTATCCGGCTACGTTATCACGTGAAAATGCTTATGTAACCGGCAAAATGCAACTGCTATCTCGTCACAGATTGATGAATTCACAACCAGGACTCTGAGAACCCGCTACCAGGAAACAGCCAAGAGCCTGAATGGCCCCTCGGATGTGCGTGTTTTGTCATTTCACTATCATCTTATAGTCCAGCATCACAACCCCCCTATATTTAGCCTAGCTCCGGCTCGTAATAACTTTGTTCCACTAATTAGGCTGTTGCTTAGGCTATAATATTGTTTAATAACGGGTTTTAATTCACTAATACAGCACCGGATCTCTCCGCCAGATAAGCCGGCACCCTAACAGTAACTAAGGGCTCTGTTTCCTTAGTCTCCAGCAGTTAACTAGCCCTTAAGGATGCCCTTTTGTCTACTCATAAGGAGGAGGCTGTTTGTAGTAAAAAAGCTAGTGCAGCAGAAGGATTTTCGGGTGTAAGACCTTGGTATAATAGTGTATACAGCGTTCCTTTTAATCAGCAATTTAAAGTAGTCATCTAGGAGCTTTCCGCTTCTAGCTATAGTAAAGAGAGTGAATAGACTATTGCTACATGTGTATATATCCTTTCTAATTCATGTAGCCTTTCCAATTCGTGTATACATCCTTTCCAATTTGCATAAACAAGTGAATCTAATTAGTGGAACAAAGTTATTACCGGCCGGAGCTAGGCTAAATGTAGGGGGGGTGGTAGGAAGAGAAAAGGGGGGTGATGCGGAGAGAAATGGGGGGTGGTAATTAAGCTCGTCCTAGCAAAAAGGGGGGTGATGAGTAGGCTTGTCCGTTCTAATTTGGCTTATCTGGCAGCCGTCCACACGCTACTGTACTAGCGCATCTTTAGCGCCATTCCTCAACTTGTGGCTTGCATGCGCCACCTTTCAGCTCAACAGGGTTCCTTGCTGGCTTGGCTCCTCTACGCCTATATATACCCATCCTCCTACGTAGCAATACACCAGAGTTCTCATCGCTTTTGACCAGCTGCCAGTTATGAGCCCGGCCTAACGCTACAGTCTACTATTGCATTCTCCTACATCTCCTAGCTAGGAAGTCACGTGCAGCAGCTGATAGGGGCAACGTAGCAACGCACGTGACTTTCTAGCTAGGAGGTGTAGGAGAATGCAATAGTAGACTGTAGCGTTAGGCCGGGCTCATAACTGGCAGCTGGCGTAGGAAGGGCAAAGGATCAGTGAGGAAAGCATGAGTTGTATTGAGGTGCTAACGAGTGGCTATACCTCCTATAGTGAAGAGAGAAGAGAGGTTTGCAGGTGGCAACGGTGGCAAACAACAGGCAAGCTGAGCGAGCTGAGAGGAGTGAATAGAAATGTGTTACTGGCTGCCATTATCTTACCAACAGTTTCGGTTTTTACGAAGCAGCGGAAAAGGGCCGGCCCCGGTGCTTTCCAGATCCAAGATTTCATAGACCGGAAGTATTAAGCGTTGTACAGCGACGGAAGACTATATCTTGGTTACCTCCGATCAAAGAGGCCGCCGCCACAGAGTCGCGGGCAAGCATCGGCGTTCTCTGGAAAACGAACTATATGGTTTCAGCTTCACCCAACCTTGATGTCTTCGAGCGAGTAGCCCAAGCAACCTATGCTCGCCCAATCGCACCAGGAGCAGTCAACTTCGACCTTATTAAGGGTTGGCTATCAGATTGCGACTCAAATCATGCACGGCGGTGTAATTACCCAATCTCTGGGCTCAGGCTGCAGGGCTGCCTAAAACATTGATGATCGATTGTAAGGCCCAGGCGCTTGTTCCTGCTCACGACGGCCAAAAATTCGTCGCACTCAGCTACGTTTGGGGAGGCTCTGGCCATGGTCAACATTCGCTCCCTGGTCCTTTGCCACAAGTGATTGAAGATGCCATTACGGTCACTCAAAATTTGGGGCTCAATCATCTTTGGGTTGATAGGTAGTACGTATCTGACCATCCAATGGTATTCAATCTATTAACGTCCTGAACAGTTGTATTGACCAAGAAAATCTCGGCAATAAACACGACCAAATCAAGCAGATGGGTGCTTTATACGGAAGTGCTACTGTGGTGATTATTGGTATCAGCTCTCGGATGAGGCTAGATCAAGTCACAGCACGGGCCAATAAAACCACCCTAATCGCACTACCATCAAATACACAATCATCTTCCAGCAGTCTACATGGAACTCTCGGGGCTGGACCTACCAGGAAGGACTGCTTGCTCGGCGCAAACTCATATTTACCGATTCCCAAGTTTTCGAATGCAAAGGCTAGTGCGTAGCGAGGCAGTTGAAACACCGTTAGAAGGATTCCGCATGGTGACCTATCTCTCGGCAGAGACTTGGATCAGAAATTGCCAGCTCTTGCCCGGCACTCTGGGTCCCGGTCCTCTCGATGTGATGGATAGGATCTCTGAGTACACTGCTAGGAGACTGGCATTCGATTCGGATACTCTTGACGCCGTATCCAGCGTCCTCAATGCTTGTTCTGAGGCGAACCTCATCTTTGAGCATGGGTGGGGTGTGCCGATAATGCATTTCAAACTATTTACTTCCAAAGGTGCCTGGATCCGTAATTATAGGGCTGTCTACTTGCGAAAGGTCGCCAGAGCCAGAGTCACAGTCACGGTACCTCGATGGTTTTGTGGCCGGGCTCTTGTGGTCTCACTATGATCATGCGAGGCGGCGACCAGATTTCCCGAGTTGGTCTTGGGCAGGGTAGAACGGCCGCGTGCGGAGGCTCACAGACTGTAAATTCAGAGCTGCGGCACTAGGAGGCGTGGAACTCTTTGGTGGCTTTGCAGACGGAATTCTCTGCAAAATTAAACACGAATCGGCAGATGCTACGGAAGGCACCAGCGCGAAATTGACCGACTTCTGTGTCGATTGGGATCCATACACCTGGGTTCGGATCCCGCTTGCGATCTCCTCGATATCCCAGGTCCTTCAGATTGAGGCTCCAACCGTAGCGGTACGCATAGATACTCCCAGACGGCAGGGTATTTCTGTCTCAAACCCAGGACTAGCAGCTCAGTTCAGGTGCAGCTATTGAGAGATCCACAGGCCAAAAGGTTTAAAGAAAGTCTGCTGTCTAAACGCTGGATGGCGTTTCTACTCTGTAGAATATTTAAACGCGATTTCTGGATCCTTATCGACGAAAACTGTAGAGAAGATGGTACAGCGGAGCGAATTGGCCATTTCTCTGTCCGCCATCTACATCCAATGGCTATGGCGTTGCGCTTGAAGGCAGAAAAGCGGACTATTATGCTCTCTTAGGATTCCTGAGCCATGTGGGTTACGTCGTCTCTCTTATAATCCAGCATAGACAGTTTTTTTTGGATCGCTTCATGCTCTCGCGAAGTATTCCTTCATCTATGTTGATCTTTGAAGCGGTGCTCCTATCAAAGGCCATACGTCAGAACAGCTGCGTTACTAGATTGTTCTGCGGGGTATTAAGCTACCCTTTGGAGACGGGATTATCATAGTGTGGGGCGTTGTTGGACTTCGAGGTGAGCACTAGCACTATACGCCCGCACTATTCTATACGCCGCCCTATACTCCACCGCACCCATGCCTAGGGTATAATTATCCATCCTTTGTTTCAGGCATCCTTCGCTTCATATTTTCTAAATTGAAGTTGGCGTAGGCTGATTTATCAAAATCAAGTTGAATTTTAATTGATCCCAGGAACTTGAGTCAAAGTAGTTTAGCCTGCTGACGCTGCTAAAGGAAGCGCGCCATAATAGCTTCGAAATCTGTCTTCCACCTCATTCTTATCAATCGACGTGCTGCTGACTCGCTAGCACTTCAGCTGACGACGTGTAATATTTTAGGCCTGGAGTTGTCAAGATAAAGAAGGCCATGGCGGCCCTGAAGAAAGCAGACCTCTTCTGTTCTTTTTGGACACTAGAACACCATGGCCACCGCCATCACGACCGAGTTTGGGACCACGATCCCTGCATTTGACTCGGGTGACTCTCGCCATATTATCACGAGTCATTTGCCAACATGGGACGCCACGGTCGCTTTTGGGAATTTCGATATGTCGGTGTTGATGCGTATAAAGACTTTGTACCCGCGAATGATGCCTCATAGATATATTGCTCAAGTCAGCCCCAAAAGTTGACTCCACTTTTCTTCTCAAAATGCTTACACGGAACAGCTTACCCAAAAGATAGTTGCGTTGAGCGGAGTGGAAGGCAAGAAATGCTTCCTCTTTCCCTCAGCTGTGTCGGCTGCTCAATGCGTCGAATTTGCAACATCTGAAAAACGAGGGAAGGCCGCGGTGCCTAAACATAACATCTTCATTCGCATCTTTGATGTTCATATCAGAGTATGGGCCATCTTCTTTCCGCCCCCTCCCCCATTTGGTCCGGACAATAAGCCTCCAGGCGTGATGGGATCGTTTTGGTCAAACGCGGGAGTGGGACTATCCACAAGACAGGGCGAAGATGCACTGGAACACATCGACCTGCTTCGTGAAGTATCAGTTACCGATCCATTGCCTAAAGCTGAACATTCCGAAGCTTTTACTGTACTGCGCGAACGGATTGTGTCTCTTATCCAACGTGCACCTATTGATGAAGTTCGAGCGGCGAAAGTCACTCCCGATGATGTCTACCTTTTCCAAACGGGCATGTCCTCCATTTATAGTGTACATCGCTATCTTCTCTCTTCATCACGTTCCGGATCTACGGTGCTTTTCGGCTTCTCTTTCCACTCCACCTTTCATGTCTTCGAAGACTATGGTCCCGGCTTCAAGCTCATCGATAGTAGAACATCGGAGAATCTATTCGAACTCGAGAGATTCCTTGAATCCGAGAAAGAAGCTGGCCGCTTCATTCAAGCCGTCTGGACCGAGTTTCCCTCCAACCCAGCCCTCACCGTGCCCGACCTAGTGCACCTCCGCAAGCTAGCCGACGTATACGGTTTTATCCTCGCTGTCGACGACACCATCGCCTCCTTCTGCAACGTCGACCTCCTAAGCACTGCCGACGTCCTCGTATCTTCCCTCACAAAATCCTTCTCCGGCTATGCAAACGTCATGGGTGCCTCCGCTGTCCTCAACCCCTCCTCACATAAATATACCTTCTTGAAAGACCTCTTCTCCTCAAACTACCAAAATGACCTCTACACCGCCGACGCCGATGTCCTTGGAAACAACAGCCGCGACTACCTCTCTCGCTCCGCGATCCTCAACGCAAACGCCGAGAATCTCGCAACCTACCTAGTCGCCCGCTCCCAGCTACCCAACTCTGGCATCAGCCGCGTGCTCTACCCTTCCACCATCCCATCCATCGTGAACTTCACGCCGCACCTCCGCCGTAAGACTCCGGATTTCACTCCCGGGTATGGGTGTTTGCTGAGTGTGGAGTTCAAGACGATCGAGAGCACTATTGCATTCTATGACAATTTGCATGTGCATCAGGGACCGCATCTTGGCGCGCATTTGACGCTTGCGCTGCCATATGTTAGAGGGTTGCATGCGAAGGAGTTGGATAAGGTGGAGGAGTTTGGGTGCTTGCCGACGCAAGTGAGGGTTAGTGTGGGGTTGGAGGATGGGGAGGTGTTGAGGGAAACTTTTGGGAGGGCGGTCGAGTTTGGAGATGAGGCGTTTAAGAAGGAAGGGGGGAAGTAGTAGGAACTTTCTTTCCGCTGGTGAGAGGCGTGAAGCCTGGGGTGATAGACTTCCAAACTGGAATTATTGGGGCACAGGATCACTGCCACTGATGGGGTATGAGGAAGTGATTAGATATGTATCGGCATTGTATCCCGCTATCTTTCTTTTTCGCGAGTTGCGATGTGCTCACGTGATCGCTATACTGACCTATTCACCTCTAAGATTTAGAGCCTGGCCTAGATCAGCGCTAAGCTACATCAGCCTTGCTTCCCACCAACCTCTAAATCTAGAACCATGTTTTCATCCAACTCAACGCCATCGTTCAGCATGTCAATGCCCTCGGTCCCGGTGTCTGCACCCGATAACCTTCTCTACATCGACGAAATCCTCGAGAACATTCTCCGAGTCGATCAGCGCACTCTCCTGCGCGCCCAAGGCGTGAATCGGTTCTTCTACAATTGCATCCAGGACTCTCAGCCTCTGCAAGGTCACCTCCTCTTCCGTTCCGTCACCCCGCTTGTCTCCGGAGAGTCGGACGAGGCCGAAGAAAGCGCGGCAAGATGGACAATCAACCCTTTGCTGCGCAGCTCGTTAATTCCCCTTGTTGCAAGTCCGGGGCTCAGACCCAATACGGATCATTAAAACGAGTCAGTGACGCTTCATCATCCGCACATGATCTATAACGACCATTGACTTCTACATGTACGATTGCAGTCCAGACACCTGATCATACCCGAACCCATCGTACGCTTTGCGGCAATTACTCGCTAGATCTTTCGACAGATCCTCAATCGCATCTTTGTGTGCTTGTTACCGATATTGGAACCATTAACGCTTTCAGTGGTGAACGTGTCGTGGACGGGCCGTCTCCAGCGCATCAAACTCCACCAGCTGCACCGGCAGTCTCAAGTCACTTCCCGGATCAACAACCTACTACAAGTGCACCTTCTGGGAGGCTCTTTACCCAGCGGGTAAAAGATGGGGAAGAGATGATACCGGCTCGATTCTTGAGCTTATATGGGAAAATGCCTCCTCGATACTTTTCTATATCTATGAGTCGAGTGTTCGCGAGTATCATGTTGCGAGGCCAACCAACTACATACTTGTGTCATTGGATATAAGCAGCAACACCCACTGTGACAGACTTCAGAACAGGAATGCGAGTATCTACGAAATGAACGCCAGCTGACGCGATATGCAACTCACAAATCCTCCGACCAAAGGCTTCACGGTTCACGTCAGGAACTGCAGGCCGGAACTTTCACGATGTACCATGCTTAGTCCTGTCGATACCCTGGCGACGGTTGTGTTTCCTCTGAAGCCCAGCAACCCGTCACCGGCCTCCGCCCCAATGCCATACTTCCCCGCGGTCAATTTCTAGCAAGATAGTGAGCGGGCAATAGATCAAGACGACTTCGACTATGCAGGATCTGAGGATGGGGATGGGGATGCCGTGGCTCCACATACGGGATACTACATGCAGTCTCCGACTGGTCTGACATTAGGACATTTGCCTGATTTAACGTACCATATCTGCGCGCCTCGAGATGGAGATCGTAGCCACAGCGGAAAGGTGTGGGTCGCCCGGGCTATACACATCTCGAGCGCGAGCAGTAACGCCGAAAGCGGCCACAGCTTGGCGACGAAATGTGACCTGGAACTGATAGTGGTGGTGGGAGATGTCAAGAAGGTGGCAGTGGAGCGGCCTGTGACTCGAGAAGACCTTCATGATGGAAAAGGTGCGGCTGCTTATAGATGAGAGCAGGGGAGATCGCAAAACCGTGGCAGGGAGCGGCCCGTGACTTAGGAGGATCTTCGTCACCTAAAAGCTGAGACGGCTTATAGATGGGGCACGGAATAAACGGATAGGGGGATGCTTGAGGTCATATGAGAGGGGAACACACTTGGCGACTCCTGTCATGTGCATCTTCGCGATGTTCTCCAAACCTCACATCTTCTATGCACTAGGCATATAGCTGTAAGCTAAAGCCTTGCATGGAATTAGGAAGTCTGATGCGGCCTTCATAAAGTGTTTTCCCTTAACAACTGACAACACTTCAACAATCAATATTGCTTAACTCGGGAGCACTGTGCGAAATGCGATACTTCAAGAACCATGCATGATAAGGTAGTCAAATTAACGAAAAGGTATAGATAATTCAATTGAGCAGACCAGCACCTGTCTCTTCAAACCCACTTCCTCGCCCTTTCTTCATCGCTTTCTCGCCTCATAACTTCTCCTTAAGCTGTGAGATGAGGGGAGAAATGATATTACTATCATTTCAGAAAGCATGCCGACTATTAATGATATGACCAGGGGGTTATGGTTTCAAGTGGGAGTCCAGGCGCACTATACATAGATTCCACACCAAAGAAAACGTTCTCTTCCGAAGGTCAATAGTATTACATTTCATTTAGGACTTCTGCTAGCCTATACCCCTGAAGGCCTCATGTCAGGTAAATGAACCATATCCGTAATGGAAGGGAAGCAGTGTCCGCCTTGACGCTCGGTCGGGGACCGAAACCTAGGCCAAACAAAACGCTGCTCACTGCCATTTCCTTACCCCGGCACTCGCTCTCTCTCCACCCATCAAAGGAAATACAACAAGTGTGTTTGAACTACTGTTACGGCGCAAACATCGCTATCCGGCACGCTGGGCAAAGATGCCTCCCTCCAAGAGCTGACTCATTCACATGCTTGTGTAGGCATCCCCGGCCAAAAATGTGGCGGCATTTATCGACGATGACTGGCTCGTGAGTATTGCTGTACTCCTCCAAGCATATGCCACAGGTGCCTAGAGAGCTGGTAAATGTCTGGATCTCAACTTGAGGTCGGGGAGCAGCCGCGCGATGATTAGGCATGCGCATGAGGATGCGGGCGAGGGCGCGGTTCAAGCGTTCTAGGTCTTCTATATCGAGTGTTTGCGCAAATGCGGAATTCTGGTCGCTGAGCTCCTGAAGCTCCTGGGTCAGCAATATGCGACGATTTTCAGCTTCTGGCTCTCCCACAGCGCCCATAGCGGCCAGGGCGCCGAGTTCGTTCATGATACGGAGGCGACTGCCAACATGTGCGGCAACTTGTTGATCCATAAACTCGTCCCTAGCCGTAAGTGGTGCGTTGACGATTCGGTGGTCGTTGACATCCTCGTTGCTTTCACGTAGGAGAACGTGCTGCAAGCCGGCAGCCTGGATCAAAAACCGGTCAAGGCCGCAGATGATGACAATGGCAGCTGATCCTTCCATGAGCACTCGTCGCTCAGGTCCGTCAGTAGTCAGAAAGGCCGAACCGGAAGCCGTGTATTGAGGATCGCCGCGCAGATCTTGGATTCGGTGATGTCCTTCAATCCTATAGCTGTATTGGGGTACTGGCATTGGTGGCTCGCCGGTTTGGAATTCACAGGGTCTGACGATCGAGCCTCTAGGGAAGTATACAAGTATCTCGTGCCCAATGCGGATCAGAAGCTCACCGATTGCGGTAGCGTATCGCTTGGTAGAATTTACCGGGACGACGTCTTGCTGATCGCTTCTATAGTGCATCCGACCGACAAAGCAGCCAGGGGCGCTTGCTTGTTGTTGCGGGTTGGTGTGTCCAGGGTAGTTGACTCCGCGGTTGCCTTGATAGAGGAGGATGATCGTTTTGTCGGCACTACAGGCTCTCACCGTCACCTTGTCGGAGCCGCAATGGAGCAGTATTGCGGGCAACTCGAGCATGACCACATGGCGGATGTTGATGCAAGCAGCGCCCAAAGCCGTGTATGTATTGCAGTTTTGGAAGGAAGAGATGTCTCGGAAACCCTGAATGTTGAGGTGACCCGCTTCCTGTAGAGGAAGATCTGGCTGGTCCACATGGGGTGAGAAGATCTTTGCAGAGGCGCCTTGCGGTACGATTACACGTATCGATACTCTGTCGGTAGTGATTGCAAGCCCCCCAAGCTCGGTGGCGAACGTGTTGGTGGTGTCTATATCTAAGTATTCTTTGTACGGGGCGCGGTTGTGGGTCGTTGGATACTCGTGAACTATGAGAGAGGCAGAGCGTGCTGTTCGCTGAGACAGCACATTTATCCCTGTGCCAGCGTTCATAGTTGGAGTCTTCTGTTGTGGTGATAGAGATTGGTGGTTTGGTGGGTTGGTGGGATGCGTGTGTTGAAGGAAGGCTATTGTGACCAGCAGGAGAGAAATAAGTACTGAGCCGGCTCATCTAATGAAGCAGTGAATTAAAGAGGCTTTGGTCAACTTGGCATCGAGGTTTGACATCGTGTATACTGTGCATAATCACTAACACGTACGAGAACTTTTCGAAAGGCACATTACGCATATCCATCACTTTCTGAGCCTTCGATCAGTGCTCAAGTCTGCTGTATGAAAGTCAAGATAGTATCCTTTTGGTATGGCGATTGCTATTTCTCATTCGAGGGTATTCCTTTGGTCCATTCCATAACGGATAGCTACAAACAGGAGATACCAACTGGGGAAGCAAATACGCCTACAGGCCTATCGATGGTTGCCAGTCTCTTGAAACCCAAACATTTCTGTGCGGCACGTTGGACAAAGGTGCCTCCCTCCAAGAGCCGACTCATTGACATGCTTACGTAAACACTCCCGACCGAATATATGGCGGCACTTGTCCACAATGATTGGCTCATGAGTACTGCTATACTCCTCCAAGCAAATTTCGCAGCAACCTAAGTTACTAGTGAAGGTGTCGATGTCAACTTGGGTATGTACCTGGGCATCGCCCTGATGCTGGCCGAGCCTTTCCGTCACCCGCCTTGCTATATCACTGACAAACGCGTCTCCACCTTCAAGATACTACTGCTGTGTTGTGTCTTGCCCTGTCTCCACGGCGGCCCTCCTCTGCTCCGCCAAAACACGCTTGTTTTCCGCGACAGTGAGCCTATTGTTATTGGCGACCATTTCATAGTCTATTGCTTGATCGATTCGAATTTCGATTCCTCGCATGATATCTGAGTAGTCATTGACTCCTCGCAATGTGCTATGAGCGAGCTGGCCGATAATCTCGACGAAAGCCCGGTCCATGATCCCTCGCAAGGCGGCTATATCTGCTCCTCCCCCACTCGCCGTTTCTTCCCTAACGAGCCGGTCGACAACTTCTCGGATGATCTCTTGCAGTTGATTTGGTGTGCTGTCATCTTCTCCCCAGCCCTCTTGCCGGACCTTGATCTTTCTAGCGCCATAAGCTTTCACGAGCAATCTATCCATCCCACAATTGATAAGCCCTGCGGCTGTCGAGTCCATGGTAACCTCTCTGCTACCGGATATCGCTACGTCTCATATACGCCGAGCCGAACGCAGCGTATTGGTTGTCGTTGCTCAGCCGGGCGGCATTCTCAGATCCCTCGATGAGAAAGACGTACGTCTACACTCGGGTTGCAGCACTACAACCTAGGGTCAGCAACTCATATGCAGTAACGTATCAGGATAGCATGCTGATACAGGAGGAAGTAACAGGTAGTGCAACAGCAGTGCTGCAGCACGGTATTAGTACTGTATCAGGAAACAGGATGAATCAAGTAACGCGTCAGGAAGAGATACCACGTTATGCCCCCGGGGCTGGCCCCCCTCCTTCCCCTAGTATATAAACAACGAGCTAGACACCCATAGAAATCAGAGTTCACATCAATTTCAACCTGAGTTCTGCTGTAATGGTAGAGGTGGATCGGTTTCACTTCCGAAAGTACTTACCCTCGCGCCTTGAGGAATTTGTACGGTCATCCATTTTTGCGAATTGCTTTTTTAATAGGGGTACGGTGGGTTGGTGGGTTGGTGGGTTGGTGGGCTGGTGGGTTGTAGGTTCTGAGGTGTGTGTGTTGACTGAGAGACAATGGAGGCAGAAAGGGCGAAACTTAAGTAGCATTTTGAGGTTAGCAAAACTCAATAGAGCAGTGAATGAATCTGATTATTTGGATACTAGAAGGTAGGAAAGTCTCCATTGTTTGCACTTATTCACTAGTACGGGTTGCTCTAGGGATATTTCAAGATGAGTACTGCACGAAGGCATTTCATCGAAGAACTTCTAATTAATTCCATAGCAGAAAACTACGGAGAAGGGACACTATGTAGGAACAGAAAAACACTTGCATCCATGGCCGCTCTACATCACTCAAACCCCAAACATTGGCTTTCGGCATGTTGGACAAAGATTCGATCCCAGAACCGGATATCGGCTGGCATGCTTGTGAAGGCATTCCCGACCAAATATATGGCGGCATCCGTCAAGAATTACCGGCTCGTGAGCATCGTTGAGATGCTTTAGGCAGATGGGGCAAGTCCCTCATGTGCTGGAGAAAGTTTGAATGTCGATGTTGATGTTAGGTCGGGTGTTGACCGACTGGCGCTGATGAGCTAGATTGCGAGGATCCCCAGAATTTCGAGCGATATCACGCGCGAAGCGCTGAATGATTCGTTCCCGCTCGTGAGCGGAAATAGGTATGTTTGGAGGTTGTCGCAAGGGTGCACCGGCAAGCCCGCCGAGTAGGCCATTGACTCGCTGACCCTGCTCGCGCGAATTACGAAGTCCGCTATTAGAAGGCACTTCGACATGAGTTCGCTAGGGAGCTAGTTGTCGCTCTCGCTCTACGTAGCCGTTGATGCTTGCAATGAATCGGCCAGTGTAGCCCCACTCCTCATTTCAAAGAATCGGTGGCTGGATATGTGCTTGATGGTGAAGGTTGTCCTGCTGCAGTGCAGGATGGGTATTGTTGACTGCCGTGGGAGGATCATGGGGCCGATTAAGGATGTGTTGCCGCTGCTGCTCACTGAATAGAGGGGTGGTGTGCGCTAAGGGGTTCCGGAAGAGGGGAGATTTCGCGATTGTATATGCACGGGCAATTTATAGCTTCTTGTGAACTAGCGAGAGTTTGTTGGTCGCTCACTCCCTGCCCCCACTCCCGCTCGATGCTAGCATCATGACTCAGGTTGAAATTGATGTGAACTCTGATTTCTATAGACGTCTAGCTAGTTGTATATATACTAGGGGAAGGAAGGGGGCCACCCCCAGGGTGGCGCGCTAGTAAGTTCAGATGAGCCCTGCACAGCTGAGGCTTCAGCTCGGTTCTCTACAGCTGAGATTTCAGCTGGGTTCTCTACAGCTGATGTTCGGAGAGTAGCTTTCTGGCATATGAGTTGTTGATCCTAGGTTGTAGTGCTGCAACCTGAGTTGCCTTCTTCAGCGCTTCTTCGTGCGCTCCTAGTGCACCTCTGGCTGCATGTCTTCACCGGCGCCCCTCGTCGTACCCTCGCGCTTGGTGCCACCGCCTAGCTCAAACAGGAGGACTGCAAAGCGTGGTGGTCAACACCCGTCAACTGCTCCATGAGGCAGCGGTTCCAATTCGAGGGGACCGTATATGTTTGCCTCAAAAACTGGGTTGAAAGGGGGTCTGTAGATAGTTTCTGCTTTTCGGACTCAGGAGAGGGGATGGGAAGATTATGGGGGTTTATCTGGTGTTTGGGTTGCGGTATTTCAAAGTACTTGGATTCTTCGTTCCCGGATTCTTCGTCCTAAAGCTCAAGTTCAGCAATATCATTGGTGCGAGGATAGACATTGGAATTGCAATATGAAGTATTTTGGCGGCGAATTCAACTTGGTGTAGCGAGGCAAGCCTAGGGTGGCCCAATGGTGTCGGGAGCCTGTACAAGCGCCGTGCACAAGCCGAGGTGAGAGGTGGAGGTCTGGATCAGGTCACAGATCGCCTTTCCAACGAGAAGTAGAGGGGGCAGTCGAGGCAGCGGCCGAGCGACCACAACGAGCACCACGCAAGTGCAGCAGGTGCACTTCTACTGAACACACGGCACGTACATGCCCTAGACGGCAGGCAACTAGCTAGCAGATAGCTATATACAATACAATTGTTCGTGGTTGAAAAATGCGCTGTATTTGGCCTTGGTGGCACGGGTGGCATTGGGTGGACCACTAGCTTGTGGGGGCCATTAGCTTGTGGACTACTTTAGCGTAGTCTCTATGACTAAGCCTCGAGCGAGTTCCCTTCGCGCCTTCGCGCCCGCTGTGATCACACGTCGCAATCTCAACAGGCCTTCCCCATCCATGGCTCCACTTTCAAAAAGCCAACCATCAAGGCTAATCCCATCAAAGATGAACTCGATTCGTTTCGCGATACGTTGAAGTCGACGTTTCCCGACGCAAATGCTCAAGAACGTCTGCTCTCTTTCGAGGGCCTCGCTGCTGATTCAGGTGAGGGCAGTGCGCCTATCAGACATGGATATCGGAATGTCAACGAATAAGGCATCTCTCCCCATAGCAGTGACAAAAGGGACGCGGAAGCAATTCACCCTTCCAAGATACCTTGGTATCATCATGAGAGTAAAGTACCGTGCTGCCTTCCAGTAGAGAGTTTTCAAGACGAATGATTCCCCGGGAATGTCTGTGTAGAGAGAGTTGGGAGATACCACGTTGGTAAGGACAAAGTTCTATTGAACCCATGAGTTCTCCAGGATGGCCTGAAGAGATTCGTGACAGACTTCTTGGAGCATTACAACAAGGTTGCCTGGTACTGTTCCAAAATGTTCCTCCAGATGGCCTAACGCTGCTGAAGCGCGATCTAGTGGACTGGGACTGAACCAATCAATGTTCCAGGACACGACTTTAAGGACGCTGTCACGCAGCAAACAATTTTGATGATTATTGTTCTCAAGCGCAACCCAAGCTGAGGATTCAGGGCAGTGGATTTGCGGTTGGAGGAACTGTAGAAGAGGAAACTTCTGCGAGATCGGTTTAGGCGGTAGGCGAGATTTCGATTCGATATGTTCACAAAAGAGGCGGAATTCCGCTGGATTGAGATGGCTTGTTGAGCTGATGTAGCGAGCGCTCCCGGTAAAGGTAAGCAACGCAGAGCCTACTCTACTGCGATGAGTGAACGTGAGCGACATCTTGACGCTTCGACGTTCTAAATCTCCTCAAAATACTAGCAACTGTAAAGAAATGGAAACACAGGGTAACACACGTGGAAGTCTGAATACTATTTTTGCCATTATTCTTCTTCGCTCTTATAGAACTCGTTACGGAGCAGCAACACTTGCATCGCGTTTCAATATCTGCCTTACGGTTTCGCAAACCTAGTGGCTGGGCCAATCGCATGGTAGTATAGCCTCACCATCGAATACCTTCTGAAACATGTAGTGCGGCACTCCTCGAAAGCTGTGTCGGTGGCAAATGAAGAAGCTATACGTATGCCAGGCTGTAACAGGGCAATCATGAGTCCCATTGCGAAAGAGCAGATGATTTGGTTTCGGATACACTCGAGCGGATTGGTGGATAGCATGCGATTGCAGATTTGAATTCTTTTGAACCTGCCACCGCTAGCAGGGAGGGTGGCCGACCTGCTCCAACCATTCCCTTGTGAGAGCGAGTGAGTTCAGAAGGTGCTCGTTGTCAGGACGGACGTTAGAGTTTAACGTCGAAGACATAGCAAGCATTCTACAGCCTTGTCGCCACGTGCCCCGCCGTGGGCGGTCTTCATTGGGTACCGGCGAATCGATATACCGATCAACACTGTCACTCCGTTCCGTAGAAAGGCTGACTTGGCATCGTCTGTGCGATGGGTCGGCGTTTCTCACATTCCTCCATCTTTCCCACTCTTCCATCCTCGAGACACTAGCATCACTGTCGGAATACTCTTGGAGCTCACGATTTGTCGTCACCATAGACTCCTGGCATTCCTCCTGCTCCCGCCTTGTACTTTGACTGCTACTTAAGCGCGTCCGTCGCGGTTTCTTGCGCGATGGCGGATGGGATAAGATCAAAGATCGTCAAGACAAAACCCATCGGAAGAGGGCTGGATGCCTGTCGCAACTCTTTCGAGTCACGAGTTGTTACAGGAACCGACCGAGCTGGACGGCCTCGGACGGTGCAGCAAGGCAACCGAGAGTGGGTAACAGCTATTGAGTGCATCAATGCATTAGGATATGCAATTCCACCGCTCGTCATCTTCGAGGCCGTGATGCACTAAGCTGCTTGGTACAAGGCTATACCAGAGGACTGGGCAATTGGCGTCAGCAGACCAGGTCCGCCTTTGTAGCCGTCTTCTTCTTTGGAGGCAACACCGAGCGTAAAGATGATCCAGGCGCGGGGACTAGGGCACATCCTCGGAGAACGCATCAGCTGCGCTTGGTTAGGCTCGGAAGTGTGGAAAGTGGACGGGATATGGGTAGCTACGTGACTGACTGCTCTAAAGGCCAAGTTTGCGGAGGGCGAAACGGGGCAGTTCAACGGAGGAGTTCGGAATGGATTTTTTGGCATCGTGTGCGCCCTGGCTGTGTGGAGACGTTCTGCTTAGAGAGAGATCGCGTCTCGATGTAATCTGCATGGAAAAGAAAGGGCCGCCTGCCTGGGAAAAGTAGAATGATGCGATAACAAACCTCTAAATACGTGTATATATCGTGTCCACTCGAAGATTCGCTCTCCTTTGCCTGCCGACTCTCTCGCAGAGTCCTGCTAGGAGGGATACATAACTTCGGGAATCCTAGAGCTCTGTACCACCCCGCGGCGCCGTCCACCCCGTCTCAATCTCGTCCTCCAACGGCACCGTCTCTTCTTGCAACTGCTTCGCCACCTCATCCGCCTCCTTCCACACCCTCAGCAAATTCCTGCCTACTACCTTCGCTACATCCCTATCACTGACCCCCTGCTCCAGCAACGCCGCCACCAGCGCCGGATACTTCGACACGTCGTCCAACCCCCGCGGCGTCGTCTGGATGCCGTCGAAATCGCTGCCGAACCCGACGTGGTCGTACCCGATCAGCGCGCCGATGTGCATGATGTGCCGCACGACCTGGTGCAGCGTGACGTTGGGCGTATAGAGGTCTGGCAAGCCCGTCCACGAGTCGCCGGGCACGCACGAGATGAAGTCCGGGCTGAAGTTGACCATGACGAGCGAATTCCGCGCTTTGACGAGGTGCAGCACGTCGTCGGGTACGTTGCGCGGGTGCGGGCACAGGGCGTGCGCGGAGCTGTGGCTGAAGATGGGCGGGGCGAGGCTGCCGTTCCAGCCGTCGCCGCTGCTGCTGCCGCCGCCGCCGACGAGGGCGTCGCGCATCGTGTCGGCGCTGACGTGGGACAGGTCGACAAGCATGCCGAGGCGGTTCATTTCGGTGACGAGGCGCCGGCCGGCGGCGCTGAGGCCGTGGTGCAGCGGGGTCGCGGCGACGGTGGCGTTGGCGGTGCTGAGCACGGCGGCGTCTGCGTAGGCGTTGTGGCAGTTCCAGGTGAGGGTCGCGTAGCGCACGCCGAGGGTGTGGTAGAGGCGCAGGGTGGAGAGGGAGTTGCCGATTTGGTGCAGGCCTTCGATGCCGGCGGGGGAGATCAGGCGGCCGGAGGAGAAGGCGGAGAGGGCGGCGGCGTAGGAGGGGGTGGGGGTGAAGTGTTTGGGGTAGGCGAGGCCGAGGCGGCGGTAGAGGTCGAGTTGTTCGAGGGTTTGGCGGACGGCTGGGGGGGTTAGCGCTTCGAGGTAACGTTGTCATAGAATGACAGGCTGGTGGTTGGAAAGTTGGCTTAATGGAAGGAATGAGATGACGAGCATTTGAAACGATCGCGAGGGATAAGCGCAAATAATTGAGGACATAAGAAGAAGACTTTGAACAGATTCAACTCGTAGGAGAAAGGTACTCACAGCCAGCATAGTTCTCATCCGAGAAATCCGTGATATTGGCCGGACATCCCACGAAGACACTCCAGAAACTACCACCAACTTTTCCCCTATCAAGCCTTGGGATATCCACGTGACCAGCTAATCCACCCTCTTCAAAGCCCTTCTTGAACTCGTCTGAATAAATGTGGTTTCCATACATAAATCGAACGAGAATTGCGAGATCATTATGGCCGTCTAAGACCCATCAGCGTGGAGTTCAGGCTAACTTGATGGGAGGTTAATGACTGACCAATCAAAGGGTTCTCGTTCAAAATCTTCGAAGCTCGTTGTTCAATTGTTAAGGGACGAGCTTTATGCATATGATTTCGGCAGTGCTGGAGTAATTGAGACGGACTGAAGAAAGAGAGGAGCATCCATGATGATATCAAAACAGCTGGTACGAGGACGAGTTTGATGACTGAACGGCGCCGATTTTGATAGACAAAAGGCGAGTCTGCTTCACGTTTCGTATCGAGCCACATAATGGCTATAATGGGCAAAGATGGAGTCACTTGACACAAGAGAGCATGATGCAGAGATGGGATGTCGTCGTCGATCCGGATTAGTAACTCGCGCCAAGCCCTAAAAAGTCCGCCAAACTCCGTCATCCCAAAACCTCGACACCAACACCATCTATCAAACATCCCCTGGGTCACATTTCGATTGCCAGCAACCATGGCTCTCTTCTCCGCCTTTACTCTTATCCGCTGCATAGCTCTCTTCCACATAACCCTTGCCTACTTCTTCCTCGTCTCCCCCAAAACCCTTGCGGACCAAAATGTCGTATTTCTATTAGGAGAATCGATGCGCCTTGTACGTCTCCCTTCCCCTCGTCCAATTCCCGCTATCCTTATTCTAACATTCTCTCGCCAGGACATCCCCCCCGGCTTCGCAGTCCCCACCGCTGCCACCGCCTTCCTCGCCATTATCCTTGCCCTCTTCGGCATCTCCGACCTCGCCGCTGTCTCCCTACCCGACGAGTATGCACGAATATACTGGGGCACACAAGTGCCCGTTCGTCTCCTCTTCCTATTCGGGATAACCGGATACACGTACATGTTCAAAGAAGGGGGGGTACTTGCACCGAAGAACTATAGGGGCGGTGTGGGGGATCATCTGAAGAATGCGATGGTGTTTACGTGGGGCTTTGTGGAGCTGAGTGTTTGGTTTTGGGTGTTTATAAGTTTGAGGGATGAGAGAAGGCAGAAGGGGATGGAGTTGATTGAGAAGAGGAAGAGGGAGGCGGAGAATTATTCGAGCTAGTAGCGCGGGGGTTGTGCATATTATGGATATAACGCGAGGTTGGTGTGGGCTGGACGGAAACCTAAGATACATCTTCATCCCGACACAGATGTATGGATATGCTTCGTCTTTCGAAGATGAGCGCAGAAGTACGACTGGGATGCGCGAGGTCATAGATCGTCGTCGAAAATAAGCACGAGTCAGTCTCGAGGTACGTATTAGACCCCAAAGGTACATAACAATATCAGTGTAAGAGGTATGCGAAATCAAATGCGGCATCACCATCATCCCAGTCCAACTTATTTAATTGTCATACGCTTGGGCACGCTTTGCAACTGTATGGGGTACCCGATAGACTCTCAACTCCAATCACGATGTAAAGTGGGGTGGAAGTTAGCCTACCCTTTGACGAAGTCGATACCTGCTAGCTGGAGTACTCCTTACAGTGGCGTCTAGCACTATTGGAGCCGGAGCAGTGATATATCCGTATGCCCAAACTTATGACCCAGTACCATAGTCACAGGAAACCGGATACCAAAGGTATATATTTTTTATTTTAAAACTACGACAGCTCTCAAGACGGTTATTACTCCTCCCATATCTGCCACTCTTTTCCAATCCAGCCCCAGGCAAGAACGCAACCTTCATATAGCACCAACACCAACAAATGCATCAAAATTTCCAGCCCGAACTCCACTATGGACGCCAATCAGTATATTCCGGACGCTGCTGCTCTTCCGCAGAAAGCTGCACCCACTCTTCATCCTCGACCTCAGCAGCCTCATCCCACGTTCCCGTCTTCGAACTCTCCTCCGCCGCATGATCTAGCCAAGCCTGGAGAGATTCAGTCTGCGCCTTCAGATCGTCGTTGTTCTTGCGCTCATTGTCCAAAGCGCCTTGCAACTCCACAATTTTAGCTTCCGCCAGAGCTTTCGCAGAGACCTCAGCTTCTAATTCGGCTTTGGATTCTTGAAGTTCAGCTACAATTCTGGCTTTGAAATCCTGAGCTTCAATTATGACATGGTCTCTCTCTTTCTCGATTTCGGCCAACCTGGACGCCTTCTCTTGCCACTTGGCAGAGCTCTGTTCCTCGACATGTAGGCATTCGCACGCGTCCTTGTACTCTGCCTTCAGGTTTTCATTTTCGGCCATCAGTCCCCGGACCGTTTTACCAGCCAGCTCGTGTGCGGCCCTGAGCTCGGAAACTTGACCGCTGAGGCGCTGGAAGCTCTCGAGCCGTTCGCTGTTTTGATGCTGCAGTGTCGTCGCTGCTCGGGAGGCAGCGGAGTAATCGTCCTTCAGTTGTCTGATTTCGCTCGCCTGCTGCTCCATGGTTCCACCATACCTCTTGTGCTCGGCCTCGAGAATCTTATGCTTCGTCTTGAGCTGCTCGTGCTCGGTCGCCAGCTGCGCACTCACTCTCTGGGACTCGTGAAGAACGTTGTTCAGGTGCGCGACCCGCTCAGCGCTCTGTTTCCAAGCGGAGTCGAGTTCCATGGCGAGGTTCTTGATTTCACCCGTGAGCTGCTCCTTTTCGGCGGTCAGGCGTCGGATATTCTGCTCGGACAGGTCCCCTTTGCGTATGAGGTCGCGCAGTTGCTGGTGGGCTCCTTCGATTTTGGCAGTCATATCCTCGAGATCGGTAGTAAGCTGGTGTTTCTCGTCGCCCAAAAGTACATTTTGATCGACGATCGAAGATAACTGGTCTGCTTGTTGGCGGAGCTTGTGGCGGGATGTTACCAACTCGCGGTCGAGGTCGTCGACATTGGTCGTCAGTTGCTCATTCTTGGCCGTAAGCTCCTGATTTTCCTTCTCGGTCGAGTCCAAATTGCCTTTTGGTTGACCAAGCTGCGACTGAGCTGATTGGAGTTCCATTGTGAGTTTGTTGACATCGGCCGTCAGGCTTCTCTTCTCGTCCTCCAAATTTGCATTGGGACGGATGACGGAGGTCAGGTTGTTTCCCTGCTGCAGGAATTGCTTCTGAGCCAATTCCAAATCGGCTTTGAGGTTCTCGGAATCAGCCTTCAGCTTCTCGTTCATAGCTACGAGCTCCTGCTTTGCATCTTCAACGTCAGCCAGTCTGTCTTCTTCGCCGTGGATCTTATCCCAGACACGTTCATGCTCAGCTGCCAACAGATCCAGTGCAGCTTGACTGTCTTGAAGAGCATTCTGGAGCTCTTGGGCTTCTCTCCGGGCGGAGTCAAAGTCGAGAGTGGCTTGGTTAGACGATTCTCTCAACTCAGCTAAGGACTTTTGGGCGGTCTCCAATTCGGCGAACGTCTCGCTGTAGATTTTTCTCAAGTCGTCCAAGTCGGTCTGGGCGGTCTGCAGTTTGGCGAGCTGCTGGAAAATCCGATTGTACGCTATGGCATTCTTCTCGCTAGCTTCCTTGAGACGTCGGTTCTCGCTCTTCAGGCTCTCAATGGCTTTGCGGGCCTCGGCCGCCCTGTCGAGGATCGTGTTATTTTCGAGCGCATCGAGCTGATCGACAGTAATTCGATTGCCAATTTCGGGGAAATGGCTCTCAGCGAAGGCCTTCTTAAACTCCTTGATCTTCTCGGACTGTGTCATCAATCGCTTCTCCAGCTCCGTGCCTTTTGCTTTCATGGTCTTCCCATATTCGCGGTCGGTCTCGCGCTCGGGGGTAACCTTTTCGCAGCTCTTGCATCCTAATAGGGCCTTCTCCTCCTCGACTCGGAACTTTTTGATCAAAGAGGACAAGTCATCGAGCTCGTTGCGTTGGCGCTCGTTCTGCCCCTTGAGCAGGGAGGGGAAGGCTTCTGATCCTTGCCCATTCTCTTGATCCTCATTTGGTTCTTCTCCGGCGGTATCCTTGGGGGCTATTTCGACGTCCGGTTCCTTATCCGACAAGACCTCTGGCTTTATGGCTTTCGAGTCCTCGAGATTGGTTCGCGTGTTGTCGACCTTTGCTTTCGAAGTCCCGTGCGCCAAGCGCTGCGAGTGCAATCCATCGATATGGCGCGCATACCGCTTCCGGACACCCGTCAACCGTTTGACCTTGTCTTTCAAGCTCTCGTTGTCGGCGGTCAATTTGCCAAAATGATCTTTCAAGCGCTCGTTCTCTGTGCGGATATTTTCCTCGATAGCATCCTTAAAGAGCTGTTGCAGCTCGGGGAACAAGTGCTCCGGCCTTACGCCCTTCTTCTTGATATTGCGGATTGTGGTGTCGCGCAGGTGTTTGATCTCGGCCTGCGAGTTCTGGTACCGAGCACGCAAGGCCTCGGCGTCAGCTCGCAAGGCCTCTTTCTCCGCGCGCAAGCTCTCGCCTTCGGCCTGCAACATCTCGTTTCCGACTTGCAAGTTCTCTTTCTCACCCCACAACCTCGCGTTTTCGGCCTGCAAGCTCTGTTTCTCAACTCTCAACTCCTCATTCTCAGCCTGCAAGTTCTCTTTCTCCGCCCGCAACTTCTCGCTCTCCTCCCTAACGCCAGCGACTTCGCGCAGCATTTCCAGCTCCCTGTCAGTCATCCTTTCCTGGTTCGGGACTTTGAGCGCCTCGATCTCGGCCTGCTGATCCTCCTTGATCTCCTCGCGGTTGGCGAGCTGGAACTCGTGGCGTTTCTTCCCCGTCTCGTTGTCAGCCTCTAGCTGTTCGATCCTCTTGTCCTTCTGCTGGAGGAGCTCCGTGAAGGTCTCGATCTTTTGGTCCTTCTGGCTGATTACGTCCGTGAGGGTCGTGCAGGCCTTCACGCTGTCTTTCTTGAAGGAGTGGAGTTTTTCCTCGCGCTTGACGAGCAGCTCGGCTAGAGTGGTGGGTTCGGGGAAGCGGGCGAGGACAGAGGCGACGTTTTTAGTGAATTGCGTCTCGGTGTTCTGGGTCGTGTCGGTGGACTGTTGCTTCGTGGTCGACTCTTGCTTGGTTGTCGGCTTCTGATCGACCTTGGGCTCCTGGGGTATGGTTTGCTTCTTGTTCGGGAATAAATTCTGGGGAGGGGTCAACTCCTGCTTGGGATCTGGCTTGACTGCAGAAGCCGCAACAGGCGGAGACACACTCTTCACTTGCTCATATTGCGGGGGTTCATTTGGCCCGAGGGGGTCCCATTCCGGAAGAGAAGTGAGTGGAAATGTTGCTGGCCCATTACGCCGAACCTTGTACGGGATTGTGTACACGTCTTCATACGGGATCGGGTACTCATCTTTATACGGGATCGGGATCGAGTACTCGTCTTCATACGGGATCGGAATCGGGTACAAGTCTTCATACCGAAACGTGCACGGGCCCTTGTACGAGTCGTACTGGGGCAGGGGCGAGTTTGTGTACGGCATCGGGTACGAGTTTGTGTCGGAGTACATCGGTGGTGGGAGCTGCAGACCAGCGGCACGTACACACACCGGGCACGAACACACCGGAAAGCCGCTGTGGTGGTGCATCGGGAGCTCGTTTGCCGGATTGTATGCTTGCTGGGTCCTCGTCTTCTTATTGAACCCAGTCCAGGTGCCCACCTGTTGAGGCCGAGGCGTTGAAAATTCGCTAACCGCAATTTCACCAAAGGTACGCCCTTTCGCAGACCGATGTGGTTCATTGATACTGTTGTCCGCGTTCCGCCCCTCTTCCACCTCGGCCAAAGTCACAGGTTTTCCTTTGGTATACCCGCCTGGTGGTTGCTGCGGTGCCGGCTGCTGGCGTTGATGCTCGCGCGCGGCTTCCCTAACTTTCGACGTAAGTTTGGTAAGACTATCGCGGGCACTAGTTTCTGGCGCTGTGCCTTTCTCGTGTGTCTTTAACTTGCTCCACAGGGCGGAGGCCTCGCCGTGATAGCGGGCTTTGTCTTCATCGGGAAGCGGGAGGCTGAGGATTTCTTCGGGTCGGATGAGGTGGTAGAGACCAGGGTCTGGCAGACGAATGGTGGGTGCGGGAGTTTGGCCACTTGGAATGGGTTCTGCTACTTGCGAAGGCTGTGGTGCTTGTTGAGCGGTGTTCTGCTGCACTGCCCATCGCTCCGATTCTTCAAGGTAGTGCGTCCAGTGAACGAGAGTGTCATAGGCCATGATGTAGAATGGGGAATCTTTTGGCTCTGTTCGGAGGTGTTTCCACAGATCAGCAATTTCAAGCTGGGTATCGAGCTTGTCGTATGGCGGGATATGAGTCAACTTCATGATAGTCTCGGGTCTAATCAGTTGCTGGAGTTCCGGGGGCAAGATCTGGCGCTCTTCCGTCTTCGAATCGACAGTCTTTTCTGCCTTTTGCTCAGCCAGCTCCTCTTGTACAATTTTCTTAATATTCTCCGCGCTCATGTCGCCAATTACGAACTGTGCCACTGGTTTTTCGTCGACGCCTTCCTTCGCCGCCTTCTTCTTAGCCACCCCCGCATTCGCCGCCGTCCAACGCTTCTCCCAGTCCTCGCCCCGCTGATCACTGAGCTCCTCCACCTCACCAATCAAGATCTTAGACCATGCCGCAAGCTTCTGCACGGCCACAGCTTCTGCATTTGATCCTTTCGGGTTGCGTTGTAGCATAGCCCAGTAATCCCTGATTACGTCTGCGCACATGTTCAGGTCCAGGCTCGTGTCCTTTCGATCTTGGATAAGCATGCTCTGGGCGTAACTCGGCGTCACGAGGGGACGCAATTCGCCAGGGTAAAAGACGAGCTGCGAGCCGTTGCGAAGGAGTTCGGTTGCGACGGGGTTCTGGGGTTCGAAGAGATTCGTTGGAGGTGCAATTGGGGTAGACGAAAGCAAGGTGTTGGGGGTCGTGGATTCGACCTCTGTGCTTGCTGAGGCATTGTCAGTCGGTAGTGCTATGGGTGGTGTTTGTGCGATTGGTGGGGATGGAACGTCCTCGTCCTCGCGCTGTTTTTTCTCGAGCCCTCTTCGTATATCTTCTTCTAAAGCCGCAAGCTCTACACCCTCTCGCTCGAGCTCAGCGACTTTCTTGTCAGCTACTTCATCCGTGCGTTGAGACCCGAACTTGGCCACCGTGGCCTCTAGCTTCTCCCTCTCATTTTCCACTGCATTAATAAGTTGGTCCATAGGCTCTGTCAGTGCTTCAGCTCCCTCGCTGCTTTGGAGCGGCTCACCTAAATTTGTGGGGGCGAAGTTTGAGTCGAGGGACGTTGAAGTCGTGTCTCTGGATGCGGTCAATGGGGTTGATGCTGTAGTGGCCTCTGTCGAGTCGGATGCGGATGCCACCTGAGTCTTTTTGGATGGTTTTGCCATTTTCTGTGACTCGAAGAGGAAGTTTTGCTCTTCTGAAAGCTCGAGGTCCATCGGGCCGGCGAGGTATGGTCGTTTGAAAGGTTAGTAAAAGAAAAAAAGGTAGTGATCAAAGGAGCGCGATAACTGGAGAAGCGTTTCTCTCTTCTCTCCCATGGAAAATGAAAGAGTACACTTCGAGGAAGTTCCTTTCTGGGGGTTATTAAAAGGTAAAATAAAAAGGTATTAAGAAAGTTAAGAGTAAGAGCGTGGTGTGAGAAAGGAAGTATTATCGTAGAGTGTGCAGAAAGAAATTTATGTGGCGTGTGAGGTCTCATTTTATATTCCTGCCACCTCCGACTCTATTCATGGTTCCATGAATCTCGCTCTGAACGAAACGTGGCTGGTGTTGTGGTGTATCATGGTTCCATGGTTCCGGTTTTACGTGACTTATATATAAAGTCTGGGTCGGAGCCGGAGCGTGCCGCGCCGCTGAAAATAGATTGAAAGGACGGATTTTGAGGTCTATTTCCTTTTTTCAGGATCTCTTCGAAAAATTTAGTAGAGTGAGTGTGCGGGGTTTATGGTTAACGGTGGTATTTAATCCGGCGAAGTTGAAGTGTATGCATTCGTACTCCTGGCCATGGGTGACGCTGGCATTATTAGCGGTTCCCAAGGTCGGACGATGCTGCAATACTCACGTTGTCTTAACGACGAACAATCTCAAGGGGTGAAGGAACCTGAGTGAGTAGGTAGGCCGTAGACACGCATGCAGCCTCTGAGCGATCGGGGCGCACACATGATGATCACACGGTGGTCACGTGATTACGTAAAAAGAAAAAGTGAAAAAAGAATTCGAGAAATGATAGTAAGGACAGTTGATCCGTCAACTGACCCAATGTTGAATGATGTCCGGTCTAGGGGGCAACTGAGCGCTGTAGCAGAGCTCGAGGAGAGAAGACAACGCCTGTAAGGGGAAAGCGAACACTTAGCCCGAAGGTGCAGCTGAGTGGAAGGGACTAGCGAGATTACACTTCAAGAGAAGTGCACAGTAGCGGCAACCGACTCGACCAACGGGGCAAAGGCAGTAACGGCCCCTGCTTCCAGGGGTTGTGATTGGGAATGCAGGACATTTTCAATTATGTGTAGGTCAAGTCCGCGCTATCTACAAGTCTGTGCTCCTAGACTCAAATTTTGCCTTTTTCTTTTGCTGATTACTTGCCGGCCTCTTATTCATTGACCTCTTAGTTTGTCTCACTTTAGTAGCATCTTCTTGCTTTTTCATGTCTTTCACTCACAGATGCGAAGTAAAGGTTCTTGAAAAAGAATCAGGCTGTAAGTTGGACTGAGAACGACGTGTATGAAGCCAGAGATCAGCAATGCCGCTACACAGAATCTACAATGTTGCGTTCGTAGCGGCCAAAAGTCTGAGAGCAAAAAAATGTATCCTCGTGGATCTTGACAAGCTGACTCGAACTTTGGTCTAACTCATTTTCAATGTGAAGGAGCAAACTGGTTGCTTAGGATATAGACGTGCCCCAAGTCTTACCTCACGACGTAGCCGCAAGTCAATCACCGAACAGCATTCTAGCTGCTTATACCCGTTATCGTGCCGACTTCTAAGATACCTTTGCCTTGAGTAGTATCGCTTCGCAAGCTTCTCGACATTCACCCTTACCGCCCTCTCCTAGCGATACCTCATTACGATTTGGTCAAGTACTGAAGCTCGCATATCGCGTCGTAATCGTTCCTCTGAAAAACTTAGGCCGAGGCTGGTACTGTAAGGTAAGCACGATGAGACGCGTACATACATATCAAGTGATTGAGGTCCGATGTGGGTTCTGGGAAAGCATCAGTCCTCGCAAGCTACACAGCCAGATAAGCCTTTGGAATATATATGCAAGGGAGCAGATCGATTTATATCGAGAACTATTGATCTCCAAAGGATTGTCTAGCCAGTCATACGCGGTGGCAAATTTTCTTACATACAGCAATCGTTCTTTCGCCCCCTTTGTCTTGTTTGGTTCCTATTAGCTTGTTCAACATTCACCAAGACACTTCGCCCCACCTCCCCATCTGTCAAGCACCAATGTGTCCGTTATTCACCATCACAGGTCTTGCCACCTCGCACAATTACATCCCTCTTTCAAGTCAGCAATCCTCAACACCATCCAACTGCTCCGACAGTTCTGCCTCGTCTATTCCCTTCCTTCCTCAAGTCCAGAATATTGAGGGACGCTTCCAAGCCTCCCCTTGTGACCATGGAGGGCTCCGGCGGCAATTACAAGTCGCCGAGCGCCATCATGGTCGAATATTCTAAGTTGATGGTGGAAGAAACTCAGATTACGGGTCATCACTCCGCTATCCAACTTAGGATGGCAAACAGAGTCGCTCATTCCCTTGCTGACCACCAGGTCGAAGCGTTCAGAAACCAGGCATGGACACTACGGGATGAGCTTGTGAGGATTAATAGACTCAGAATTGTAAGATCCTATGCTCATGCTATATACAGAGCACTAACTCTGCAAGGCGCTCCTCGGGGCATATCACTCTGTTAAATACCAACCCTATTGGGGTCCCGATCTTACCAACGTCGACTCGTCAAACGTGGTTTTTATTGCTGAAGCTCAGGTGCCCTCTGCATCCATCTCCCCCAGCGATGTTACGGAGACCGCGAAAGCCTCAACAACCTCTGGGCGCATTACCGCAGACTCAAACTCAGTCGCTGGACCTTCCGCCTTGGCCCCGAATGATACCTCCGTTTCCGCATTCCCACCCCCGGCCGAAGGCAGCAACAAGTACGATATTTCGGATTTTGGGAACATCGTTCGGACATCAACGGGCGCACACGTCGAATTGATCTGCTACAAATGCGGAGAAAACGCTGTTGGTAGAGGCCAAAAGCGCGCTCTGCACTTTCTCGGCGGTGTAGAAGCCTTCCGGCGCCATCTGGAGCGCATCCACAACGAGCGGCTGACACCAAGTGCCGTCCTTGACCAATGCGCTGCCCGGACGTTCTCAGAAGACGACATCGAAGCTCTTGCGACTGCGTCTGCGAACGCGCCCGCGAACGCGCCCATCGTCAAAAAGATTCCATGCCAGATAGCAGCGCGAGATGAAGGCCCCCGGAATCGGCTTGGAGCGCCTATTAGCCAAGCAGATATCAATGAGACCGCTCAGCACGTTGCCAATCTAGATGCCTCAGCCTCTGAAAACGGGTCTCACCATACATCTACTGAGGTGCCTGATACTCGACGCCCCTCTGCTCAACGTAGTCGGCAATCTGTCTCAGATCTAGTGGGGGGTGGAGGCCCTCAAAATGGGATAGAAGCGTCCATAGGACGTGTCAATGTTGGGGTTATGATGAATGGGAACATCAATCTGACCCACCCCGCCTCTTTCACGCTCTCAATGTCCGTATTGGTACAGGTGATCGCAATGTGAAAGCATATATTGTGTCTATCACTTATTGACATGACCACAACCTCTGGGGCATCCTGTTCCGACTCTTCTATATAGATCGTGTACGTCTGTCGCACTGTGATCACCAGCTCTTGAATAAATTGGTCTGTCTGACTCATCTCACTGTATAGCCTGTAAAGTCATTCGTATTTGAGATGTGGGAACAAGTGATATTCATACCTCGGCATTTTGTGACGTCCTTTTGGAGGCTAGGGAGGAGTAAAGCTTCGCGCCGGATACGATAGTGGATCTCAGAATCCCCTCAACAACAGTGGCTCAAGGAGCACACAAACACCTGCACGTAGTGGCTCAGGAACTGCACAGACGCTTGGTGGCTCAGGAAGCACACAACAGCTCAGTGGCTCAGGAAGCACACCAAACCCAACACCGCAGCTCACAACTGCCAAAAAGGCGACTGTGGCTAAAGACACAACGCATGCGTCGCAAGAAGCGCATTCAGCGTAGCACAACACTGGCCGTCATCTCCCTGGATTTCTAGCCCTCCAGGCGAAGGTGGCGGCGCGTAAAAGCTCTGGTGCAGGCGTGGCCACGGCTTCATCTCAACAAGCCGTGGCGCCCGTTGCCCAGGCTTCACTGGCGATTTCGGAACAAGCACATTCAGCACAGCACAACGCTGGCCGTAAAAGGGGAGAGCTTCCTGGATTCCTCGCCCTCCGGGCAAAATATGCGGCGCGTATCAGCTCTGGTGCAGGCGTGGCCACGGCTTCATCTCAACAAGCCGTCGCGCCCAATGCCCAGGCTTCGCCGGCGATTCCGGTGCCCTCGAAGTGGACCCACTACTATCGTCGAGACAATTTTGGTGAGCCTGACGATGAGTACGATGGTTGATTGGAGGCTTGAGGGCACCTCCAGTGTGAGGCCAGCTTTCTCTGGGGAGGGATATCTTGGTGTGTTTACATAGTAGACACAAATGAAGGGTTACTGGGCAGACATTTCTGTGCACGATGACCTCCAACTTGAGTGTGACGTGATGAAATCGACAAGACAACAGCACTTTCGCATGAAGCAAGCTAGACCGAACTAATTTGCAACACATGAAGAGAAGGTGAAAACTCTTATTTAACCTCCAGCAAGGCACTAGCATTGATTCGCTTAGAGAAACAGAAGCAAGAAGTATCATGGTGTCATTGCGCTTTGCTTAATAGTCATGGAATGAAATACAAGTGTCTTGGTCTGCGAGAATGCTCACACAAGTGTGCCCGGATAACAACTGCCTTTCTCATTGCAGTATCGTCACAAATCCCACGCCCGAATGAGAAGCTTAGAAGAATTGAATACCTAGATAAGCCACATATCCGGAGAAGCCTTGAATGATTTCTTGATCTGTCACTTGCTGCGTACCTGCACTGCTGATCATGAGATCGCGAAATTTGGCCTCCTTTTTCTCTAGGCGAGAAATCTCTTGCCAAGCATCCAACAGCTGCTTTTGTAGCTGAGCTACTCTACCCTTGCTGGCAATTTCTGTTGCTTCGGCAATATCAAGGCGACGCTTCAGATCGGACTTTTCTATCTCCAATGCCTGGTTCGCAGCAGCCATATCGGGTTACCCATCCCAGTTGACACTCGAAAACCCGAACGGTTGCAAACGCACAACCACGCCTTCTCTATCACCCTCCGCAACGATCTTGTTGCACTGTTGCTTGTAGGCGTTATCCGCCGCCTGTTTACAGGCTATATGTACCTCTTGGAGATTAGGCAGCTGGGATCTGCGTACCGCACGAAAGTGTCGGAACAAGGCATCAAGAGCTTTGTCATAAGGACCCATTCCCTCGGACTCTAACACCAGATGCGTGACTGAAGTGGGTATCAAGTCGCGTACGAACGGGTCCAGTGAGCCGTTGAAGAAGCGCTGCAACGAGGTAGCAATGTTCCCTGTAACACCCGCGGCATTGATGTTGCACATGACAAGTTTCAGAGGAAACTTGAACTTCTTTAGCTTCTGGAAACCATGTATCGATGCCTTGCCGGGAAGGATAGAGCCGCGCAATTCAAGGATCGTTACCGAAAGTTCGATGAGGTGACTCCCAGCTTCGCGCGCTACTGCATTGATAAACTTGCAGATATCCCAGTCTGGAGGACGAGAGTCATGCCGTGTGCTATGCGAGTATCTTAACGTCTTCAAGCGTGGTGTATGCTTGAGGAAGTCGGTTATGCCTACGTCGTCGATACAACAGCCACCTAGATAAGCTGCTTCAAGTGTGTCTGCGATATAAGGCGAACCTCCAAACGCGACACTTCTAGGGTTTTCTCCGATTGCGAAGCCGCCAGGACCGCTAAACGACTTCAAATGCGGTAGAGCGAGGAAGGGGCGCGCCCAACTCAAGCCCCAATTTTCAGTCTCGGATCTCCATACTGATCCATGGAAACTTGTGACTGGCCGAAGACCGGAAGAGGAAGACAGAAAGCTGGATTGCCTAGCCTCTTTGACAAGGACATGGAGCAGCCGATTCGTCGCGGCATTCGGCTTCCATGAACTTGGTATGGTGAGGTTCTCGGTGTCACCGAGCAGCGTTAGGAGAAAGGCACTGCCGTGCTGCGAATAGCGCATCTCTCTAACGTCCTCCGCAAACGCAGAATAGTACTCCCTCCAGTTTAGCCGGGCTCGCCGGAGATACGTAGAGTTGGCAAATAGTTGGACAATGACTCCTCCATCCTCAATGCTTGGGACCGACTTTGGTGGTTCACCACGGACACGTAGATGTGGAAGGAATTTGCTGTCCTCGACAAGGTTTGCGGTTCGAATGTACCGCGCAATAACGGGGTCAGCGGCGATGAGGCTGATGAGGTCGGAAGCGGCCACCAGGCTGTCGCGCGCGTGAGCGTAGTAGCCAAAATGTCGGAAGCGGGAGCGCAGCTCGTTGTGGCGCTTGATGAATGGTGTGCAGCGCGCATAGATTCTCTTGCAGGTCGTTGCCAAGTTCTCGAAGCTCAGTGGTAGAGAGTATTCGACGACGATGTCAAGAAGCTCGTGTGGGAGGGCCGTGAGAGCCATAGTGAACTAGTTTGTCTCTTGTCGAGGTTGTTGACGGTGTTGTTCAGCGATTCTCTGATAGCAATTAAGGATGATGTCTCGGCTGACTCATATTCCTCCCGGATCGAGATCGGAATACGCCTATCCCGGCACAGCCACAACTGTGCCTCTTATCTGGTCCGATGTTGTTTTAATCTAGCACTCTTTAAATCCCAACACTGCCTTCACAACTGTGCCTCTTATCTGGTCCGATGTTGTTTTAATCTAGCACTCTTTAAATCCCAACACTGCCTTCACAGCTGTGCCTCTTATCTGGTCCGATGTTGTTTCAATCTAACACTCTTTAAGTTTCAACACTGCCTTCAAATCTTTTCGAGCATTCCTTCCTTCGCGCTTTACGCAGCCAACGTGGCCTTCTGATGAGTGCCGGTAAACCCCGTTCTCCATTTTACTTGGATGTCACACTTTATTCATGGGCACACCTACATTTAGCAGACACCACAATACAAAGACTCTGAATCGTTACCGCCAACATATTAATTTAATCCGTTTTACTCGTTTGGGGAAGGAAAGGAGTAAGGATTATGTAGGTCGTGGCCAGCAACCACGAAACTCGACCGTGGTGACATTGAGTGTCAGCACACTAAAACACTCGACGATGTTTCGTGCCACACGGGTCAGGTTCCAACAAAGCGACGTGTGCACTCCCTCGAGCATCCTCCAGCAACTTGCTGCGCCTCATGAGCGGACACGGTGGTCAATCCTAATCAACGCTCTCATGGAATTGGGAAATGGGAAGAGCTTCCTTGGTCAGCCATCGTTGGGAGGGCATATATATCTCTGCATGTTCCGCTTCTTGTGTGATCAAAAACCAAATCCAGTCTTTTCTCTCTTCTCCAGCCGTAAAAGCTTTTTGCTATTCGATCAGTAGAACTGCCTAGCATGCATTCCGTACTTTTTTTTTCTCTTTTGCTTACCGCAAAAGCAGCTGTATTACCGTCAATAACTCCACGCGCACTTCCCCCTGGTTGCGACGAAGCGTATAAGGACATTGCACTGGTCGAGCTCAACGATGGACCTACTACTTCTGGAGACGCGGGCATCGGAGCAGAGTTTGAAACTCTCCAAATCCAATTTTCAAACAATCAATGCAGCCTCGCAGATACCTTTTCAGCAAAACGCAAGACGGTTCAGGGCCGTTCTGGGACGAACTTTGTGCTTTCAGTAGACACTTCTGTCGAACAAGGCAAGGGAAAACTCAGCGCGGAGTATGTCTTGGATGGCAGGAATATTAGAGTCGGCGATGGGAGCGCTGCAGCCGCTGGCAGAGCAGCTCATGACGACCTGGTAAGTACTTCGCTAAATAGGCTCCAACCTTGACGCAATTAACGTTTGCAGGCGAGTTGGACGCCTTGGAGTGAAAACCCGCAAAATCAGGTTACCATTGAGAACTACCAGCAATGCAATCCTTGGGCCGTCAGGGGCCTGAATGGAAACACAAACAAAGACCAGATTTGGTGGGCTCCTCAAATCACTGCATCGATGCCTTCAGAAGCGCTATACTCCTTGATGAAAGAGAATGTACAAGGCGTAACGAACGGCAGGAACGTCCTTAATGGCGACACTGGTATCAATAGAGGCCAAAACATCCAGCTAGTCACCGAAGACTATTTCAAGGACCTCTCGCTAAAGGTCGATGTCAAGAAGATCAATGACGCAGTGCTTGGATTCTGTACTCTGGTCCTATCTTATGCAAAGGCTGCGAACAAGCTAAATCTGAACGATCCAAACACTCAGGAGATGAGTCCTAAGTCGTGGATTCCGTTCATGCCACGAACGGAATTCGTCACGATTTACAGCGCAGTCAAGTCATTCTTTCCTGCTGACAACGAGCTCTTCGATATCTTCAACACACTCGCATGCTACAAAACTGGAGACTTCACGAACGATAATTTTCAAGTCAGGTACGTAGGCGGCGTGGCTTTACAGCTCACTTGCCTAGCTAACAGCATACAGTATCGACAGCGACTACTGCACTGGGACGGTCGAGAACCCTGTACCTGGTGACAAATTCGGAGGTCTGCAATACAAATATATCGGCAATTTTCCCAAACAGGGCATTCCTACCACCCTGAGTATCAAGGAATGGATTCAGGATATCGACCAAGGCAGTCCAAGCCCAGATTTGTTGACGACTTTCGACCAACAGTACGATGGATCCATCGGTGGCCTTGGAACTCAGGTCGAGAAGATGTTCAACCTGGACCGCACAGCGCCTTTATTTGAATTTCGAGACCTCGTTCCTCAGCTTACCGCGGACTTCGAAAATTTCATGGGCGACGTAGACTCATCTATTCAGGCACTGCACAAGAACTTCGCTGCTCGGCTCATGAAGAAAGTGAAACGCGACGCCAGCGCTTGCCCGTTCAGTACCGCTGCCGGTCCAACTTCGACGCCCCCTGCTAGTCCAACTACGACGCCCCCTGCTCAGCCAAGTTGTGTCGTCCAAGATACGGATCCTGGTCTCGGAATAACGTCTGAAGGTTGCATCTGTCAAGAGTCAAGCACGTGGCCAGCGCTCTCGACATCATCCGGGGCTACTTACAGCGCTCAATGTGCCTACACCGCACCTCCATCCAACAGTGCGCAAGCGACCATCACCCAGGCGCCCATGAAGCCCCAAACGAATTCCCAAGCCTGCCTGGTCTGCACGCCTCAGCCCAACTTCGAAGATGACTGCACGTCGATGCCGAGCTGCAATCCACAGACAGCCTACGCCACGGCAACCGTAAACTCGTCTCCCGTGCACTACGGCACACTTTCACAAGACGCGTTATTCACCGGGATAAGCACCGCGCTCAAAGCAGCCTGCAGCAGCATTACCACCGGTAAGACAACCGTTTCCGGAACGGCTACACCAACAGTTAGCTGCAACAAAGACAACGACTACACGATCAACAACCAATTGCCCTACGAAAGTGACGGTTTCCTCGCGAACGATGGCACACTGAGTATAAATGTCGGCTCCTATGCCGCCACGGCAGACCAGGTGAACGCGCTCCTCGCCGTCGCATCAAGTATGGTGACTAAATCTGCCAACTCGAGCGAGAAGAGCTGTCACATCATGCATTACCAAGAGCCAATCATAAAGCCACGCGGGATATTGGGGCGCTCGCTCTCTCTAGGACTTCCCTTTCTCTTCGCACGATCTGACCATCCCGTCCCAACGTTTAGCTCGATGCGGGTATGCAACGGCCCCGCCGTAGTCGTAGCCAGTTACTGGGCGCCCGGGTATCGGGATCGCATTGGCAGCGGCAATAAAGCCCCGAGCCCCGATGCCCAGTTGACTGCCACTTTGAAGTTCACTAAAGGCGCCGACGGGGATTTCTTCTGTGAGGTTGTGGCGGAGTTGGCGGGGGCTATCTTGACCGAGGCTGCACCGGAGTTAGCTGAGCTCGATATTTTTGAGGCTGAGCAGATCCAGGCTGCTTGTGAGGAATTAAATCAGTGAGGGAGACACTCTGAATTCGAGTATGAAGAGCTGGCGGCTTTTTGGCGGATGGCAACGAATCTACTCAGCGCGTGGGCAACAAGCGATACATCATCGTGGGCGATGCATTTGTTCCAGAGTACGAGATAGGACACGGAAAGCACCGGATCGACGGTCGCGGAGGAGTGCTGCACGAGATCCAGATCTGTTGAAGAGAATTTTGTCGTTTGCTACAAGCGGAGTATACCTAATACGAACTAGACTATAACATCACGGATGACTTACTTGCACTACTAACTGCTCTCCCCCCACTCCTGCAATCTTAACGCCATGAAGAGGTACGTCGAGATCCTCAGAGTTTGAATGTCCAATGGCCTCCTACAGCGTCAGCATGATAAAGAGGTCGAGAACGCAAGTTGGCGCTCAGTGTCGTAACGGTCGTTTGTAAACGGTTTCTGTCGTAACTATTCTTGCTTGGACAGCTCACTGTATATCCTCTGTCAT